AAAGTGACACTAATGAATCTCGAACTACCGGGGTTATCGGTGGCTGAATGACACGTCAGGTACATGATTGTATAAGGTTAGCGTGTTACACTGCTTGTGTTCCCTAAACGAGGTCTTTGCTTATGAAGCTCAGTCTTGTATATTAGGATTGTCGTGTTTTAATTCGACTTTGTCATGTTGGAAATAGGCATTAATAAATAACTGTCAGAGAACTTAGGACTTTGTACGTAATAAATAAGTCAGAAAGTGAATTTAGATCAGCACATGTATATTGAACGTTTGTTGAGCTACGTACTTTGGTGCGATACACTTTCAAAGTAAGCAACATGGATAAGGGTGCTGTACAACCTAAGCTTGCCAGGGTAGGTTATATGTAGTATTTTATGCCTAATATACTCTCCAGGTTAAGGCAGTTGTAGGTAGAACTGGATCACAAGGACAGTGTACGCAGGTTCGCGTGGAATTTCTGGATGATACAAATAGAACTATTATACGAAACGTTAAAGGTCCGATTCGTGAAGGCGATATTTTAACTCTTTTGGAGACGGAAAGAGAAGCCAGAAGATTACGTTAATGTTTTCACAATAAAGGGATGTATATGACGTGATTTGTTCTGGTTAAATCTGAGTGTTTGCGTGTGGTGGCTAAAACTTCGCTGCTGGTTATCATCTGTTTGAAACCAGCACATTGAGAGGTGAGCTGATGACTCATGCTAATAGAACAGTTTTTATAGAATCACGTTTCACCGTTACTTTTATTGATTGTATGTTATGGTGCCATAAGAATTTATGCAGCTGTCAAGATGATAACTTTTCGATTAGGTTAGCACATCAGTGTTGGTACAAGAATACTGTTAAGACAAAATCCCTTCCATTGGCGAGTGATAACCTTGATGCGGGTGTTCTGCTGATGAATTGCATGAAACTATAGTAGGGATTCAAAAGGCCGTAATATTGTCAGGGTGTATGCTTAACAAATTGATATATGACTAGTCCACCATCTGATCAGGTGTCGGTCAGTTATTGCTAAGAAATTCTAGAGGTTCTGCCATTGTCTCACTTCATTAGTCTGACTAATATTTAGATGTGCAGTATTGGAAATTACACTGAATATGGTCACAACTTTATAGGAAGAAGAATAGAACGAACTACAAGAAATGAGAATGTTGATGCCCAAGTACATGTAGGGTGTCGAGAATTTGATGGGTAGGGTTGAGTAGTGTGGGTACGTCTGCGCAATTAGAATCAGTTCTAGGCATTGGTTCTTACCGTCTTTAGGACCCTAACTAGCAAGTCTACTTCACTCGAACCTACAGTCAAAGACTTTAAGGGGTAATGCCGTGGTTTGAGACATCACCACTAACTGTCTTCCAATCTAACCTTGTGTCAGTCGTCATTACTTGATGACGAAGTCGATGGCTGGACCCGCGTAGAACATGCTTTCCCAGTAGGTATGAAAGAACCGAAATATAGACTTGATGATAACTCATCGCACGGTGTTTAAAGTACTCCACTGGTATGCTTTCGTTGTGATGGCGTGCTAGTCAATGAGTCTGCCCATGTTTCCGACAGCAACTGTTGCTCTGTATATTTCCTTGAAATTGTTTATGATGTTTAAATCCTCCCAGAAAATGTGGATATTGTCGATGGATTTTTACACCGCTGTTCGTACTGCGTAATAAAAATTGTAGTTGTGAAGTCACGGTTAAAAAGTGTGCTCATCGTTACTATTTTTTAACAATAGCCTAAACAGCTTGCCTGGTTCCATTTGTACAGTAATTTTTTGTCTTGTCCCCATCCATACATTAAAAGTATCACAAAGAACTCAGCACTTGATGGATACTTATGTTTCAAGTCTTGTACGACAAACTAGGAGAAGGGATTCGAACAGACGTTTTACGTTGCAACGGTAGGGCTTGGAATGTCGCTGGTATCAGGCAAATAAATTCCAACATAAGTGCCCCCAGGTGAAGGATCTGGCATTCAAAACTGCTTGATGACCTACCTGGCGAACGGTTAGATACCTTATAAATTGATACCTTGTTTCACTGTGGCTATAGTCAGCGTCTATGGATACTACCCTTTCTGCTTCATTTTTTTAAGCAGATGAGGCCAAACGGCTTAAGCACCACAAAGTGTTTTTTTTGGGGGACAGCAAGTTCTGAAGTCAAACGAATTTTCCAGTTTTGATAAATACATTTTTAAGTTGGTTGTTGTACTCACAAACACTCCCATTTTAGTTTTTATTTGTCATTAAATGCTATCTTATCTAGACTTACCCTCTCATCTAGGTGTCTGTTCATTGGTTATAGTTACTTGGATACGCTCATATGTGTTAGGAAGATGCCGATTAACGGAACTAGAAAGTATCACGAGCTATGCCACTATTTTGGCACAAAGTATCAAAAGTACTGCATATATTTACAGCAAGTTAACTGGATACTTAATTTGACTACGTATCTGAATGCTTCTTAAGAGATAACAACTCAGCGGAGTAGTTGTCATAGCTGTTAATGGAAAGTCATTGTTGCTCATGAACGATACTTTTTTAGTTTAAATAGTAACGCCTTTAATTCAATTCCAGAAACTTTATATCAAATAGCACTTGTAGGTGAAGAGTAGAATAAAGCTCCAAGTGATAAAAGGCAATGCGATTTGTCCACAGGAAAAAATAATGTAACCGAGAAGACAAGTTAGGTAATCTATTCAGTTCATCTGTATTAGGAATTCTTGAGGAAATGGAAACGGTACTTGTTTTGGGCTTTCAAGATGCATTGTAAACACCAAGCTTTCCATTCCATTTTACTTCGCTTCAATTTCTTGTTCCATGGATATCTGGGAGTGTTTACCGATTTGTAATTCCAAATAGAACATCGAGTAGAATAACGAGGTGGATAATCTGTTGGTTATGAATACGGTCGATTGCATTCATTTACTGATTATGTTTCGGCTTGAATGTAAACAAGAAGCTAATATATCCCGTGCCTAAATAATTGCCATATAGATACGAAGAATTTCAGAAAGTTTTTCAGAGTGTTTCCATCAACTTAATTTGCAGCTGTAGTAGTATCTGGTTTGAATTCAATGTGTCAGTAACCCCTAAGATATTCATTTTTTGTGTGAATTCACTATCATCAGGTGTGTTCTTAACTAATGTGGTTCAGTAATATCTTAGAAGTGACAAGAAAGGGACCAGGTATAACCATTGATGAACACCAACTTTCATTCTTGATCTAATTGTGGTACTTCACTTATCTGCGTAAGTCATTTGCGATTAAGAAGTCGAATCTGGGATTTTACCACAGGCACGTAGACAACACCTAGAAGTGTCGGTCTGTGAATTATTTGTCAGAAGACTCTTTTGCTTTATTTAAAAACTAAGTTGTAGGGAAGCGAATGTGGCTGTGGTTTGAAGAAGAGGTTTCTGTCCACTTTCCGAATCTTTATGTAATAGTCCTACTGTTAGAATTATAGGGAATTATGCTTATGTTTTAATTAATGCCATGTAGAAATAGCAGTGTGCGTCGGTGATATAGCGGTAGAATGCTCGCCAACCACGCACGTGGTCCGGTGATTAATCACCGGCCAACGCACTCCTTTACCATGTTAAGCCAATAATAAGACAGGTAAAGGGCGAAGGTTGGACATAAGGTTAGCAACCCATCCCGTAAAATGAACACCACTGCTACTGAAACTTCAGGCCTCTAGCTTGAATCCCTATGTTTCACTGGAAACGTGAAGGAATAGAAAAAAAGAACTAGCATTAATACACAACTGCATTGTTGGTAGTAGTAACTGTATTGCACCTTGTTGGCTTTTTGCTGACTACAAAAGGTATTAATGAGTCGAAATCCTCATGTATCGAAATTATTTCTTCATGGTAAATGCTACGTTGTATCTGGCGTCATTTTAAACTATTATAATACTCAACAGAAGTGCGGCTCATCAGTTTAAGCAGTTGTCACTCAATTGATAGACTCCAAACATATCGCGCCTACTTTGGTCTGAATCAACGGGTGGTATTTCAAACTTCCACATCTCAACTTTCACTCAGTTCTGCACGTGGAAGTGTGTACCAGGTGGCTTAGGTGCATTGTATTTGAATTAGATATTGCGGAATTCTGAATTGCTAGGTCACAACTCTAGACCTCGAGATACCCCTCAAACACTAAAGATTCACATAGCTATGACTGATTGGAGTCATGGTGATTCCAAGCTTTCGATGGCCACACACACGAAAGCACAAGATCCCGCAAAATTGTGTGCTGAAATAGAACAAAGAGAATAAACACTTGACAAGTGTGTTTGTCCCCAGTTCTGTAAAAGTAGCTTTGAGGTGTGTCAATTGGTCATTATACGCAGAAAGGTCTTTACATAACTGCGTAGTTGTTCAAGTTACCAATTACCATATCTGCACATCAAGTGAGAGGTAACCAAGAGCTTAACATGATATAATCAAAGGTAACTGAGAAGGGAACTGTTGAAGAGAGAGAAGTGTGATATGTCTTGAAATATATCACCTGGATTTTCTACCCTTAGATTCTGGTAATCACATGGATTTCAACTACATTCATGAACAGAGTTCACGTCGATAACATCAAGTGCATTGGTCAACTTAGTTCACCTTCCGGTGAAATGATATTAAGGGAGACATAGACAATAGGAACTTGCAAGTCCTTCGACTAATACTCCGGTCAGATGCGTGAGGGCTTATTAAATCCTTTAACATCAGACGACCACATATACATACATAGCGTATTAGGACATCTGATCCTTAAGTTCATAAATTTAACCTGTCCCAGAATGTTTCCCACACATCTCAGTACACTGATGAAAAAGTAAGCTGAAATAATAACAGTACTAATTGGGTTAGGTTCCGACTTGACAACTTAGAGTGTGATCCTACAAAATATTTTCAAACTACAGTGAACATTCACAAAGAAAGAATTACTCTCAAAATCTCCCAACAACATGAATAGAGAAGACAGTTTCTTTAAAGCTTGGGATAATGTGTATGTGATCAGATACAAGTAGGAAAGAATGCTAAATAAAAGTAAATAAACGAAAAATCAGCAAATCATCGGTAGTTGTCAGTATACTTACAAAAATCATTTATATACGTATGCATAGTAAAATAAAAATGATCTGAGATTACAAATGTGACAACAGTAAGAGATTTTTTTTCTAACCATTTCTTAACTCCCTATTAGCATATACAATATTATCTTCATTAATTTTCCGTTCATTATCATCAATCTGTTCATCGTTTCCATAAGAATCAAACTCATCATTTATTGGTTCTTCTTCCTGTTCATCATTTTCTGGTATAGGATTCGATGTAGGCTGATGCATTAACATTGCAGCTAGTTCTTGTTTTGCATGCTGTTGATTCAATTCTAACATTTGTTGTAATGCATTCTTAATGACACGAAAGTTAAACTCTATTAAACCTAGAAGAAGGGAACAAAAAACCAGAAAATAGCGACTTTAATATGAGATTTCGCTTTAAAAAAGTGTACAGCTTACATCATTAAAATTTTATTAATGAGATTTAATGTTCATTACTCACTTCTATACAATTGGATTAATATTGTTCAATACACTAGACGAGTCCATTTTTTGTTTACAACATCATTACATGTATCCGTTGCCAATACTAAGACATCGACAGCGTTGTGTTGCAAACTGCACACTACTGCAGTTTCTATTGAGATTCCATTGTGGGTAAAATTTTATTTTGATAAAGTCTCACAGTGTTAAACAGTAATATTTACTGATGACTTTTCGAGAACAATTTGTTGCTCATAACCATATCGATCATATCATATCAGGAAAAAAATATAACTTCCAGGTACTTGATAAGCAAATCATAATTCGGATTTGTAACCTCGCCTATTTTACTAGCTCGTTAGTTTTCTAGCCGACCCCAAGCCCGGGAAACAAGAGACGGTTGGGTGTGAGAGAGGCTAGCGACCCTACCCCCAGAAAATCAGTCGAACTACTGCAGACACCTCAAAGCACAATACAAATATTAAAAATATAAAAACGAAATTTATTTTTCGTTGGAATCGGAGAGGGAAAGTGACGCTCGCTAGTGAAAGCCTTTGGGAAGCCAGTCAGCCGATGTGTCTTCTTTTGATGAAGGCAAAAATAAGAATGGGGACGTGAAATGTTAGTAAAATTTACGAAGCTGGGAAGCAAAAAAACTTGGTACAATATGGCATCAAGACGATGTGCCACACACAACATAGATTAAAAGTAAAAATGAGTAGAGGATGGATAAAGAACTTCATCTGGAAGGAAAACAATCATACTTAACAAGTCCAAACAGTATTGGTCAACTATCATCAGGAAGGGGAGAAAGAAGGACGTCCGACAATGACGTGGAGAAGATCATGGAAGGAGGAGGTGGGAGACTATTGGCGATCCCGGGTCCAGCTTAAGAGGACCTGAGAAAATAGGACAAAGCAGAGGTGTGCTACTGAAGCCCTGTGTTCCACTCGGAACCCAAGGGAACAATAATAATAATAGTTCGGACTTTTAAACCCCTGACAAGAAGAACCAACTGGCTACATTTTTTGGCATATAGGCTTCTTAGTCATGTACCCAGCTGACTAGTCAACCATCTTTCATTGTTATTTAGTGTTTTCGATGTAGGTTGTCCAAAATGGTCAGTTCCCTTTAGTGAATAGCCCAATAAAATTAATAGGAGGGCATTACAAGTACCCATATCGATATTAGTCCCGAAGAGATGGTTTTTATGTTTTGATCATCACATCAATAGCTGCCAATAGGTACATATGTAATGACGGTTTACTCGTACAGCGGATTTTGTTCTTAATCTGTTTTCGGATCCATAAGAAAGTCTTGCATCTATATGTCCAGATGAGACTGAGAAAACCTACTGGTTTTTATTAACTTTTAACTACATGGCAGCACTAACTTCCTCATTACTGCTCTTATGCCAATCAATTTTTTCGGAATGACTATTGATCTCTCGCTGAATAGACACTCAGTCTTATCCTCCCTGAATGTATACTGAATGTCCTTTTGTGTATTGCTGGAAGTGTGTGAAAGCTTTACACTTCCAGGATAAGCAACATATCTCCAGCCTCCATTGTTTTTACTCCCCGTTATTACCTCACAACACAGTAATACGAAATAAGTAATGCAAAATGATTAGGTAAACACAATCGATTATATAAATAATATACATACCCATTTTTTCCAATGATTCTTCATACATTAAACAAGCTAATGCCATATACTGGTTGATTCCACGTAAATATAATGCTCTGTCATTGTTTAAAATAATCGTAGCACCAGTTTGTTCAGAAACTGGAGGATCAACAAAATTAGATCGAGGGCTGAAATAAAAGAAACGGGACTGGTCTTAATTCGGTAGACGGATGATATGGTATAGGCTGAATAACCCCCCCCCTCACACCCTAGTTTGAACGAGCGCCATTTGGACCCAAGTAAAAACGAAGCATTCTTGATGCAACAGGCCACATATGGCAGTATAAAATCATGAAAACGCAACTTTATGTGTTTACCTTAGAAGCCTAGATATGATTATGAGGCATCTATACTGTTAAAGACTACCAAGAACTCTGTTATTTTAATTATTATTATTATTATTATCTTTTACCTTCCCAATGGCACATAGGGCTTCAAGCTAGAACTTTAAAGTTGCGGCAGCAATACTATTTTTACGGGGTGGGATCGCTAGCCTCACAACCAACCTTCCGCCTTTACCGGCTTAGGGAGGTTCAGGGATGCATCGGCCGAGGATCGTACCCCTGACAACGTGAGACATGGTTGTTGAGCATTCTGCCGCTGTGCCACCGACGCACAGCAAGAACTCCGAAGCTATCAGAATAAATATATCATAAAGATTTTCCTAATTCATAATATCTACATCGCTTCTGTCGTTACGTCAAAATAACAACTCTACAATAAGCGCAGATGTTAAGGTGTGTTATACTGAATTCAAATTAAGCGGTGTACATCGGTCATTTTTACAGGGAATGTGAAGGAAACTACCGTCAGTGATTACAATTTTGTGTTAATTTACGGTTACGTATAGTAGGGGAGGAGTAAAGCCTTACGCAAATCTAACTTTCAACAATAATCTTCACTGATGCATTTTACGGGATTTAATTTATGCAGAACATATAGTCTGTTGTTTACTAAACAGTTAGCAAAAGTGTATTCCACTGTGATGTATAACAAAACAGACTATGATAAGAATTTAACACTCTATATATCAGTTCATAAATTGCTTTATAGAACATCAAGCAGAATATTACGCGTTACGGTCAAGATACATTACTGTCATTTAAATCAAGACCATTAAGAGCATCAAAGTGTGTCGGTGGCGCAGTGGCAGAATGCTCGCCAACCATGAGGTGGTCCAGGGTTCGATCACTGACCGAAGCGACCACCCTCGCTTAGCTGGTAGTAAGTGATGAGGGAAGGTTGGGCATAAAACTAGCTAACTTACCCCATAAAAATAAAGCCACTGTCCCTCGTCGACCGCATTCGTTTCTTAAGAAGTGTTGTGAGGTTATAAACTTTGGAGGCATTTTAAGTGCACTTAACTCTGCGTAAAAAACCCTAACTAATTTTTATTCTTGTCTGACAAACCTAATGTACACATATATACAAAAACAATGATATATAACTGCAATTGTACAGCTAAGTGAGTGAATTCACCGGCGAAAAGAGACTCTTTGCTGACCTGTGTGTGTTTCATTTTTCATTAATGTCTGGATGGGGATTATTCATGAATTATTAAATTGTTCTCGAAGTGTAATCACCAGTAATTTATAATGTATATATGTTTATGTTTATCAAATAAAATTATTTTATGCTAGAATTATAATCTACTAAGCTGCCTGAATTCAGTGAAATTTAATCAAGATGTAACCGCAGAACACAAGAGTATTCAGTAACGGAATTGTTTATTGGCCACTCGATGCACAGATGTAGACAAAATATATCTACCGTATATTTAAATCACGATTCACACATGTCTTCCACATTATGCCTCTTTGTCTTCCTTTCATGTTTTCTATGTTGTTTCACAAGAAACCTTCGTTTCTTCTCTTCGCTAATCAATACTCCTGCAAGTAACACACATATATATATGTATCTAAATGCTACTTGCAAACCTTGTCAGTAGTATGAGCCATCGATAAAGAAGCAAATGCACTTTCAACTATTTCAGAATTAATGATGACTGTGAAATTTCAAATAAACAGTCGTGACATGTGCTACTGACAAAATTCTGTTAGTAGTATATTGTGTGTAATATCCCTTGCGAGGATATTCAATAGCAGAGCGACGGACTAAGTTATTTAGATGAGGAATAAAGGAACCTTTAAAAACAATATAGAAGGCACAAAATGAGGACAAAAGATGCACAAAATGAAGAGTTTGTGCAAGCGATAATTTTAGTGTACAATTTGTACATTCTACCATGACAGTTCACCATTTTGCCGAATTAACAATCTCCTACCAAATATTACCATGTTCTGTTGACACACTTTTTTCCTAAACAGTAAACGCATTATTTTTTATCAAACATAATATTGAGAAGAGAGTTGAAAGAAAATTTACAACTCTTATGGAACCAAATATGAGAACACCAAGTGCACAGCTAATTATGATTGGGATAACTAAAACATGCAAGTGTACAGTAACGTTAAGTGTGATCACGAGAAGTGTTTAAACAGAATAAAATAAAAGATATTGGCTGCTGTTGTTGTTGTATATGTCACTATATCAGCTTTATCACATTCATAGGACTTGGATGGTCTTATTAATACCCATATTGTCATGAATATATAATGCTTAGAGTGTTGAATTACTTACTATTGATCTAATTGTTCCCTAAGTTCTTACCATAAATGTGTCACAGTCAGCGTTTTTATTATTGGCACTGGAGGATACATTGTAAGTCATATTTTACCTGATCTGAAAATCAGACATTTGACCCTAACGTAGATAGCTGTTTATTAACGTATGTACTCCAGTCAAAATATAGTGGTTTACAGCTTGGTTGTAATTTCGAGTCAGATATTTCCACTTTCACCAAGCGATAAATTCTCGCCTTCACAGTTAGTACTCTTTGTCTTTTCATGGTAGGAATAGTGTTCGGAAGATTTGTCGTAAATTGTTGAAGGTTGCAGTAACAATAAGAACAAGCCTAAACCCTAATGTAACTTAAAATTATAAAAGTTTTCAATTGCAAATAGTGAATAAAAGAAACAACTTTGCATGAATATTTCCAAAAAATAAAGTTTGATGTTAATACCGTGGATTACACCTAGATGAGTTAAATAACCACCAGATAAGCAGTCTAGCCAACTCGGAGAGAAAGTATTTTTGCGGATACCGTTAAGCCTCATGTCATCTAGTACTAGTGTGGTGTGTGCTACTTATAAGATTTATCAGCAGTATATTGACAGAACAATCACAATCAACGGGAGAGATTTGATGGAGGTTACGTCCTGGCTACACTTATCCAGGAAACATTGTTTCAACCACAGGCAGTCGGCATGGATGAAGGTATCAAAGCCAGAATCGGTAGGACAAAGTACACCTTTACCAATCTTGCAATCAGCTTGGAAATCTGCAGCATAAAGAACAAGATTCGAATTTTCAACACTAATGGTAAGTCAGTCAGTTCTTCTGTGTGTCATAAACTTGGAGCTCGCGTCACGAAAGTCATTTCCAAAAAGTTGCCTTCGCTGGTTCCGTATTCAAAATTAAATATCCAGGGAGAATTAGCAACAAGAAACTCTGGGAGCGAACCAAACCACGAACTATTGCTCAATTATAGAAGCAAATGGAGATGGTTAGGCACACACTGAGGAAACCATCAACTGACATCCTGCGCAAGGCTATCACTCAAGTGGAATTCGAATGGGATACGACGAGTGAGTCCGCAGTGCCAGGGTGACACTAAGGAGTTCATGCAAAGAGGAAATGGTAAAATGTAGTCACTCGCGGACCCAGCTAAGGAGGATAACAGAAAATAGAACAAAGTCGATATATGTTGCTGAAGCCCTGTATTCCACTTGTAACCCAAAGGAATAATAATATAAAGAGACGTTCATCGGCATAAAAAGCATCAAAAGGCATGGAGATAGATTTGACGTCAAAGGAAGCAAATGATTCAGCGTTGCGGAGATACTTGGGTGACGTGAAAATGAAGAAAAAGAAACACAACACTGTAGATCTATGTAAATGATGATTTGGAGATAGGGTGTACATAATTTCGCTTTCTGAGATATCAAATTGCAAATAAATATTCCTCCATGAAGTCTCTTGTCTTCTACTGTTACATTAGGTATGCTACGTATGCCTAGTCATCGCCTTCCTCGATGGGCAATGTTAGCAGATATAGGGTCAGGCTGGAAAAGAGATAGCGGCGGTCAAACGAAAACAAGGCACCAGTCAATGAAATCCACAACAGTTAGTCTAAGCCACGTAGGAAGATGTAGGCTTCCTGATTGGTTGGGGTCCTCGGGACGGTAAAAACCAATGGTTGGAAACAATTGGTGACATGGCTCAAAATCGTTCTCAGTGGCGCAGATGCAACCACTCCTTGTGACTTATGTTTTCCAATGAAACTGTTTTATTCTCCGTTATTACTATTCCTTTGTCTCACACCTCTGTTTACTGTCTATATTATGCATTTCTTCTACTTTCTTCTCTTGCTTTGTGTGCTACATGGAGTGTGGCGACTTGAACTGCCGCACATATGTGCAAAGTTCTATGTCGAAAACCGACCGATTAGGTATGCTAACAGTATCTTCAACACAAGCGACTTCTTCTACTAATAATGTAAGCCAAATGACTGAAGTAACTAGGGATGTATCAGATAATCAATAAATACATATATTGGATAAGGGCGGTAGAAGAATAATTACGAGCATGAAATAATTCAGTGCTTTTTTTCCTCTTTGCAGTGAAAGCCAGGGTAAAGACAAGACTGCCTGTGGTCACCTATGTATGACATTCCTGATGGTGGTGGACTAGATCATGAAACAGACCATGGGGAGCGAGAAGACGGATACCTCGACAAAAGCATTGTAGAAGATCTGGACTACGTGAATGATTTATGTCTAGTGCCTCACAAATTCAACGATCCACATCCGAAAACCAACAAGTTGACAAAAGAGGTAGTCAGCCAAGACAGGACTTCGAGTGAACACATAGAGAAGACAGAGGTGATGAGGATACCAACAAACACCGATCACTATCATTGGAGAGAATCGACACAAAGTCGTCCCTTTTACTTACCTGGGCAACATTGTATGAACTACAGATGGTACGGATGAAGATGTCTAAGCCAGGATTAGGAAAGCTAGACATACCTTCATTACTCTCAAATCAGTATGGAAATTTACCGCAATCAACATAAGGAACAACAACAACAACACCAATGTCAAGTCACCGTTTCTAAACAGTACACAAACTTGGCGAGCGTGCCAACCAAAATCATTTCCAGCAGGTTGCAGAATTTCATCAACAGCTACTTTCGCTTCATACTAAAGGTCTCAGCTGGAAAAGATAAGCACCTCAGATGAGCTCCCAAAATAACCAGAAGAACAAATATGCAGACGGAAGTGTAGATAGATTGGACATATACTGAAAAGAACGTTGAGGGATATCACGCTCCAGGCCAACGAGTAGAACTCGAATGGAGATCGATGGATTAGATGTCTCAAGCGTAGCATGGAAGAGATCGTGTGAGGAAGAAATGAAAACTTATAAGCAATCATGCTACCAGCTAAAAAGGCAGACTGCAGAGAATATAATGGAATAGAGATGAGCTAGAGAAGCTCTATGCTCCACTAGGAATCCAAAAGAAAATATGATGAATAATAACAAAACTTTTGATCCTTTTCACACACACACATACAATGCTGCCAATATAGCCATCATGATCATTATTACCATGATATGGAGGAGAAAAAAAAAGTAAAACCATTTTCACATAAAAGAAAAGAAAAGTCGTTATTAGCTTACGTGTATATCGCGGCCACATCTACAACGACATCAATCATATCACAGCATAGTTCATAAGTTTGCATATCCACTACATTAGAATCTGTTGCCAAATAAATCTTACTGGCAACATCGAATAGGAAAGCTTTATCTACCATTGAGTTCTTGAACGAATTGTGAAAGAAGAAAATAGGAGAATCATCATCAAATGTTGAGTAATGCAATCATTTAAAAATGTACTTAGGAAAACAGTATCTTATCTTATTGCTAATGTAAGAGTAAGATTTGGGCACTATTATAATTATTTACTATTATGGTTTTCCTGGGTTTGGAGTGGAATACAGAGCTTCAACAATACATCTCCACTTTGTTCTATTCTCTGCTATCCACCTTAGCTGGGTCCGTGAATGACTACAGTTTACCATCTTCTCCTTGCACGATCTCCTTAGTGTCATCCTCGCACTGCCGACCCACTCGAGCGACTGACCGTCACAGGATGTCACTCGACAGTCTCCTCAGCGTATGCCTGATCTACCTCCATTTTTCCCTGCATATTTGGTGAACGATAGGTTCTTGATTAGTTTGTTCCTAGCGAGAGTTTCTTGTTGCCAATTCTTTCTGGCCCCAGCCATTTGTCCTTCAATACGGAGCCAGCGAAGGCAGGTGTTGATCATAAAAGTCTGCAGTGGCCTGTTGGAAATCATTTTAGTGACACATCCGCCAAGTTGCTGACTCATATAGAAGAAATTACTCGCTTAAAATTAGTGTTGGAAATCTGGATCTTGTTTTTTATGCTGAGTGCAGGAGATTTCCAAACCGATTTCAGAGTGATGAAGGTGTATTTAGCGTTACCGACTCTCGATGGCTTTGACATCTTCATCCGTTGCAACTGTGTGTGGTTAAAACGATGCTTCCCAGATAAGTGAAACCAGGAAATAAACTCTGTCAAGTCTCTCCCGTTTATGGTAACTGATGTTAGTTGTTATTATCTCTGGCTGGTTATCGTATCTAAAATGTTATGATTAGACGTGTTTTCAAAATGATGGTGTTTAGGATTAGAGTTTAGTTGAAACATCCTGTCCATCTTTTTGATTTGTCTTCTTTTCTGGATTGAAGATATAATTATCCTTTCAACTTCAAGATGTTGTTAATGACAGTCTTCTATTCTGGTGCAACCAAGACAGATAGGATTCCATCAATATTGGAAATACACATTCGAAATGATTCCAGGCTTTTGGTTGCTCTATGAACGCGTTCTCGTACAAACGTTCTAGTTGTGGAATCAGCCACTTTAATCGACCTACTGGAGTTGTCAGGTGACTTGACATCTACGAATTTTGGATATACATTTTCTGTAACGTAATGTTTTTTTCTGTAGCTGTCAACTCCAGCAGGTCGACTAAAGTGGCTCATTTCACAACTAGAACGTTTGTACGAGAACGCGTTCATAGAGCAACCAAAAGCCTGGAATCATTTCGAATGTGTATTTCCAATATTGATGGAATCCTGTCTTGGTTGCACCAGAATAGAAGACTGTCATTAACAACATCTTGAAGTTGAAAGGATAATTATATCTTCAGTCTAGAAAAAGAAGACAAATCAAAAAGATGGACAGGATGTTTCAACTAAACTCTAATCCTAAACACCATCATTTTGAAAATACGTCTAATCATAACATTTTAGATACGAACAAAGTGGTGGTTAATCTATCCAACGATGGGAATTTATCTGGCTATGAACTATCCCTCCTTAAAAAGGGACTTCATTTTAATTTAAACAAAAGGCGTTTATCGACCTTTGAAATAGTTCCAACAATTGAACCGTTATTGAAGTGTGCGACAGCCGTCATGAGATACAAAATTCCGGCAGTACTGCTAAATCAGAAGCTAAAATCGCTGAATATAAGTAAAAGCGAGCAACTGGCATCAAAACACCTGAAGAAAGATAGATCGATTGTCATTACAAGAGCAGATAAGGGTAGTACCACGGTTGTTATGAACTCTGCAGATTATGAAAAGACGAACTCAGTGCTTGTTGGCCTTTAAATCCAGAAGAATTTATGAAGGCGCTGGAACTGTGTCTACGCTCCACGTTATTTACATTTAGAGGGATTCTCTACCGCCAAACATAAGGCATTGCTATGGAATTACCAGTGTCTCCGCTAGTCGCCAATCTGCTTGTCCACTTATTAGAAACAAATGCAATTATGAGATGCTCTAGTCCTCCCCCCCCCCAAAGAAAATGTGGTTACGATACGTGGATGATACCTTCGTCATAACCAGACGCAGCTTGTTGAATGAACTTTTTTATTTAATAAACAATATGTCAGAAACCATCAAGTTTTCCAAAAAGGTTGAATCCGACGAGAATGATTTGGCGTCCCTGGACTGTTTAGTAAAAAGAAAACCAGACGGTAAACTTAAAATAAACATTTTCAGAAAACCGACAAATTCGGACCGATATATAGACTACTTTTCAGCACATCCCTTTGCCACCAAAGTAACCGTGGCCAAGAATCTGATTAACAGAGCCAAACGTCTAGCTACTGAGGAGGGAGAGATCAGCAGGGAACTGAAATTGGTTTAATGCACTCTTTAATCACACAATTACCCCCCAAGCCTTCATAAAAAGATATTTAAAGTGTGAAGATAAGGACGGATCGAAACCTGTTGCTAAGAATTGGGTTAGCACAGCGGTGATTCCTTACCACAAAGAAACATCCGATGAGATAAAGCGAATGCTTAACGATCATCACATAAGAGTGGATTTTCGTGCAACTAACACCTTACGCTCATCACTGGTGAAGGTTGAGGATAAAATAAAAGACAACCAACAGAATTGTGTGTACCAGATCAATTGTGGGGACTGTGACGCCGTGTATGCAGGAGAAACTTCAAGACCTCTGCAGACTTAAAGAAACTAGAAAACGGATCACCGATTGCACTACATACGATAGAAACGGGATACGAAATCGACTTTGATAGGACTAAGGTTCTATGGAAAGGTTTTGTTTTGTATAAAGAAAGACTGACTGCAGAAGCTTTGCATATATGGGTGAATCCCAACAGTTTGAACAGACATGAAGATGTGATGTTAGCTGATGCATGACAAATCCTGATTAATAAATAAAAAATGGATATGTATCACTAACTTATCATATTTGGTCTAAATTCCGGATTGTCTATATTTCCTTATGGAGAGACTAACAAATGTTTTACGACTGTTTACCCATACACACACCATTGTGTGCCGCATATACACATATATATTCTTCGTATTCAGTTATCTACGACCATGAACTTTTAGTCAAACGTGATAACTAAAATTCTGATGAAACACTTTAAGTGTTTAACGATAGTAGACTAATATTTGTAAGTAAAAACAATTAGTTCCTTTGATAAATTTGAATAAGGCATTTAGAAGACAAATTATGCGAGATGAATTCGTCATTTCGTAGTTTCTTTACAACCGCTTTACAACTAACATGGTTAACAATAATAAAATAAAGTTCATGACAATTACTCAGTTATATAAAAAAACAAAAGTACATACTAATGCCCAATCATATTTGAATAGGTCAAGTAGTCAATCCATGGTAGGCGAAGATTGAAGTCTATTGTTTTTTGTACACACAGTTTAGGCTGTATGTGATCAATCCAAAGGGCTTCCATCACCTTCAATAACCTTGCATTAGAGTTATGTGAAATAATTGTGAACAAGACATATAAGGGAACAATATTGTTTTCAATTAGATCTTCTTCAGGCTTTACTCTAATTTACATAGACTTAAATATAAAATTTTTAACCAATGACGGTGATTTTTGGAATCAAATAATAATAATAATGTGGTAAATGTTTTGAACGAAATTAATAACGATGATTATAATGATAACAAAATATTGATAATAAGGTTTATGCAGGTGATAAGAATAACAAAGATAGTATATGCATATATATGTATATGTAGACAATTCTGATGCTCGCTAGTGACTTGCTACAGGATGGAGTTTCCTGGAGTTCTAGTGAGAAGTCGTGACCAGTGAGGTCCAATTAGATGTCACGTGTGTGGATGGATGTCCCACCAACGACAATGGTTGGGGTTGCGCTAAATCACGAATTGGTAGAAGTTAGAATTCACCAGCCATTGAATCGGGTCCCAGTGGCTGGATGGTGTACGAACTTGCCTTGTAACCGGAAGGTCCTGGGTTCGAATCCCAGTGGGTGCGTACTGCCGATGATTCCCAAACTAGGGTGAAACAGCAGCTGTCCAGTACTCCCTGGTTTTCAATGGTTCGCTAACTGATATCAGTCCGTGATCAACTCGTAAATCTTAAAAGGTGAAGTGGAACGATAATCAGAGTTTAAATAAATATTATAAAAGTACGAAGGATATGGAAAATAAGAAAGGGTGGGAGGGTTTTGAATAGAATTCACCTAGGCCAAGGGAGAGACAAATTTATTGCTAACGTGGATGATGTCAATGTAAATGGGAAGCAAATGCTTTCCTTAGATGTAGCATCACTGTTTACCAATGTACCATTTATGGAGATTGTGGAATTCATATGCCAACAGATACTAGAAAAACAGATCGACATCGGAATTGCAGTTATTAGTCTGAAAGAGTTGCTTTTAAAATGTACTATGAATTTGCATTTCATATTTAACAACCTTTACTACAGGCAAATCGACGGTATTGTCATGGGTTCTCCATTAGGGCCAATTTTGGCAGATTTCTTTCTTGCCAAGATTGAAAATGGTTCATTGAGACAAGTAATAGAGAAAACCTATTCTTATTTTTGTTATGTTGATGATACGTTTATTATTCTTGATGTGAAAACTGACAAGAATGAAATGTTAGAGAAGTTTAACGATGCACATCCATCGCTCATCTTCACTTGTGAAGAAGAACATGATGGTAGACTGCATTTCCTTGACGTTCAATTGAGCAGAAGAGAGGATGGTTCACTCAAGAGAGATGTCTATAGAAAACCTACATCTGTAGGACAAAATACACATTTCCTCAGTTTTGTACCAATCCGATATAAAATCAATTTGGTCAGATGCCTCACGAATAAAGCAAGACGTATCTGTACAGATGACTCCCTAGAAAATGAGCTAGGATATATCCAAAATACGCTGGTCCTAATGGGTTATCCTAGTAGATTTGTAAGGAGACACATGAATACCAGGTACAATAAAGAAAAACTGACAACAGTTAGAAAGAAACAACTGTTCATGAAACTGCAATTTAATGGGGACGTGGCTAGCGAAGTCTTACATCTGAGATTATCGAGAGCGATAAAACGGACTTATACTGCCGCTACCCTTTGTTTGTCATTTTTCAGCCGACCAATTTTGATTGCTCAAGTGAAAGATAAGCTACCTAGCTGTGCCACTTTGATGTGTATATATAAATTTAATTGCTCCTGTGGAGAAAGCTACGTAGGGCGAACAACAACAAATACATTAATGAGCATCTTCCTTCATGGTTCGCAAAAGGTCAAATAAAATCCATACGAAGTTCTATTTTGGCTCATTTGATTGATAGCGGTCACCAAGTGGACAAAAATAGTGCCTTCAAAGTTATCTACCGTATTCCATCGAGTCTTTCGAATGGAATCAGAACCCATCTTTTACACCTAGCCGAAGCTATGGGAATTCGAGAGAACAGTCCTAGTCTTTGCATACAAAAGAAGTTTGTTCTACCTTTGTCTCTCCCTTGGCCTAAGTGAATTCTATTCAAAACCCCCCCCCACCCTTTCTTATTTTCCATATCCTTCGTACTTTTATAATATTTATTTAAACTCTGATTATCGTTCCACTTCACCTTTTAAGATTTGACCTAATTTATTTATTTATTGAATTGTCTACATATACATATATATACATATACTATCTTTGTTATTCTTATCACCTGCATAAACCTTATTATCAATATTTTGTTATCATTATAATCATCGTTATTAATTTCGTTCAAAACATTTACCACATTATTATTATTATTTGATTCCAAAAATCACCGTCATTGGTTAAAAATTTTATATTTAAGTCTATGTAAATTAGAGTAAAGCCTGAAGAAGATCTAATTGAAAACAATATTGTTCCCTTATATGTCTTGTTCACAATTATTTCACATAACTCTAATGCAAGGTTATTGAAGGTGATGGAAGCCCTTTGGATTGATCACATACAGCCTAAACTGTGTGTACAAAAAACAATAGACTTCAATCTTCGCCTACCATGGATTGACTACTTGACCTATTCAAATATGATTGGGCATTAGTATGTACTTTTGTTTTTTTATATAACTGAGTAATTGTCATGATCTTTATTTTATTATTGTTAACCATGTTAGTTGTAAAGCGGTTGTAAAGAAACTACGAAATGACGAATTCATCTCGCATAATTTGTCTTCTAAATGCCTTATTCTAATATTTGTAAGTCTGAGGTCAAGTTTAGATCACAGCTCATATAATTTATTTTGTTTATTATGCTTTGATGACTGATTCAGGACTCATGCGATAGGACAGAATTTTTAAGAACAAAAGATGTTCCTTTTATATGTAAAACTTTGTTATGTTAATTTCGTTTAATTTCCTTGAAGAAGTTTGGACCAGTTTACCGAACGAAACGTTGGAATTACTCATTTCAATTTCGCTGCAATTTTACAAACATAGTTGTGATAAATGTCTACTTTCATTCGTGTTTCCTTTTTTTGATACGGTTGTTAATTTTGAGAATGTCGAGGTGTGATGCATTGGTCACCTCACAGCTGGCTTTGTAATATAGCTGTTGAAATTCTATAGTGTTGAAGTAGTTTCTTAACTATATCTAGCTAGGATTTGTGCACTGGTAGAATTTAATTATTAATGTGTTGAAACACAAAAACACAGAATGAAATTAGAAGACGCGTAGAAGTGGGCAATTATCTCCTGCCTCTTGTCAAATACGCCTGTCAGTCTATTGGTAGAAAATAATCAATCAATTATATGAATTTGTCAGACTTACATTTGCTACCAACTAATATATTATATATATATATATATATATATAATATGCATATATAGTCTAGAAGTATGACATAAGCTTCGCTCCATTTAAGTGCAAAATGTTGTTGGAAGATTGGGAAAATCATCTGCCTGTACTCATCTTCGCAGGTGAAAGATTAAGAGTAGTAGACGAGTTCGTGTATTTGTTTAGTTGTATGAATGTTGGTGATGTGAAAACTCTAGTCGTATAGTGAAGGTCAAGGCACCGTATGCCAACATGAGACACCTCCGATGCCGTCGTGACGTTAAGCTGGTCGTTGTAAGTCGGGTCTGCATTGTGTCAACCAGCACAGTGTCGTACTGCACCTTTGTTTCAAAACATGTTACCTATGGGCTGAGGATGTGCAACAGCTTTGCAGGTTCGACAACCATTGCCTGTAACAGAATTGCTTGCATCCAGTGGCTTAATTATACAAGTAATTCTAAGGGCCGTCGGCGCGTCTGTACACGATGGATGTCATCTTTTAACAAATGTCATCACCCCAACGGCTTACCTACCGTTCGATATTTTCTAACCCTGACAAATGGTAAAAAAACGTAGAGGGGTGGTCAGCTCATGATGTAGGGCCTTGAGATAAAGGATAGTTAAGTTAGCATTTTTGGCGTTTCACAACCCTTAGGTGAGTTCCGCGAGATAATTCGAATCAATGATTCAAGATGTCAACAAGTATGACCTGCAATATTCTCTTTTTGAAAGAAACACGCGGTGATGAAAGTCCCTTGAATGTTCTTGATTAGTATGCTTACCACTTTTGTAATTCTGTTACTCAATTAATCTGCATCTTTTGCATATTTAGTGTGGTGCATCTCTTGGTGCACATTTTGTATCAATTTGTTGTTTTAAGAAAAAAGAAAAATTATAAGTAAATATGGAGTGATACCGCTTACCGTTATGAATATATTCAATAAATGTTCGAATGCATCCAAATAGGGAATTAATTTCTGCACCACTTTACTAAAAGCTTCGAAAATTGAATGGTCATATATGGTAGTTAGATGGAATCTGTTAAAATAAAGGCAATTAGAAACAAATTCACCATCTAAATGATATTTTTAAGTCACTTTATGACATTTCACAACCATAATTCAAGGGTGATAAAAACAAATCGAAGTGTATTAAGATTCTTCGTCCGGATTACAACACAACTCTAACTTAGTGAACTAGGAGATGCAAACTTTGGCTTAGTGGCTTAATCATTCAACTTATTGACAGTGGGTCCTAGGTTTGAATCCCGCTTCATCCACTCTAGTCACAGTATTTGTGTAGTATTGTGGTGAGAGCTGTCTACAAGCCAAAATTATAGACAACGTTTACGTCAATGTTTGCGTCCCGAATCGGGGTCATGAGAAAAAAACAGTAACAAAGCTTAACCTTGAGGAACTCATCAACCAATCACAGAAGACTTAACGTGTGCAAATACGATTCGCAGATATATGGCTTGACTTTCTAAGAAACTGTCACAAGCAGTACAGAATAGCCTTAGGCAAGAAAACAGCCAATCAGAAGACGTTGCTCCTCTGCTAACAATAACGCTAATAATAATGTACATAAAAATGCATAAATATCCCGTGATTTTCTCAATAAACGATCTGTTGCCTGACTCTTGTCTTCTGCCGTTACAGTATTAACAGCTGTCACACTGTATGTGTGTTGCTTGTAGCTTAGTACATGCGAACTCTGTCCCGGATAGCCATAACTAAGAGCCGTTGACTGAATTTCAGTTCCACAGAAATCTTTGAACACTTCATCGAAATAGTTTGTCCATCAGTGACATGTAACCATAATATTCAGTTGACAATAAATAGGCTATTTGTTTCATGAAAGTCATCCAGGTTATACATTTTGCTTGAAAGATTAGTCTACATGAAATATTTTCTCAATATACCATTGTGATCAACAATACTCAATATTACAAGCATGCTGATCATATATAAAACAATGTGATTGGTCACATATAGAACCGCCATCATCAAACTTATCATTATTATTCGCTTGGGTTTCGAGTGAAACTTAGACCTTTAACAGTCACCAAACTTAGGTAGAATCAAAACACCATTTGAAACTCTCTCTCTCTGTAATAGCATGTAAACGATTCGTACACACAGTCTTAGCGGTCCTATGCATTCTGCTACCTTGACAAATTTTATAAAAGGTAATGCTTCGGTATTTCCATCACAGGGATATATACAACTAACAAACAAAAAATTAATAGGCGAGCAGATGTTCTTACACGCATTGAAGATTGAAAAACTATCAACACATGAATAGGGCAGTTCAAGAACATTCAAGAAACAAAATCATCATGTAAGTAGATAAGAATCCATTTAGCAAGAACAAAGATACATCGAACAAGATGAGCCAAACTGGATGAATTATATGATTTCAAGAAACTATCAAATTTAGTTAGGAAAAAGGTGGACATTAAGATTACACAAATTTGTTACCAAAGAACTGTATGTGTATTGATCAGTGTCATGTTACATACCTAGAGGCGAGCGAACTTCAAACGAGTGAGGAAATCAAAAGCAGATACCTGGATAATGGCTTTAAACTGATCTTCATGGGACTTATATTGTGTAGCCTTGTAACGGTAGAAGACGAGAGACTTCGTAAACGAGTGTTTATTTGCAATTTGGGATCCCCACATAATGAAATTATGTACACTTTATCTACAAATCACCATTTGCACAGATCTTCCGCGTTGTGCCTGCCACTTCTGGTCTTCATATTTTGTTTCTCTGCGTTCCTTTCAAGGCTCCCATGTACCTCCGCAAAGCTGTATCATTCGCTTTCTCTGACAACAAATTTATCTCCCTGTTATTTGGTGTTTTTATACCGATGAACGTCTCTTTATATACTACCGATAAATCTTATTAGTACCACACGCCACAGTCTTCCTCGCTTTCCCATGAATTAAGGCCACTGTACTACGAAGGACTCAATAGTTTTTTCTTATTAATTTGTTTATTGGATATATCACACAGTGAAAGAGTATTATTCACTGGATAACGTTGCTAACACAACTTATTGTTTATTACAACAATATCAAAGTTAAAAATATAAGAGCTTGTTTTCTATTTCCATTGAGTTGTAGTCACACACACATGCATATATATAGATTATTAAAATGACCCACATGTGTTTACTGACAGTTCTGGGACAGGTGTACAACAATATAAAAGGCGATACCTATAGTCGACTCGTCGATATCAAACCTCGTAGGTACCTCCAATATGTTTCTGCAACTCACACAGCTTCAGCATTAAAATCTCCTGTTTGTATGGCCATGTTTAAGTGTTTTACTTTGTGCAACCAACTTCTGATAAAATATATCCTTCACTTCAGCTTAACAGTATTTGAATGAAGGGAAAGCAAAGAAGACCAAAAGGCATTTTTTTTCTCAGACTTATGCGCCCATTTGGCAGAAGAGCACTAGTGAGAATAAGTTAAGCCGTGAGTCTTCTGCTCTGTAGACTAATGTTGTCACTACGCCAGTCGAGCAATCCCCTAACCTTATTTGATTCCACTTCCTAAGAAACGAGAATATTATCGCTGACTTACTCACCATTCAAGAAAAAAACCTTAGTGCTATCACAATGTCCTCTGATCAGCAGTAAGATCCTTCGGAGCCCACCGAGATATCAGTAGCCTTCACTATGATGTCGAATATCTGTTCTCCTATCCAACTTTTTAACTTGGTAAAATCTCCACGAACAAGCATTCAATCCACTATAGTTCTTGGAATTATTGCAACATGTACGTCTGCCCAACACACCAGAGTAGTAGCTGTTTGTGTCACTATGCGAGTTCATGGAACGTGGCTGTCAGTCATCATCAGTCACATCAATAGAAATCCATATTATATGGACTGGTAAGAAATAAAGAATTCTTTATATCCTTACTGGTATTTTTCAGACATCGACTCAGATAAGTGAAGAGATCAGTACCACACACCGCCTCCTTCCCTCCACTAGCAGCTAAATAATGCAACTATGAAAACCAGTCCTTCAATTCTAATCAGTCATTAAAGGAAATATCTCAAACATTTCAACATTGTTCCCTTTTTTTTCAAGATGTTTACATAACGGTGGAATTCTCTCGTATCTTAATCAGTGTCTGCAACCAAGGCATCCTCTTAAAACAATAGACAATACATCTGCATAGTTGCGTACAGCTCTATATCCTTTATGAAAGCTACAGATATTAAACATCCGGTTAAAAAAAAATTATCCGTCACTTATTTACCAACCCATTTGAAATTTATATATTACTCCATAGAGAATTTAATTGGTATGTAAAACATGTTTACAGAGTTAACATCTAATTTAAAGCAAAATAACCACAGTGGTTAGTACTCTCGCCGAAGCACACCCGATATCTATGGTTGGCCTGCAAAATTTGGGCTACCGATATCCATGCTGAAAATTCCATACATGTACTGAAAAGACGGTGTGGCATCAAGATGTAATCAAAAATATAAAAAAATATACTTACCCTATACTAATTCCAGCATTTGATGGTTGTTCACAGAGTAGATCTTCTAAGACACCAGTTACACGTTGTGTAATATCACGTTGGATATCCATTTTCTGATCATCTGTTAAACAGTCCACTTTATGGATGAATACTTCGAATTTAATATTCATATTATAACGAAATGCTGATTCTAAAGTGACATGTAGACGAGTTAACGCTTCATGATAATCATCCTATAGATTGAAAGGTGAACACACACACAGAATTTATTCATGTGATACATATATATATACATTACTTAATAATGTATAAACCTTCTTGAAAGAATATAGAAAAGTATTCCACAAGAATCATGTGCACATTAGTGATTGAAAATTAGTCACAGTGTGAGATGGCTGAAACCTCAATTGGTGGATACAGCCAAGTTCAGTCAGCTAAATCGCGCAAACAATAGCAAATGGTATTAAAAGCCTAAATATAACAAATAGTCACTTTCAAGTGTTGGTTTGTAGGGATTTGATTGGTTTCAGGATTTTATCATGAATTGACATCGGTTAGAGGACCATTGGAAAACCAGCAGGGAGTACTTGACAACCGTTTCTGTTGTCCCCGTTCACGAATCTTCAGAAGTTTGCACCTACCGGGATTAGAACCCAAGGCCTTCCGGTTACAAGGCGAGCTCGTAGACCACTAAGCCAATGGGACCCGATCCCAAGGTCAATGAATTCAAGCTTCTGCTAGTGGTCGCGCTATGTAATGAATTGGCAGAAGTTGGAATTCGTGGACCATTGGATCGGGTCCCAGTGGCTTAGTGATCTACGAGCTCGCCTTGTAACCGGAAGGCCTTGGGTTCGATGAAGAGTCCCAAGCTAGGGCGAAACAGCTGTCTAGTACTCCCAGGTTTTCCAATGGTCTTATAACCGATGTCAGTTCATGATGAAATTCTGAAATATTTAGTTTGGTACACAAGTCCGGTCCTTATCGTTTAATACCTAAAAATTTAGTAAAAAGTGGGACAGGCGGAGGCGACATCTAAGTAACATCACACGCCACACTCTCGAGTGAAACCCGGACAGGAATTCACGAGTTGGGAGTCTAAAGGTGACATGGGGGAGACCTGGTGGATAGACGTTAAGCCAGTCGAAAATGACGGCAGGGAACCGAGTGAAATGGAGTTGTATTGCTCAAGTACTATACTTCACTTGAAATGCGAGGAACGACTAATAATAATAATTAGTAGAAAGTGGTAAACTGAAAACCATAGGTGCATTAGTTATCTTGAATGATTTAAAGACAACAAATGTGTGACGACTATTTATCAAATGAAAAGTGATTGCACTACGAAAAGATGTTACATCTTAGAGTCACAAATTTGTCATATATGTATATACTTGAAGTTAGTGGTTAGTGAATACTAGTATTGGAATTCAAGATATGTGTTTCGTCCTATTTGGGTCTCGTCGGCTGAATGTACCCGCATTCCCAGTGAATGATGGTGTTCCCACTGACACCCGAATCTATAGTTCCAAACGCCAAAGCATTACTCACTAGGCCACGAGGGCCGACATATCAACAGAGAACGAACACTCACGTCCAAAAAAAACCAATCAACGGCAAATGCAAAACTAACATGAGGAAAAAAATAACTCTTTACTGTTTATTGTTTGCTTTGTTTTATACCCTTAATCTTATTGTCCAATTTATACTCACATTATTTGAGTCAGTTTGAGTCCCATAACTTCCATAGTTCTTACTTAACATGGGACTGACTGAATAATTGATGCGTTCCATTTATCTCCAAGTCTCTTCTAATAATCCCAGAATATTTGTTTAACTCATGTTTCTGGAAAACAAGTTCACAGGCACCACTTGTCATTTCACATACATTACGTTACACGCGTCGGGTTTTACTTCTGTAACACATTTGAACTCAATCGATGAAGCTATAAAGTTACATAAGTTGAGATGGCTAGGTCACGTGCTGCGCATGCCTAACCATCATCTCCCCCGACGGGCATTACTAGCTGATATAGGTGCAGGTTGGAAAAGAGTAAGTGGTGGCCAAACAAAAATATCGCACCAATCAATCCATGAAATCCTTGACAGTTAAACTGAGTCAGGTAGGGAGATGCAGACTTCCGGGATGGGGCCCTCGGGACTTTAAGAATCAATGGCTGGAGACAATAGGTGACATGGCTCAAAATCGTTGTCAATGGCTTACGCAGATGTATTCAGTCTCTTGTGTAATCTTTCATATTCCTTTCTACCATTACTCATTCTGTTTCACTCTTATACTTGTCAAAACTCTATTGATTCTCTTCTCTCATTTTCGTGTCTACCTTTGTGTGCTATTTGGAACGTGGGAACTCGAACTGCTGCACTTCGGTGCCAAGTTCTATGTTGAATCCAGACAGACAACACATTTGAACACTGTGGTATAATAATACAATTTCACATTAAATAACTTCAATTGATATAATATCAAGCGATACAGTATGAATACTGTAATGTTGTTAATCTGCATTTTGGCATTTGAAATTGTTTCAGGTTCAGTAAAGTAGACAAGAATTGGCAAAATCAGTACGTATTCTACTATCCTACTCAAAATGTTGTTTTTTGTATTCAAGTTAATGAAGAAAGCACCATGTTATTTATCGGAGTTGTTCAAATCCTGCTGCAACTCAGGTTTGCATTTCCCAATTCAATCATCACCGAGTGTCTGTCACCGATTACAAAAGGTATATACATATATACATGATTTAGGATTAATAATGGTTGTTTAGCTTACTTGAGCATCGATAATAAAAATAATAGCACAAGAAGCTAAAAATATCGCCTCAGATTGAAATGTTTCATCACAAAAATCAATGTGACCAGGAAAATCCCAGATTTGAAATTTAATAAAGGAACAATCAGAAACATCTAGAAAGAAAAGTTCGTTAGAAAGTTAAAACAAGAAAAATTAAAGAGTAATTACCATTCTTTTCAATTTTGTGTGTACTTTCTAAGAATAGAGTTTCATTTGGTGCCATTTTATGGAAAACAACTCGCTGAATCGATGACTTTCCGCTTCTATTAAAGTAAAAAAGATAAAATTCAAGCGGACGGAATGTCATTAAACCTTCTTAAACCCATTAATAGGATTTTCGGTTTCTCATCAACTTGACTTAACATAGTTTGTGAAATGGGCAAGCGGCTGCCACCAGCAGTACCACTCTGTGGTAATTCATAATCATAATCTTCTTGATATCCAGTTGGAATATAATTCCCTAATTCTGTATAATTTGATCTACTGGCACCATCACTATTGCCATTATTCATCCTACAATCTAAACAAAAAAAACCAAAAACAAAATTACTTCAACTGTTGGCAAAAATTACTTCTGAATATGACATTTAATAGATTTAATGACTTACGTAACACAGAAACATATATCTAGTGAGTACGTTAAAATCAAGTTGCGAATTCGATACTCTTAAGTATAGCTGTTAACACCCTTAGGATACGATCGTTTCCTCTCAACTCACCAACTGACAATTCTGAATTCACACAACTTATGAATATCCTCTGTGCTTAGTACAGTTACAGAAATCCTCTGAATAGGGCAGATTGGGTAAGTATATGACTATGAGCTACACTTATTATTTGACAGCTTCAGAGGGCTGCTTGCTGACGAAATCTCAGCACGGAAAGAAAAGACTTGTGTTGCGTTAACCAACTTCCATAATCTCTGGCATAGACGTGATATCCGGCTATCGTGTGTACTGCTTATCAGTTCACTCGGACTTCTTTTATGGTTGTGAGACATGGCCATTGAAAGTGGAAGACATGAAAAGACTGTGTTACGTATACCTAGCCAGAGCCTTCGTCGACGAGCACTGTTAGCTGACATAGGATCAGGTTGAAAAAGAGGTAGTGGCGGTTAAACGAAAACATGGCATCAGTCCATGATTTTTTCAACAGTTAGTTTGAGCCACGTAGGGAAGTGTTGGCTACCCAGTTGGGGTCCTCAGGATTCTGAGAACCGATGGCTGGAGGCAACTGGTGATATGGTTCAAAATAATTCTCAATAGCGCAGATGCATTCACTCTCTATGATCCTCTACATCTACTGAACCGTCATGTTTTTCCATGTTACTATCACATTTCTGCTTATAAACGTTCATTCGAATCTCTTTTATCTTCCTGTTTGTGCAACTCGAACTGCTTTACTTCTCCGTAAAGTTCTACGATGAAACCAGTCAGTTTTATTATTTGAGGGCTAATGATAATACTTTTTCACTGAAGTTGGAGTAGATGGAGTAAGGTCCACACCCAGGTTCCACTGACTCAAAGTAAAGTATTTTTCACCGAAAATACCTATTGAGTCATGAAGAAAATAAAAGACAAATTCAGCGAAGAAAATTTTCTTTCTCGACGAAATCATCTTCAGAGGCTGTACAGTCGCATTTATACTTACCAAAAATATATAGTGACCTGTCATTGAGTAATAGGGGGTAACATAATTGATATAATTACTCGGAAGTGGCTTTAGAAGTAAAAATTAAAAGTTGTAAATTACGTGGTACTGAACGGAACAAAGATGTTTCACTGTATGACATATCCAATAAATAAATTAATATGGAAGAAATGATAGTTATATTGACCGCACACTTTCCAAACGCATCTCTGAACATTATCCGGGATGGCTGGCAAAGGGACAGTGCAAGACAATTACTAGTTCAATTCTCGAACACTTGATGAACTCAAGTCATACAACTCCGCCAGAGTTGTCTTTCAAGATCGTCTACAAGATAAGGCCAAATGGTACAAAGGGCGTCAGGTTTTGGCTTTTGTGTATGGCGGAGGCGCTGGCAATTCGTCAATACAACCCCGAACTCTGTATACAGAAAAAGTATGTCCAGTCTCTTATTCTACTATGGCTTTAACCTCTTCACTAGTCGTTCCCTGTAAAAAAAATTTGATTTTTTCTTTTCCTATTTTTTAATTTTACTTTTAGTTTGCTTTTGCTTTAATAATTACTTCACTGTTATCACTTCCATATGTTTCTTTTGTACATTCTCACGCCCACTTCACACTTGTTAAATTGACGCTCAACCACCTTTATTTTCACTCAATAGCAATTTTAACCTCATCAAATTTCTATCTTTGTGCAGTTGAGTACCACGCAATTTACAACTTTTAATTTTTACTTCTAAAGCCACTTCCGAGTAATTATATAAATTATGTCACCCCCTATTACTCAATGACAGGCCACTATACATTTTTGGTAAGTATAAATACGACTGTTCAGCCTCTGAAGATGATTTCATCGATAAAGAAAATTTTCTTCGCTAAAGTATTTTTATTTATTGAAAAATACAAACCTGTTGTTGTATGAGCAGCAAGAAATGCACCACATCAAGCAATGAAACAATATAAAGGAGAGAAGAATAAACTGGTCGAGGACCGACAGACGAAAAACACGCACGTATATTTACCAGGGTCATTTAAAACAATGCTGATTTATACTAAGAAATAGTAGGAAGGGAACTGCAACACTCCCCTCGTTGATCTTAATACTGGACCCTATGTGATGTCTCCCCCAACGAAGGTGCATGATCATTCGGATCGCACCCGGGGAATTGTAATGCACTACTAGATGACACCACATTACAACCATCCTTCAACTTACGACATCAAACAATAGGGGGTGACTAGATCCCCATTTCTTCGAGCTAGTCCCAGTGGCCATCAAAAGTTTGACGATCTAAAGGCGCTAGGATGACATTCCTAAAGCATGTCCAACTTACAGAAAGCTGTCCCAATATGACCACTTTTAAACAACAGTATCCACCATCCCTAAATACACGAGAAGCTATAACACATCTTCAGCTTGGAGGGGCCAAGATTCACTGACGGAGTTCGAGGCAACACGTACCTTCGTTCGCCAGACAAGCAACGCGATGGTAGTAGGTATGACTCATGTTCGCGCATGTCACCATGACTTTCGATATACTATTGGAGATTCCATTCGTCACACCTCTGTCCGTACTAAAACAGCTAACTAAATACACGAAATATTAGAATATTTCTGACAGTTGATCTAAGAAGAGGAGTGCGGATACAATCTCTTGACAGCTTTTTAATAGTATATATATATGTCATGAGTAGCACATGTCATCTACTGGTCAAGTGTTATTAATGGAATCTGTATGTTACCACAAAGCGAAACAATAAAATCTGAATACTTGAGGTCAAGAATTCTTTATCTAGGTATTAGACCTACACCACCACCAAGAAAATTACTTAGACCTTCGATTTTTTTTCAGACCTCTACTTTGTCAAATGATTCACTCCTAACTTGTTATATAGCAATGTACTTTACAATAGAAAAATCGGGTACTCAAGCTAGTTAGACTGATCTTTAAATTGTTGTTTCCAGAGTCTAAGCAGACTTCATATGTTAATCGGTGTACCATCTCACCCAAAGATCACTTCAATAACACGGCTTTTGATGCTTAAACAGCTCCCAATTGATTCTAACTCCGCCTCTCTAGTGCATTTTGATGTCTAAACTTTGTGATTCTTACGTAAGTGCTGTTTGAATTTATGCGTAAGCCTTACATATGTTATTTTGCTAACTAGCATCAAAACGTTGCAAGGAACTTGCAGAAACTCAGATTTTAGATGCATGTTTTTCTAAGCCACAAAAGGACTAACCTGCCATCCTGTAGATGTTGTAAATGTAGTCAGTGTTTGGAGAGGCAGTAACCAGCCTTGAATCTAGTGCAGTTTTGTATTTTGATGCAGCAGCATGTGAAACCAATTTGTTTATGTCAACCTACTAAGGAGGACGTTTGTTATGATCACCGACTCGTAAGGCGAACCTGTCACAACTAAACATTATTAGAGTACCGCATGAACTACTACTAACGGAGCTCCTGTTGCATGCTGTAACTTCATAACCGGCATTCAGTGCCACACCAACTACACAGGGTCTCTGAATAAGTGCACATGAAACATAGTTCTAAATCTGATATGTGGTGACCTAAATTCTGATCCGCATAGCCACATCCTTGTAGTTTCTGGTGTCCCAAGAAGGTTCATTTACACTTTTAGATTGTGGAGTCCAATTGCACTACATATTTGGAATTAAGCTTTTCAAACACGCTAGGTAAAACCTCAATGTACACTAGTCCAGTGGTGAAGACTTCAATTTCTTATTCGCTCCTTCGCCGTTTCACAAGAACATCTCTTCCTGGAAGGAAGCAGTTAGTAGGCTATGAGACCCACACATTTTGCTGCAGGTCACTTAAGGGAGGTGCAGAATGTGCTAACGCCGATTAACTATATCTTCATTTGTGCGCAGAAAAGACATTCCGCAATCGTATAGTGAGAAAACGAATAAATGAATAAAGAAACATATATTACTCAAGTAATAACTCTGAGCACTGATTAAGAAGTTGTTGCCTCACACTAGATGGTAACAACTGAGTATCCGTCAGTGAAATTATTTGAATATCTTTGACAAAGCTTACATATTTCAACATTTTTCAACTGTTTACGAATAAACACTGGATACCTATTTTGCTACTAATAAAAATACAAACAAAATCAGTTGGTTTGTCGACAATTCTATATTCTGACATTCATTCAATTGAAATTGAGTAGGATCACAAATAAACACTATCCCAACAGAGTAATAAATCTATAAATGAACACCACTCCTACTAATGATCGCATGTTTTCTATACTGCCCTTCAACCCTTCTTTCGAAAAATTAACGTCGTCTATGAAATATACTTCACCACTTGGTTTACGAAATTAAACAGACAAAACTACAGATCTCAGAAAACATGCTTCATGTTTCGAATCACTTGGCGTTTGATGAGTGATACTGAAAATGGCATATGGATTGAAATAATCGCATGCAAGACATTGCTACTATGTCGCTTAAATTCTAAGGCAACTAGATGGTGTAAACTAACAATGACGTAAATTTTAGAATCTGCACACAAATCAAAAAGGTAAGGCTGGAATACTGATCGACCTATTTCAATAAGTAAAACAGGACTGTTAAAAAACACCTAGTACCACTATAAAATAACTGTTTTAAAATATTCGTCACGTGCCTTGATATTAGGAAATGCATTTTCACCGATAAAGCAAATTGTTGGACAAAACATAACTTTGAAACAGCTTAGTGAATCTAAATATAAGCCTAAAATGATCTGTTAACTTCTTAGTGCGCCTATTTCATCGGCTCCCGAAAAGTAGGTTACTCAGCGCCACAAATAAGTTTTCACAATTTTCACATGCGTTGCTAAATTCTGAAATGGACTGTACAAGGGTTAGCACCCCAACGACAATACATAACGCTTTCGGTGTCGAAAACAAAGTATATGTCGTTCTAAATTTTTAGATCAAATACTGATTGCATCTTTTTTGACGTGGTCGTTTAGCGTTCCTGTTCTGTAAAAAGAAGGCCTTTAGCAACAGCTATCTTCTCTGTGCTCTTTATACTGCCCAAAGAATAAAAGGCCATTTATTTCGAACTCACCAATGGCATTGACAAATTAAACAGATTTGCATCATGATTACTGATATTGCATATGGAGACACTAGGAACAAAAATGATTACTTCTAACCTTGTTGCCAACTGAATACCAAATATAATGAGTTGTAGTGAATAATTAAGCCATAGGGGACTCGCTGCTTCTAGACAGAGAGGAACAGTGCAAAGTAAGACTGGTGAAAAGAACTGTACACCAAGCATACTGACCACAACTCTATATTTCATGAGCACTTCTCTTGTAAAAGCTGTCATTAGTTTAGATAGTTATGGGATAGACAATCACGTGGGTCGCACTACTTCAGCTGCTCGCTTAGACTCGATAAATGTTTTTGATATGTAGCGTAGCAATCTATTTTTGTGAAATCTAACAATAACAACCTCGGTGGTGATATGCAAAGTGCTATGTTTGCAGAGCTACACCATGATCTAGAAAGGATCCAAATTTGTGCACTTTAAGAGAGCCTCTGTCAGTTTTTACTTCGGAACATTTCTCCATGCCAAACAATAAGTACAAAGGTTGAAATATATAAGGCTTGAAATAGTTTTATCAATATGCTATGCCACACTCGGTAACATGCGATCACAAAAGAAATCAAATTGGTTTACACTAGCACGTAAAAAACGATACTGGATGCTCAAGATTCGAAAGAGAAGGATCTAGACTTATGCCAACAAAGTAATGGGGTTTACATGTAAACATGTTTGAACGAAACACAAGCCAAATTAACATATTTCGGTATGGTGTTTATCGTGCACTGAATATGACCACTTAAAATTAGTCCTTAAACAAAAATCACACAGATCGATAATATATACTTTGATACAATGAAGAAGGTAATCAGAGGCAACACTATGTACTGTAGCTGACAAAAAGGTGGATACATAACAAGCACATAGTGGATCCTGTAGTGAAGCATCCTGAGATCAGATGTTCAGCTACCAAAATACGTTGTTCACACTACCAAAACACTAAATAACTTAAAGGATCATAAATGAGCTTGAACAAAACACACAAGAAAGCCAAATATATGATTTCGAAGTGTCAATGAAGTACTACATTCATAGGTTTATTATTAGATAACAATCACTTCCCCACCATAAGCTTTCCTATGAAGGCTTACATGAAACATTGTTTGAACACCAAGCAGTAAATAATATTCTGATATAATATGCAATACTATATTACCTCAGATATAAGGAAGTACGGAATTAATCACAATCCCACAAAAATTCCAATGGTAGCGTAAATACGGAAAAATGCGCTGCTTTCGACTTCAGATTAGCAGCCTTTCGGCAGTGGATCAAAAAGATTCAGACTTATTGGTTGAGGATAGAAGGCTTGTAGCCTATCTCAATCCTTTTCTAGTAAATTTCTGTGCTTTTCAAAACCCTTCTTGAATGAATCAATTGAGGTTGCAGACACCACTTCTTCTGGGAGTCAATTCCAAGAGTTTATGACTCGATGTGAGAACCTGTACTCAACACCAATATGATTTCTTCTTGGCTTTTGAACTCTCCTGCTATGTCCTCTAAGGTGTTTTGACCTGGTGGGAAGGAAAAGAGAGAATAGGTCAGGTCCGTAGTCATTATTTAAAATTTTAAACATTGTGATTAAATCTCCTCTCTGTCTGCGGTATGACAGAGAGAACAGATTTAAACTGTCTAGTCTTTCATCGTATGATAAATTGGTCATGCCGAGAACCATACGTGTTGCCTTCCTTTGAACCCCTTCTAGAATGTGTGAGTCCCCTTTTAGACAAGGACTGGCTGCCTGGATACAGTTTTCCAGTCTTGACCTCACCATAGATGTATACAAGGAGGTGGAAATATCTCTGGTGATTCTAGTAGAGTCTCTGCGAATTGCCTGCAAGCATCTGAAACCATGTGCAGCCACCGCATGAAAGCGTGCTGTAGTTTTTAAATCGTGGATAACTACGACACCTAAATCCAAATGAGTCTGAACTGATGAGTGTTGTTCCTTCAAGTTCGTAGGAGCTGATCCTTGTGTGTCCAGTGTACATTGTTGCACATTTCACAACATTGATCGGGCGCATCCATTCCCTGGACCACTCTGACAATTTGCTGAGGTGCTATTTCAACTTGAGCGTATCACTGTCACCCTTCAGCTCTCTCCAAATTTTTAAGTCATCTGCATCTAGGAACATAGGGGAATCAGTGAGCAGAGATAACTCATTGATAAATGAAATAAAAAGGACATGTCGGAGTACCGTGCCTTGTGGCACTCCTTTACCCACTTTTGTCCAGGAGGAGAGTTTCGAGTTGATCCTTACCTTCTGCCTTCTATATATGAGGAACTCCTTAAGCCAGTATAGTAACCTACCTTTGATACCAAAACCTTCCAGCTTCATGAGTAGTCTTTTGTGAGGTACTTAATCGAAGGCTTTGCTGAAGTCTATCAAGACGAAGCCAACAGATCTTCTGTTGTCCCTTGACTTGACCCATCTTTCAAATGCGATGAGGTGGTTTGACAGGCATGAGAGATTTTCTCGTAAGCCATGGTGAGCTGTAGATAAAAAATTGTATTTTTCCAGTTACGCCATGATACTTTTCTTGAAGATTCTTTCCAGTGACTTGATTAAAGTGCTGGTGAGACCAGTAGGCCTGTAATTTGAAGGGCTTTGTCTTGATCCTCCTTTGTGGATGGAGGTTACTATGGCGTCTTTCCAGTCAAGCAGTGACGCACCATTTAGGAGGGATAACTTGAAGATTGTGGTCAATGGGCGAGCTATGTGAGCTGATGGCTGCTTGAGAAGCCTTGGATGAAGATTATCAGGAATCGCTGATCTCCCTGCATCTGATTTCACTAAGCAGTTGAGCACAATTTCTTGGTTGATGTCAACGGAATCTATCCCGTATTCCTCTGATGCAGCCAGAGCTGATCCTATAGGCAGTGATGACTCCTGTGTAAAGACTTCGGAGAAGTAGTCTGCCACTGCTTCTGCTTTTTCTTGATCCTCTTCGATTGTGTCAGTGTCAATAGTCAGTCTTGGGACTTTAATGGATGTCTTATCCCTGAAGTTCATGTACGAGGAAATTTTCTGAAGTTGTGCTGCTGCATTTTAAGCCAGATTTGCCCCGAACTTCATCTTTGATTAATGGATTTCTGTGATAGCTTTGTTCCTGGCGGTGTTGTATAATTTTCTGGTCTCAGTAGTCTCAGGTTTGGTAAACAGGTTCCAACATTTGTGTTTACGTCTGCTTAAATTACGAATCTCTCGGTTTATCCGAGGATGGTAGTGTTTCCGATCTTTTGTGACAGACCACGGGATGAAAGGTCCAGGTACCTAGGTATATAGTTGTTTGAGCTGGTTATATGTGGCTTCTACTTGGGACTCTGCGTTGATGTACCAGTTCGCTAAGTTGGCTGGTGAGACGATCGTATTTATATCAGCTTTCCAAATGTTTGGTCGAGCCGGGGTTTTGGCCCATGATATTGCTGCTGTGAACTTGAAAGTGAGCATAGCTTGATCACTTCTCCCAAAAATGCGAAGGCGTTGCATGAGATCCACATCCTCACCATAGGAGAAGACTAGGTTCGGGGTTGAACAGAAGTGCTGTGAGCTTAATCACATGTTGGATTAGGGCTAGCAGTTTGTGATTAAGGGAGTTGTCTGAAGATAGCGTAAGGCTTGTCCAGACAACTGTTGGGGAGTGGAAGTCGCCGTCTACGAAACTTCGCGAGATTCACTTTTGTGAGCAAGTGCTTCGATGACACACACGGTTAAGCATTTCTTGAGGTATATGGCTACGCCACTTCCCTTGTGACTTAGTAGATCCACCCTATACACTCCGAAGTTTGGCAGCATAACTTCGTTATCAGTGACATCGGGTGTCAACCATGTCTCTATGATGGTAATTTCATCCGGATTTCGTAAGTCTATCATATTGCCCAGCTCACTCCTTTTGTTGAAAAGACTGCGAGCGTTTGTGTAGTTAACCGCCGATTCACTTTGGCGCTTCCGCGGTCTACCCACAGAGGTCTCAGGACCATCAAACCTCGAATTTCGACAACCTGAAAACTTTTAATGTAAAGGTTTTCCTCACCATTCGCTTAATCCTATAGCACCAGATTGTCTTTTGACGCGGTTTCCTAGGCATAAGTCGGCATGGGCGTATACGCCTGATTCTTTTAGAGCTTGAGAGTTACTTCGTGTGGCATTCCTCTCTTCCTTTGAGTTTAGTACGACTTTGAGAAGGCTTACTGGCTGATTTACTGCAGAGTCAGCCTTTTGGACGATTCTATAGAAGCTGTGTACAGTTACATCTAAAATTGTTGTTAGCAGGACATTAACTAGAAGGGGCATAACCAAGTTAAGTCATGCTCGAACCTGACCTTGGGATCGGAAGCTGGTGATTATTCCACTCTGCAGAGAATGAGCGACCCTTCGGAGAGATCGGGTTTGCTTGTGGTTACTTTCTTGCTCTGCGGTGTAAGTGTCTTTCCGCCCTTCGTGGGCAGTGTCGCCTTTATGGTGTCCTTATGTCGCCTTTCGCGGGAGACTACGTCAAGCCATTCATTGGCGCCCTCTTCGCTGTGTGGTCGATTGTGTCTGCCTGTTATTCACGTGTGTGGGTTAGGGTCAATCTACAAGTCTTTGGGCGAATTCAGCTGCGGCTTATCAATCGCTGCTACGCCTTTTCCTTCTTACAGCCTTGGCGATAGGGTTTATTTGTACCTTGATTATGGGAAACTGCATTCTTTCTTTTTAATAACACGAGAGTTAAACTTGCCTGACTTTGTGGTGGCTGTCTGGGACTAGACCAACGCGAAAACTTCAACGTGACAAAGACTGCATTTTTCCTAACGATCCATAAGAACCATGCGAATTGTTAGTGATAAAAGAATTTGGAAATCTTCAAACGGACTTAATCATATTCAAGACACCTAGAATTCCGAATAAGGCAAGTGATTCAAAAGCGAATCCTCCAGTGCAGAAAACGCGATCAGATTTACTGGCTTTTTATTCGGATCCTATCATGGGTGTGTGACATCTTGCATCTTTTGTTTTGAACTGTTGACAGCCTCATATCATGTTGTGATGGACTGGGAACCCGCTATGCAAATTAGAAACCTTCGCATGGAGTGCATTAATCTTAAGCATTTAGAAAGGTTTATAGATAACTGTGGTTTAATTACTTCTCTAGATTGAAGACTGACTCCAGCCGAAGGACGACATTTATAATTGAATGTGAATGTTTTTCCGAAATGCTGCATCTATAAGTTGACATCTGTAGTTGAGCGACGAATTCTTTGATATTCCATCCAAAAGCTCAGAGACGTTTTCTGAACAGGGATCCTCTCGTTTTCGAATCAAGTAACATGTAATAGAGTTGCCAGAAGTGTTCGTAGTCTCTCTTTCGAAGAAATTAGTCCTTTTGGAAACGCCAATCTTCAATAGAATCTACGTTTCTGGTCCTACCACATTAATAAAATGAACTGAAGTTTTGTCCTGTCGAGGATTATTAACCAAATGCAACGCTACTAATCATCCTAAATACTCTGCAATTTCAGGGGATGAACCATAGAGGGAAGACAGTTTAGTGATATTCAATTCCATAGCGATGCCGAAATGCGTTGTTTGTAGCTGTAGCTTGTGGTGACAAAATAAATGCAAACCAGAAAACTGCACAGGGAATCAAGAGGTCAGAAATTCGCAGCCGATGGACTTTCTCTATTCTCTATCCACAGTATGTAGAGAAAGAGCAGACTTATTCAGTACAGGAACAGAAATGCTCAACTGTCACTCCCATTAAATGTTATTCTTTTTGTTTATGATGAACTGCAGGTGTAACCGCAAGTCTCTTTATTCCTCCGACTGATTCTGCGCTTGTACTTTAACCAGAAAACCAATGGCATAACTAGAATCACAAAGAAGTAAGTGTAATTATATTTGGAAAGACTCACTTTATTAATTTCACCTGTCCATTGTGGTCGGAGTCAGCTTTGAGATCCTAGTGACGAAATATTACTTACAAGCCAAAGTGTGCATTACAAGATATAAATGTCAAAAAATTACCGTGTATAATCATAGGAAGTGAAACTTTGGCCATCCGAATACTCTATCATATCTCGTGATTGGTGCTGGAATTAAGGCTGTGAAAAACACAAGTCGAGAAACAGAGTTTCCTTTGTGCTTATGAGAGATGGTCTTTGGGCTTACTGAGTCACATAACGGTCGGGACTCGGTGGTTTTGGTAGAGCACAGATAACCAATCAATATACTAGGTCACTACGATTCATATAACTCGCTGCATTTATCTGTAGAGTTCATTGAACTTCAAAAGTCATATTCAAACAGTGTTAGAACGCGATATAGCGTGGTGAAATATCTTACGATAATAAACAAAAGTAGCTTATACTGCGACAAAGAGCACCTCAAGACCGATGATATTCAAACAAGCAGCCCGAAGCCTTGTCTGGTACAAAAGTTTCACACAAAATTTGGTCAGGGACACACGATCGCAAGGTATCTGAAAGTCAACAAGAATGACCCAAACAAGATGGAATGAAAATTCTGCCTGGAAGAATCAAATAGAACAAAACATATTTCCAACATAAAGCCCAAGTGAAAGGTGTCACTACACACCATACCTCTGAATTCACTGAAGCAACTACACCTTAGTAGCACAGCACACTGCCAGAGTTTCGTCACGGCGAAATAGTAAAGTACAAAGGTTGCTAATTGACAGAGACAAACAAAAGTGATAAAAATTATGTCAAGATTGCGAGTTTCGGGATGAAGGGACATACGCAAGGTTAAACGGTAATGACTAAGAAATAAGTTGAATTACCAGAAGCGATTGGTAGTGCAAAAGCTACGTCGAAGCTTAAACCTTCGTCAAGTGTTTTCTTTTCATCAGAGCCTAATACTTCTAATCGGTAGTCTAAGCATGCATTTTGTTTCATTGATTGCCGACAGCATATCACTGGCGAGAAGAAATCAGATTCACCATTGAAATGTCATCAGTCATCAATAAGACAAGGCGGGTGATTGATATCTCGACAAGAGCGTTGAGTTTCGATGGAATAAAGGTTCTTGAAAGAGCATTCAGCTTTAATGTAGTTGTTAACAGATTAAAACCCGAGGATTTGACTACTAGAACGAAAATAGAGTTCAGTGAAATGGACGGAACCACTGTTGGACAGGTCAGAGTGAAACGCGCATCGACACAGATACACCAGAAGAAAGCTGTAAATAACTCGCCACGAAAAGAAACAGCAGCTCTGAAACCCTTGAAGTATCACAAGAAAATAGCGAGCGCCACACCAGATAAAGGTCAGAGAAATCAGATAACATCCATAAGGGCACAACCGATGTATTGAAACAGGTCCATGGGAGGAAACTATTTAACTCATGGATGCTATTATGAACGAGATCGAAGAATCTACAGCTGATCTAGTACGCCAAATGAAATCATCTTTGGGTGGGTCAGCGTAGTCAAATCGAGCCTGAAACCAATAAATTTAGTAGAATATATGACACTCAAATTAATAAAGCAGGATATCCTAATCGTCCAGCAAATGACTGTAGCAACACCCCGAGCTACCATGATAATCCATGTAAAACAACGGCGTAAACCAAAGTCCTAAATATGTATCTGTTCACAGTAAGTCTGCATGCTACTATGACTAGATGCTTGAAGTGGAAGTTTGACAACCGCGCTAGAACACCGCCTGGAGAGTGAAGAAGGCATTACACTAACTCCTGTGTCTACCAGGAATAATGTGGCTGTAGTCCTATCCTTCACGCAGAAAAGTCGACTTGAATGATTGTCAGTAACAGCCGTCACCACCAACATTTGGTTGGAGGGTTTCCCCGAGACGAGTCACTACTGCTGATAGTGCACGGTTTTACGCAACGAATCGCTCGATTTCCAAACTTTCGATGGTACCAGCAAATGCTTCGACTGTTAGGAGATGTCGTGGTTCGCTGTCTTGAGAAAGACCGTCGACGTTGCCTTGACCTGGACGGTGATCTACCACCTCATGCAAGTAAACTAGAATTCTCAGTTTCTGGCTTCTCTATCTTATTTGCCAATGCCAAAATCACTGATAATATAGGTGTGTCCGCAACAGATGCATCCTGAACTGGTAACCCATGACGTGCTGATACGTTGTCGATACTAGTGACTGAGGAATTAAGATGGCGGCCGTGGGCCTAAATCACATGCAGTGAGTAATTGCTGGATCCGTTTCTCTTCAGAATCACTCCTTCTTTGGATTAGGACTGCCTTGGGTCGGATTGCTGTCAATTAATTCAATAATGTCTTCAAGAACCTCTGTGGGCAATGCCTCTACGACATATCCATACTTTAAAATCTGCGATTTAATACTACGGGCGGCAAAAAGGGGTTCAATGATGGTCAACCAAGTCCTAGGCTCAGTGAAACCAAACGGAGGTAGACACAGGCTGCTTATTGAGAATAACTTTATTTTCATCGAAAACGTCATGGTTTTCCATGGTAAGAGCAGTACGGCTAGCATCATACACTGCAAATGTGTACGATCATTTCAAGTGCTATGTAGCTTCTTCTTGTATTTATCTGGTAAATATACTTCCAATAACTTGTTATTCATAATTGCAATTTACACCATTTTGCAGCTGCACAGGATTTTCTTCACTTCCTGAAATAGCGTTCAAGGACGTGGGGGCATAGCACTCACTCAAATATATGTTGTTTATCAATTTGCCATAACCATCATCAGGAAATGGAACGAATTTCGGGTTGTCGCTCAACTTCGACGGTGACCTTCGTGAAAGATTTACAAATTAACATTTATAGGAATGTGTTCTGATTGCTTGTACTACAATTCAACAATTTGAACTTTTGAAAAAGTGATAATCTATGCTAATTCACAATTGTAATTTGTAAAATAATTGATCATTCCTATAAAAATGGCGTGCATTTCATGTAAGCTTACCCGTTTATACGAAACATATATATCATTATAAGAGGTTCCTGCGGAATCCAATGTATACAACACAGTAGTGAAACAAGTAGACGATATAGTCTAGTGAGAAGACAAAGCGACCAGCAGCACACCGTATTTCGGATTGTGCCCTGGAGTTATCTATATTCCAACACAAATCGTCTTAAACAAAAGTCGCGTACAATGTTTCTAATTTCAGCATCTAACAATTGAATGTACAATCGTATCGTCACAGACTCCACAAGTGGAATGGATTAGTTCAAGCGTAGCTTTTCTTTCACTATGAATATCAGTCTCGTTTGAGATTAATCCCCATTCCATCTCACTTCATAACCATAACTTTTTGTTTTCGTCCACACCAGTCCCCTTCTTTAATCTTTACTACGTGGATGTCTATTTCTACCATATAACCTGCCTTGTATTCCTCCTACAGCTCAATGATTGATTTGTTGTGTCGATCCATTCTTTATATTCCACCACCCTTCGCGTAGTGCTACTTTTCTCAGGGTGTCTCGTAACAGAACTGGGAGATCCCAGGCAGAAAGAAATCTGCAAGTCCCAGGGGACCGGTGCGCATTTGCAAACCACATGGTCCTATCAGAATAAACTAATGTACCTCCTCTTTCTTCTTTCAGAAGTGCCACAGCAATTCAGAAGATATATTATACTGGAGTCCACCATAGGTCTAGGACTGTTTCGGACTTATAGGTAACGATGGTCAGAAATCATAAGGTTTGTATGATGTTGACAGAATCATTGGACATTGAATGTGAATTTACAAACTGTTCGTTACTAAACCTCAAGTTACTGGTAGTCGCCGTGTTTTAAACTGTTGGTTATTGGTTCATAATATTAGTCGAGGCGGTAAGAGTTAACTCTTACAGTTCTTCGGTTAAAAGCAAAACTATCCAAACAGAACACAATGATGTTCTCAGTAAATACACAAGGATGTCACATGTGACAGATTTAGTTGTCTTATAGGGCAATTGTAGGGCTTTGTGGAAGATGCCAGTGATGCAATGTATTTTCGCGAAAATCGCCTCTAAGGTTTCGCTTTAAGTTGGTCGAAAATATCTTGAAACTTCTCCAGTTGGCAAAAGTTTCTTCAGTGATCACTTAAGACACGAGACATCGCTAAAACCTTGACGCCTATTCCAATGATTCGGGAAATTCTGGGCTTCCTCACCTGCAAACTAAGGCGAATTATAAGTGAATGCATACGATGGTGATCAGAATTCACGCAAGTTAATAGGGGTTTTTAAAATATTCGGTGCACTGTATGTAGGGCTTATGAGCCATTTTACAACTTCAGAGAGAAATGTACGATGCCGCCAGATGCGCATCAAGTTGATTTTCGCTTTCTGGTCCAAAATGTATTCAGTGCTTTCAAATTATTTATTAGATTGTCTGACAAACTCCTCTTTCTACCCAAAATAAATATTTTTTTGCGGTGGGATTGGGGGGAATTTCGGGGCTTTTCCTACGAGAAAATTGTGCACTTCTCTCGGGTTTTCATTTAAGACATTCGGCTAATAAGAAGAGATAGTTGGATGCCTTGTATTTTGAAAGTTTTTGAGCCACTCCTCAATTATTCAAGAGCCATTAACATTATGAATATTCGGATCGGTGAATATTCTTGCAGTCATATTCCCACACTTTTGGATTCCTCATATTGCTTTTAGTTTGAGGGAAAATGCATTGAAAACCTCACTAGGGTTTCTTGGAAGACAAGTAGTATTAGGATTAAGTCCGAAGTTTTCTTCGACGTAATTGCCGTGGAGATTTTCTTACCATGGAATATTAGTGTTTTTAGTGCACTTGTTAAAAATTAAATTATAGTGCTAGCATATATGATTGACTAATGTAGCCGAAACCACATTATCAGCAGTTGTTCACCTAGTGTATTTGTTCCTAACTGCAATTTTAATACCGTCAGTATTATAATCTTCTTCCTCAAGCACTCTTTTATTTGACGTCTCCATAATACTATTCCATACACTTCTTTATGTATCTAAACATATTAAATTAATCAGAGTAACCGCAATTCTAAAACCACTTCCATTGACTTAGCCAATACCTGAGATCAAAATACCTACTACAGCTTGTCACATTTATGTCTAAAAACAGGAAAGTGATGGTCTACGTTAACAGTGAGAATTCTGCTAGACGACAAAAACCAAGTCTCATTGGTGACTGTCCGCATTTTCGCCCCTTCAGTTGATGTTGTCCCACGCATTCGTGGCCAACAAAATATTCAGTATTCCTTCAAACTGCGTAATGCAGTCGATGGTTTCTTAATTCCTAAAAAATGCGGTAATGTCTAATTCGTAGCGCAGTTTTCATCGAAGTGTGTTTGTAATTAATTCTGCAAAGTGATCTGATTCCTACAAATAAACTTTCGACCAGTGAGCATGTATAATTATTTGCCATCAAGATATTATTTTGTGATCAAACTTGAAATCAATGAAATCCCTACAAAATGACATTCAAACCTTCGTGGAATTTGCCGTTGCGTACTGCTGCAGAGCACCAAATTAGGATAGATTGACTGTCCATTACTTCTCTGACTGATCTCAGTCTGTATTCAGAAATGAAATCAAGATATCTTGTTTTTAAGATGGAAACATTTTGCCATATTGGTCTTTGTTCATTAGTCCAGAGATGAATCGGTATTTATTTCACTTATTATGAAGGGTTCTCACTTGTTTTCTATATTTTTTTCATGAGTTCGCCTGGTCCTTCCTTTTAGCTTAAGTGCATCTGTCATTTGGCCTTATTTCATCTGTCGTCTTCAGAACAATCCAACATTTCATGTATAGTGTACAACTTGAAAATGGTGTGAAGAGGTGAACATTTCCAAGCTCTTCTTTTAAGTATTATGTGGATTAGCCTCATAACAATGTTCCGCATTACTTTATAAATTCGCGCTGTTTGATTTTCTTTCCAATAATTGCATTTCTAAACAAAAAATGTGTTTAATTATCAGAGAACTACTAAGTTATACTGGTTCATTAATGAAGCAATAAATTTATGGAATAAGATGCACTAATTAACAGTTCCATTCTTATCGGTTGTTTCGTAAAGTTCTTCAATCTAAAAATTTATCTTGAGTACCGACTACTATGCAGAAATCACTATTGACACCAATTTGTTTTGGTTCTGTTCAACGTATGCACTGTTAGGGAGTTAACATGTTTCAGAAAGAATTTGAGAGTTCTGATTTGTGTTCATTGTAGGTAAAAGGTTGTGGAGGCCTAAGAAGTTTCATTGCAAATGAAAGAGCTGTTAATTGCTTTCTGATTTTTCAGATGTTACCAGTCCTGGATGTTATGACTGTGATTCATTAGAGGAGGAACTCAACCAGCAACCAATATGTTGGTAATACGATACCTACTTCAACTGCATTAAATTTCGAAAGTTAACGCTAGTGCTCATGTATTGCATTTAATCAGTAGTGTAGTGCACGAGTTTGTAAAAGGACGTTAGACTTAATTTAGACGTAGTGAATTTGCAAACGCATTTTTAAATATGCTATTATTTTGACTATCGAGTTCTTTTATTATTGTCATTATTGTTCTATACTAGACTTAATATCGTATAGTTTTATGACCAATTTTGTAGGTTATCTGTCAGCAATCGTACATTACATCATTTCTTATTCAACTAACTGTTCTGCTTAACAGCGAGCCATACTAAGTAGTCTCAAAGGAATTCGCAGTGAATCTTTGATCATGCCACAAATTTTGGTCAGTGGTGTTGAAATCGACTTTCCATATAAACCCTATGACTGCCAGTTAGAATATATGACAAAAGTCTTACTATCATTAAATGAGGTAATGCTTCTATTTGCTAATTATTTATCTATGGTGTAGGGTAAACATGCCATTTTAGAGTCCCCAACTGGGACTGGTAAAACTTTATGTCTTCTATGTGCGTCACTTGCATGGCTTGATAAACAACTGGTTAGCCCAACAGAACTTGCACCAGATGGCAAACCTGTGAATACAATGGGAAAATGGCTAACGGGTAACAGTGACAACGGCGATGATAAGAGCAATTCCATACATCAGAATCTTCTGGAAAATTTGGAGAAAATGAACAGTGTGTATAAGATTATATTTGCGTCAAGAACCCACTCACAATTAGCACAAGCTATTAATGCATTGAAGACAACAGTTTATTCTAAGTAATTTGATATAAGCTCGTTTGCTATTCTTGGTTTATTATTATTGTAGTTTTCCACTTTTTGACATGCAATTTAAAATATTTCCAAGTATGAGTTTGTACATATAAATATCCCATTTTTTAAGGTGAATATAGAATGCTAGTCGGTAGAGGAAAAACGGTTGATACTTCTGTAAATCTTCGAGTGGAGTTTTTGAGAAGCTTACTGTTTAATTAAATCTACTATTCTCCTCAAGCAGTTTAATTGGCCCACAGCCACACTTAACCTACCGGACATCCAGCACCTCCCTGAATGGGAGATAGACACAGGTCCTCCGTCCTTAACCGAGGTTACTAAAGCTGTCACCAATCTGAAGCTAGGCAAAGCAGCGGGACCTGATTTATTGACTCCAGAGGTATTTAAGTACGGAGGCGACAGTTTACTGTCTGCGTTAACGGAGGTTCTAGGCAGCGTCTGGGAATCAGAGGAAGTCCCATCGGGTTGGTGTAAGTCACTGATCATCCCGATATACAAGAAGGGGGACAAGTCGTCTTGTGATAATCACAGAGGGATTAGCTTGACTAATATAGTATCTAAAATCCTAGGCTCAATAATACTGCGTAGATTAAGTGGTGCTCGGGAGACACAAACACGAGAAAACCAGGCAGGTTTTAGGCCAGGTAGAGGGTGTATTGATCACATCTTCACCCTTCGACAGATTCTAGAACATAGGCATTCCTACCGGCGTCCGACAATCATTATATTTCTTGACCTAAAGGCGGCATTCGATTCCGTCGACCGGGAGGTTCTCTGGCGATGCTTGGCTGTAAAGGGAATGCCAAGAAAATACATTGCACTGATTAAGGCACTCTACTCGTACTCATGCAGCCAGGTGAGGGCTTATGGCGAGTTGTCATCTGAAGTGGTGACGACTAGTGGCGTCCGTCAAGGATGCCCATTATCCCCATTCCTATTCAATTTCATCATAGATGTACTAATGGACTTAACCCTAACTCACTTCAGCGACTCAGGGATTGACTTGCTACCAGGGAAGAATCTCGTTGACTTAGAATATGCGGACGATATAGTCCTTCTAGGCGAGGACTCTGACAAAATGCAGAGTCTACTGAACACCCTGAGCAACAACCTCCGCATGTTTGGCATGCGATTCGCTCCTATAAAATGTAAGATGATGCTGCAGGATTGGACTTCATCGACCCCTAGATTAGAAATAGGAAGTGAAGTGGTAGAACACATTGACCGCTTCACTTACCTGGGAAGTACCATCAGCCCCAACGGGTTGATCTCCGACGAAATTTCAGCACGAATACAGAGGGCTAGGTTCGCATTCGCCAGTTTTCGCCGTCTCTGGCGTAGACGCGATATCCGACTATCGACCAAAGGGCGTGTGTACTGCTCAACAGTCCGCTCCGTCCTCCTTTATGGCTGTGAGACCTGGCCATTGAGAGCAGAAGACATGAAAAGATTAGCTGTCTTCGATCATAGGTGTCTGCGTTCTATCTCCCGCGTGAAGTGGAATAATAAGGTGAGCAATATTGAGGTTAGGCGTCGAGTGCTAGGTAAGGCGGGGAAATCAATCGACGAGACTGTGAAATTGCATCGACTGAGATGGTTAGGACATGTGCTACGTATGCCTAGTCATCTCCTTCCTCGACGGGCAATGTTAGCTGATATAGGGTCAGGCTGGAAAAGAGCTAGCGGCGGTCAAACCAAAACATGGCACCAATCAATGAAATCCACAACAGTTAATCTAAGCCACGTAGGAAGATGTAGACTTCCTGGTTGGGGCCCTCGGGATGGTAAAAACCAATGGTTGGAAACAATTGGTGACATGGCTCAAAATCGTTCTCAGTGGCGCAGATGCATCCACTCCTTGTGACTTATCATTTCCAGTTAAACTGTTTTGTTCTCCGTTATTACTATTCCTTTGTCTCACACCTCTGTTTACTGTCTATATTTTGCATTTCTTCTACTTCCTTCTCTTGCTTTGCGTGCTACATGGATTGTGGCGACTTGAACTGCCGCACATATGTGCAAAGTTCTATGTCGAAAACAGACAGACAGACAGACTATTCTCCTCAACGAGCTATATTAACCGTTGTGTAGGACTAATTTGGCAAAAAAGCTAGAAATACTCTAGCTGAAACAAAAACATCAGTGCTTAAAGTCTCTGTTTGTTGGTCTAAGCCATATAAGATACTGTAGGATATTTGGGTGGATTTTTGAGAACGATGAAAGCTATCTGTCTGACTGAATGAATTTTACTATAGATTTTCTCACAGAAGTGTAGTATGTCACAAGCGACTCATTTCCTCGTGAATAAAAGTGAGACTTAAATTATTTACTGTCACCACTGTTGTTATTATTATTATTATTCCTGCTTTGCTACCTCAAAGGCGTAACGTCAGTGTAGTTGGCTCAAGAGATCAGTTATGTCTTCTTCCTGATGTAGCGCAATTGGAATCGAATTCAGCTAAAATTTATGCTTGTCGTATGAGAGTTCAAACAAGAACGTGTGAATATTACCGGAATTTCGACTGTGAGTGCATAAACATATAATGCGTATAATTACTTTTCATTGTTAAAATTTTATTGTATAAATATACGCTCCTTGTGTTACGGGCGGGTTGTAGGGCTTCAGTTGCACATCTGCACTTCACTTAGTTCTGCACTTTCAACTGACTTATTGACTGTCTACAAGCTTTCATATCTTCTTTATGTGAACCCTACCCCCTCCGCAACTGTTTTTCTGTGGTTTAACTCAGCAGGGATCTCTGGGAGTGAATCGACCAGGAACCAATTGTGCAACAAATATGCAGGAAGAAATGGAGATGGATTCGCCATACTCTGAGAAAACCATCAAGTGACTTCACACGCCAGGCCATGGCTCGAGTGAAACCCAAATGGGAAGCGGCGTGTTGGTCATCAGTGCTAGGGTGACATGGAGGAGGTCATGCGAAGAGGAGATGAAAGCATGTGGGTAGACGTGGAGCCAGGTGAAAACGTTGGCGGAAAACCGAACGCAATGGAGGCGTGTGGCTGAAGCCCTATATTTCTCTAGGAGCTAAAGGAGACACTAATAATAATAATAATAACTCAGCAGTCATTAACAACATCACCTATATAAAAAGAACAGTTGTAGACAAGTAATACGTGAGGCATATCATTCACGTTAAAAGTGAGGACTAAAAACGTAATGCCTTCTTGACTTGTACGTGACAAAAGTTCTATAATAAAACTCATTTATGTTTAAAGCATCTAATTTTCACTCATTAGTTAAAATATTCATCTTTTTCACATGAAGAGATGTGTGAAATCATTTAAAAGCCTAACCTGTTAGTCACTGTTGACTGTAAATTAATTCTTTGATATTTCTACTCTTCAGTCTTTTCTTTGATATGAAGGTAATAACACTACTATTATCGTGTACTTTCTTTTGAATTACTGACAGTATGTTCATTTAAGATAATTTACATTCATATATATATATATATATATAGTTTATTACCCTTCCTGACTGCAAGTTAGATTCTGTTACTGTAAGAAAAAATCTCATCTGAAAAGATTACCATACTTTCATAAGAATGACCAACTGAAATCCATAAAGTTATTAAAATGACTATGCGCAACTATCACAGATATTTCGATGGAACTACATACTTTGATGTCTCTATTAGATTTCTCCTAATCTCAACTGCCCTCGATATAGTTGGAAAAGCTGTTAATTAAAATTTCCAGAGACTGAGCATTCTGGTTCAATATGAAACAATCAACGGAAAGTACAGAATTATTATTGTCCTCTTGGATTCCGAGTGGAACACAGGACTTCAACAAAACATCTACACTTTGTTCTGTTTTCTGTTGTCCACTTCATCTGGGTCCACGATTGACCACAGTTTCTCGTATCCTCGCAGGATCTCCTCCGTATCGCCCTCGCACCGACGACCCACTCATCGCCTTTCATTGGAATTCCACTTGAGTGGTGGACTGCATTGTGCGCAATGTCATTCAACGGCCTCTTCAACTTATGCCCGATCCATCTCCATTTTCTCCTACTTATATCTTGAGCGATTGGCTCTTAGTCGGTTCGTTGCCAGAGTTCATCGTCACCAATTCTTTCTGGCCATTTGATCTTCAGTATGGAGCCAGCGAAGGTAGCTGTTAATAAAAGTCTGCAACCTGTTGGATGCACCAGAAAGTAACCTAAACAAACATTAACTGTGATCTGTTGCGCCAGAGGTGGCCGTCGTGGCCCAGTGGCCTAGTAGATAACACTTTTGCCTTCTAAATGATGTATGCTGTGTCCCAGTCTCAATGGGAATACCGACGCTTACTGCAGATTCTGGTGTATCTAGCAGACAAATCTCGAATAAAGTGAAATGCATATTCTATATTCTACTACAGCCATTGTCTACTACCTACCATTATGTTCCACTGTTGTGTTTGATTTCAACAAAATTTCATTGAAAGCCATGTAATGTTTTAGGTAAATTAATAAAAAAGAATTTTTTTCAACAGAATGAATAGCTTAGACGGATAGAAAATGGATAGGGTTTAAAAGTGAAGGATGTAATTTACGCAGAAAGTGGTTTGTCTAGTTGTATTGGCCGCATAAAGCGCACACTTTCCAAACGCATGTCTGAACATTATCCGGGATAGTTAGCAAAAGGAAAATGCAAGACGGTTACTAGCTCACTTCTCGAGCACTTGGTGAACTCAAGTCATGAAGCTCCACTAGAGTCGTACTTCAAGATTATCTACAAGGTGAGGTCAAATGGTACGAAGAGGGTCAGGTTTCGGCATTTGTGTATGATGGACGCGTTGACAATTCGCCAATACAACTTTGAGTTCTATACAGAGAACATTTGTCAAGTTTCTTATTCTACCATCGTCTTAACCTCTACATTAATTGTTCCTTGCAAATTATTTTAATTTTTTAATGATTAGTTTGTTTTCACTTTAATAACTAATTCACTATTATCACTCTCACATATTCCTTTTGTACCTTTTGTCATCGTCTTCACACTTGTTAAATGGACACTCAGTTACCTTTCTTCTCACTGAATAACAATTCTAACCTTATCAAATTTCTAGCCCTTTCTTCGTTTGTGCCGTTTGTCATTACGTACTTTGTAACTTTCATTATTTTTACTTTTTAAGCGACTTTTGAGTAATTATGTCAATTATGTCACCCTCTATTACTCAATAACAGACTATTATACATTTTTGGTAAATATGAATACGAGTGTACAGCCTGTGAAGACGATTTCGTTAATATAGAAAATTTTCTTCACTGAATCTTCTTTTATCCTCTTCATCTAGTTTTATTAAGATTTATGTACTCTTTTATGACATTTTGTGTGTGTAGCGTTTTCCACTCTTTTATACTGTTGAATATTCTTTACTTGTGAATTTACTTTTGCGCATATTTCGCCTACCCTTTTCGATTTCATTATCTCCGCCGTCCTAGATTAGATTATTTTAGACTAATGAAAACAAAACACGTAGTTCAGAGAAGAGTCTCTTTTCGCCGGCGAATTCATTTTCATAGCTGTACAATCGCAAATATATGTGGCGGTTTTGTATGTATGTGTACATTAAGTCTGTCAAACAAAAATACAATTGGTTATAGTTATTTTAACTAAACAGGTGAAGTGTTGGTTTGTAGGGATTTGTTTGGTTACAGGATTTTCATCATGAGCTGACATTAGTTAGAGAACCATTGGAAAACCAGCCAGGGAGTACTGGACAGCCGTTTCGTCCTAGTTTGGGACTCTTCAGCAGTACGCACCCACCGGGATTCGAACCCAGCACCTTCTGGTTACAAGGCAAGCTCGTAGACTATTAAGCCACTGGGACCCGATCCAATGGTCCATTGGAACCAAACAAATCCCTACAAACCAACACTTCACCTGTTTAGTTAAAATAACTATAACCAATTGTATTTTTGTTTGACAGACTTAATGTACACATACATACAAAACCGCCACATATATTTGCGATTGTACAGCTATGAAAATGAATTCGCCAGCGAAAAGAGACTCTTCTCTGAACTACGTGTTTTGTTTTATTTTAGACTGCTCTTTTCAGAACAGATTATTGTATTCATTGGGACAAGTGTTTTATTGAATGTTGTATGCACATTGGAGGCCTTTGATGTACCCAAAGGATACAGTACCTATTGCTTGGAAAGAAATAAAGGTGGCCTTTACCAAAGTCATCTTGTGTATCAGGTCTCAAGTTTAGGCCAATCGTCATCATATCTCTATTTTTGAAGAATACAGAGAAACTTATGTTGCTTGTTCTTAAACTTTCTTTGAAATCTCTTAATCACTTGAAGCAGTTATAAATGGTAATTATTTCTGAACCCTAAACACCTCTTAATGTCTATTTTTTATTACGTAAGACTGTTTGGTTAAGTTTTATGATTTGTTCATTTTTTTTCCCTGATGTGTAATTCGTATTCATGATTCAAACTGATATTAATAATTGACCTTTATAGGCATTTCCATGACTTTTTATAGAAACACTGTGCACCTATGGAAGTTACATGTATTATTATAGTGGATATAAAAGCAATTGCATAACATCTGGAAGAGATACTGTAGTAAATAAAGTGTTTTTTGTTAATTTTGTTTTTTCCTTTGCGTTCCCAGTGGAACACAGAGCTTGAAGATTGAACTTTAAAGTTTCAGTAACAGTCGCTTTTATTTTTACGGGGTTGGGTTGCTCGCGCCCAACATTCCCTCTTAACTAGTCGTATTACTGACTTAGCGAGGTAAAGGAGTGCGTCGACCGGGGATAAAACTCCGAGCCACCTGTGTAGTTGGCGAGCATTATACCGCTGTGCCCTTATGCTCTTTATTCCTATTATTATTTTATTCGTTTGAAAATGTTTTTGGTATAATTCTGCTTTATTTTTTCTTTGTCCTGTAGCTAAACGAGATGACATCTTAGCTAATTTAAAATCGGAAGGTATTGTTGATATTGAAGATTTGGCCAGTTTCGGTCAGAAAACAAGGTGACTTTGGCTTTAACTTTATTTTGTTTGTCTGAAATTTAACTAGTGAAACTAGCCTTAATGTATTCCTTAAACTTTTACTATCTTGAATTATATCAAACAAGTCAACTCTTTCGAATTTATCAACACATTGTGGTTAACTATCTAATTATTTCGATAATAGGCTAAATCCACTGAACGCCAGTTAATTACCATTTAGTGGTCAATCAGTCATTTCTACAAAGTTTACGGGTTAAATACTCTGAATTCGATGTAGACGGAGACTGGTTTGATGAATGGTAGGTACGCTTTTCTGTTGACTCCGAATGAGCACACAATGAGGTGTACTTCTCAGTCTACTACTTCTAGAATCCCTTACTGTTTAACTAGATTGCATTATTGTGCATTTCTTTTGTGTAGTTTATTTTGATTGTAGTTTGATTGCATGCACTAAATGAGCCCTACATACTACTAATTGACTGATATAAGTAGTTGGATATCATTCACATCAACCAGTGACCAGGTCGAAGTGATCTAAACACCGGACAGCTGTTTCCCCCGTTTTCGGGACTCGCACTTACCACAGGTTGATGTGAGTGCAATCCAACTACTACTCATATCAAGTAGTCAGTAGTACATAGTGTCATGCATTTTGCTTGCTTTATTGATCGGCATTTATTGCACCAAACAGTTCAAATAACTGTGATAGGAATAATTTGGATTTCCAAGGCAAACACTTGTGGAATTTCACGTCGAATTGTGTAAATTGCAAATTGAGAATATAAAGTGAGTACTGTTGTACGCTAGACTGTGCATATCATAACTCACATATTGTACAACAGATCAACAGATTTCTACCATGTATAATTTTTATCCCTTACCGGCTGGCATTATTCAAGTAAATGTCACAGTTATAGGCGTTTGAAGTGAATACAGGAGTAAGGCAAGTTTGGCTGCCCATTAATTGTTGTGGACTGGATTATGCGTCAGACTGTGCAATGGTAGCTAGGAGACAAGAATACGCTGAACCACCGATTAGAAGACTCTAGAAGATCTGCATTTCGCAGATGCTATATGTCTAATGTCACACAAACTAGAAGACTTGCAGGCGAAAACCAACAAACTGGTTAAAGAGGCGCACAGTGAAGACACGATTCCAAGTGAACATAGAAAAGATGGAGGTGATGAAGATGGCCAACCAACAGCAACAACAACAACCACCAGCACCAATCACCATCAAAGGGAGAGATCCGACGGATATTACTTCCTTCACTTATCTAGGAAGCATCGTTTCAACTGTATGTGGGCGGAATGGATGAAGATGTCAAAGCCAGCCATCCAGAATCGGAACGTCAAGGTAGACCTTCATCAACCTGAAACTAGTTTGGAAATATTCTGCACTCAGCATGAGGAACAGGATTAAGATTTTCAACACCAATGTCAAGTCGATCCTACTACATGTGTCAGAAACTTATCCAGTGTGTCACGAAAAGGATTTCCAACAAGTCGCAGACTTTTGTTACCGACTGCCTTCGTTGGCTCCATACTCAAGATCAAATGGCCAGAAAGAATTAGTGGCAATGAACTCTGCCAACAAACCGACTAAGAGCCGATCGCTCAAGATATATGTAGGATAAAATGGAGATGGATCGGGCACACGCTGGGGAGGCCGTCGAATGATATTGGTCTCAATGCAGCCCACCGCCCGAGTGGAATTCCAATGGGAAGCAACAAGTGGGTCGGCGAGAGTGTGATATAGAGGAGGTCTTGTGAGTAGGATATGAGAAACTGTGGTCAATCGTGGACTCAGGTGAAGAGGACAGCAGAAAACAGAACAAAGTGGAGATGTTTTGTTGAAGTCCTATGTTCCACTTGGAACCCAACGGAATAATAATAACAGTCCTATTGGTTCGATTGTGGACTCTCACGGAAAACTTGGAGGACCTGAACTTCACCGATAATATATGTCTGGTTTTCCACAAACTGGGAGATATGCAAATGAAAAATATCAAGTTAGCAGAAAAAGCTTCAAAGATAAGACTTCAGGTGAACATAGAGAAAACAGAGGTAATGAAGATTCCTGGGAAACACCAACAGCAACAACAACAACCACAGACAACAATCAACATAAATAGGAGGAACCTGAAGGAAACAACCTCCTTTTAACTACCTGAGAAGCATCATTCCAACTACAGGAGGAACTGACGAGGATATTAAGGCAAGGATCGGGAAAGCAAGACAAGCTTTCACTACTCTCAAGTCTGTGTGGAGGTCAACAGCACTCAGCATCAAAAATAAGATCCGGATTTTCAACTCCAATGTGAAGTCAGTGCTACTATACGGATCAGAGACTTGCACTGCGCGTCATAAAGAGCACCTCAAACAAACTACAGACCTTCATCAACAGCTGCCTTCTCTCAATACTCAAGATCAGATGGCCAGAAAAGATCAGTAACAGGGATCTTTGGGAGCGAACCAACCAGGAACCGATTGTGAAACAAATATGAAGGAAGAAATGGAGGTGGATTGGCCATACTCTGAGGAAACCACCAAGTGAGTGACATTACACGCCAGGCTATTGCTCGAGTGGAACTAAATGGGAAGCGGCGTGTTGGGCATCAGTGCTAGGGTGACATGGGGGAGGTCATGCGAAGAGGAGATGAAAGCATGTGAGCAGACGTGGAGCCAGGTGAAAACTTTAGCAGACAACTGAACGCAATGGAGGCGTGTGGCTGAAGCTCTATGTTTCTTTAGAAATTAAAGGAAATAATAATAAAAGGTTCCATTATTGGGTATCTGGTATTTTCCTGCCATCACTGTTGTAGAAATCTCTGGACTTTTATAGTTTAAAGTATTTTTGGAAATTATAAACTATGCGAATGTAGCTTTTCCCCTTTCAAAAGTTTTCTTTTTATTATTTTAAACTTTTCTCTTTCTCTAGGTGTTGTCCATATTTTATATCACGAGAACTGAAAACCGATTCGAATTTGGTGTTCATGCCTTATAATTATTTACTAGATCCAAGAGTAAGTATTTTACGTTTCAATCACCCAGAGGCATTCAATTCTCACCATTCTATGCGTACTTATTCATCTTCACATACATTTACATTCATTGTGGTTCCTTGGCATTTCTTTCTGTCTACGTTTGTATGCTATATGGAGTGTGGCAAGTTGAACTTCTGTGCACTTTTATTTATTTATTTAGATTATGGCTTGATTCCACACCGTATTTTGGTACAATATGGGATTTTCAGCATGTGATATCGGTAGCCCTAATTTTGCAGGCCGACCATAGATATCAAGTGTGCGTCGGCAGTGGATCGAACCCTGGACCATGTGCATGACCGACGAGAGTCCTAACTGCTGTCAGTCATGCACTCTTTGTGTTCTTCCAAATCTATGAAATTTTCATTGTTCTGCATGTGATTATTCTCTGTAGCGTAGACCTGTGTTTATTACAGTTTATTTTTATTTTGATTACAGCTTGATTCCACACGGTATTTTTAGGTACATGTATGGAATTTTCAGCATGTGATATTGGTAGCCCAAATTTTGCAGGCGTCGGCAGGGGATTGGACCCCGAACCATGTGCATGGTCGGCGAGAGTCCTAACTACTGTGCCACCGACGCACATTGCATTGTTTTTTCTCTACATTTGCGTGTTCTCTGTGGAGTGTGACAATTTAAACCACTGAAATGTTATGTAAAGTTCTATGTTGAGAATTCACTTCACTCCAGTCCCGTTTTATTTTTGATATATGTGTGTATGATGTCAACGACTCCATTGTAGATTTCTACATCAGTTAGATAAATCAAGTAATTCCACCTTAGTTGTTGGGCCACCTGCTAGAATTAGTGCCTACTCACAGAACACAGAGAAATCGAACTGAGTGAGGACCTTCAAGTTATAGAGAAATCAATTTTTACTGTTCATCCACCAGGTTGGATATAGTGTTTTTTTTGTCAGTTTGCAGTATAGGACCATCACTGGTGGGTATCTGTTAAAACACTCATTCCCCCATACTCCTGAAGATTCTTCTGAGTATTAACCATTGATGAGGAGTGGATTGTCGATAGTCATGCGTTTACTAAGCTTGTTTCGTTATAAATTGACATCAATTATGCAATTAATTATTCATTCAATGGTACAGGAGATGATAAGTGTAAATAGTAGTGTACACTAGTCAGCTTAACGGCTTCCTTCTAATTGATTTATTAACACAATACCAATTATTCTATTTTTTTTGTTTTACTCTCCCTCTCTCTTTTTAGATTCGAACTTTGTATAATATCAATCTTGAGAATACAGCGGTTATTTTTGATGAAGCTCACAACATTGTAAGTCGTTATGCAACTTGCCTTCTGGTCATATGTATTCAAGTTTCCCATGAGAATCTAGGCTTGTCAACTTCTATCTCCGTTTTGAGTGTTTAGTTAGTCGTATTCTCAAAATGATCTGTTTGGTGTAATTACTGGACGGAAGACAAGGGCCAGGGAACAGATCAGATCGTTTATTGAGAAAACAGATATTTTTGGATTTTTATGTACATTATTATTCGTTATTGTTAGCAGAGAAGCATCGTCTTCTGATTCGTTATCTTCCTGCTGAAGGTTATTCTGTCGTCTCTTTATTGCCGTTTCTTAGACAGTCCGTTGATATATCTGCTAATCGTATCCGCCCACGCCAAGTCTGCTGTGATTGGTTGTTGAGTTCCTCAAGGTTAGGCTTGGTTCTAGTTTTTTTTCTCATTACCCCAATTTGGGACGTAAAAACTGACGTCATTTGTTGTCTACAATTTTGTCTTGCAGACAGTTCTCACTATAAGTACGTATGATGACCTGTCACTGAAACGTAACCTGCATATGCTTACAAAAGATGCCATGTCGTATCATAATAAATCTATACGACTTATGTCAACTTGTTTCTTTCTACAGTGTTGATATAACACAATGCTATAAAATTCTATATTCACATTATTGTTATCGAAAGTCAACAGGTACACATCATTTTTCGGGGCTATTTCTCGGTTTATCTCTCCCGGATACTTTTGGTGGTGTTATACTTTAAGCGAGCTAAACATCCTACTCTGTGTAAATTGGTAAATGTACAAGAGGGGGACTTAAATGAAACGTTAGCCGATACATTTACAAAGATATTACGATGAAGAAAATTATCTATGCAACAGTTTCATTGTAATAGCTGTCCAATCGTACATATATTACGGTTTCAGACTTTTGAAGTTTAGGCATCGGTTTCATGTGATTTTTGTAGGGTCTAGCTCACAGTCTTCCCTCTTTCTCAAGCTTACCACCAACTAATTAACTTGGCAAGGTCTAAGGAGTTGAACCCTCGCCTCCTGAGTGGTTGGCGAACATTCTACTATTGGACCACTGATGACTCTATGTATCATCAACATAACGGTAATGCATATCCACTTCCTCGATGATGTCTTTCAATTTCCTGTTTTCAAGTTTTGCGAGGAAGAAGTCAGCTGATATTGGGTCTAATGGTGAACCCATAGCTATATTCCACCTACTTGTCAGTAATATGAATTATTGAAGACGAAGTGCACATTCATTGTGCATTTACAGAGTTCGATTGCTTTTCAGTGATTTCTTGACAAATGTAATCTGCCGTTTCGATAATTGGTACATTCGTCAACAGTGATGATTAATTGAAAATAGTTTCAAAGTGGATTTTCCTCACCAACCGATATCAGTTAGAAAATCCTTGAAAACCAAGGGGCGTTGAACATTTGCTTTTTTCTGTGTTGAGACTTTCCTGCAGTGTTCATCCATAAGTTCAACAGGGATCGAACCCCATATACGAATGTGTTGATCATTCAGCCACTTGGTTGGCATTCATTGAATTGTAAGTTCTAACTTTTGCCAACACTCAGTATATAGCGCAACTGCTAGCCAATATCATCAGCGGGTGTTTGACCTTGATGGATGCATGCTGTTGAAGTTTTTTAAGCTAAAACAAAACGGTTGTCCAATACTCCCTGGTTATCGTCGGTTTTCCGACTGATATCAGTTCATACATTTATTCCCATTTTATCAAGTTGAATAAGGCAAGAACAACAGTGGTTTGTGCAGAATAATAAAATGGTACCATCATTACTTATTTCGTTAGCTTCTCATCAGCTCAGTTGCTTACAGCCCAAAGACATTATTAACTTTATGTACAGAAATCATTTTAACATACTTTCACAGAGTTCATTTCTAGACAAAAAAAATCAATGTATGCATTATTATTATTCTCTTGAGGTCCGAGTTGAACATAGGGCTTCAACGACACCTCTTCTAGTTAACTAGCTTGTTAGTTTTCTAGCCTGTGCCAAACCCGGGTAAAGTGGTAAGGTTGGGCATGGGGCTAACGACCCTACCTCACAAAACTAATCAAACTCCTATTGAAACTTCAACGCACCATAAAAATATCAAAACTACAAAAAATATTTTAAAAAATCTATTCTCCTCTGGAATCAGAGAGGCAAAATGACGCGAGCTGGTGAAAGCCTTCGGGAAATCAGTTAGCCGATGTGTCTTCTCTCGATGAAAGTAAGAATAATAATGGGGATATGGAATATCCGTACAATATACGAGACTGAGAAGACCGCCCAGGTAACCAAAGAAATGAGAACAAATGTCATAGAAGTGCTGGGGATCCGTGAGAGCAGATGAAAATGGATGTGGATTATCAAATTTGCCAACTGGAGAGTCAGCAATCCACTCCGGTCTGGTCACCCAGAAGACAACCACGAGAACACTGAGGCAGTGAGTGGTAATCATGATGTCACCAGTTGTAGGCGAAGCCCTAACGCAGTGGGAACCAATTTCATCCAGGATCATGAGCGCAAGATTCAACTCAAAAGGAAGGAAGTTCACAATCGTCCAGTGCCACGCACAGTGCTACAAACAACGCGGATCAAAAGAAAAAGGAAGATTTTTATAGTCAACTACAAACAGTAATGGAAAACACTCCAAATGGTGACATCAAAATCCTTATGGGCGATATGAATGCCAAACGAGGAGCAGATAATACAGGAAGAGAACTAATGATGGGTCGAGAGGCTCTTGGAGAAATGAATGAGAACGGAGAATTATTCGCAGACTTCTGCGCTTTCAATAATTTGGGGATTGTAGGCAGCGTGTACAAGCACAAGCAAGTATATACACAAAGCAACATGGATTTCACCTCACGGATACACAACAAACCAGACAGATTTCATCTGAATCTCAAGGAAGTGGAGACGCTGTCAGCCTCCTGGACACAAAGTCTTAATATATGCATACAATGGTGATAATAATCACTATATCCCAAACAAAAATTATCATACTCAATGGATTGTTTTCACTTTTCTCTGAACGCATAAATCGGGTTTCAGGCGCTTGATGGAGATTGCTTCGGCAAACTTGAAGGGAATTGAACTCTTTTGCCTATTGATAATTTTGAGGTATCTTGCGACGTCCACGTCATGACCTGTGTCAAAGAGAAGTCTAGCAGTGGTATTGTTGAAAGAATGTTTTCCCTCAGGACATAAGCTTTTCGGTACATGTTCAGAAAGTCGGAGGTATACCCTGCTTTCTGTTCTCCCGATGTAACTACTCCCACAGATAGATGTAAATTTGTATACACATTTGGAGTTAACATGAGAAGTGTATCTATCGACTTTTGATTGCACCAAAGAACATGTTGTCCGATAGACGGGGACCAACTTGGCTGCAGGATAGGCTTCTGGCTATTCCTGCAATGTTATCACCCCTTTAAAATCAAGTTGAATGAAGTTTGCGATCTAACTTGAAACAAATCGAATTCCTGCAAACCAACATTTGAAAGTATCATGAATGGATCGCAAGTAGTTACAAAAAAGGTAGATTAGTAACGGAATTTTATTTTCCAATTTTAGGAACAAGTTTGTGAGGATGCTTCTTCAGTCACATTAACTTCTGCTTTACTAGCCTCAGCTATTGAACATGTTCGATGTGTTTGTGAAGTTGTTTTTAATCATACTATGGAAAGTGAAGAAGCAGAATTAACCGATGAGACGGGTTACAATACACAGAAACAATCAACATCTAATGCTGTTGTCAGAAAAGGATTATTTGATATGACGCAACCTAAAGAGACTGCAAGTATGTCTAAATTAATTCCGTATCAATGAATTCTTTCTTCATTACTTTTCATTAGTTGAAGCCTTAAATATTGAGAAAATGATTACATTGAAAGGTAAGCGAGTTACATTGTTCTGTTTATATAACTAAATTTAACTATATCTGTGTGTAGGACAACTAATAGAACTAGAAAGATTAATCGATGAATTGAATGTCCCACCTGAGGGACTGACTAAAGATGGCAGGTGGGTTATTTTTTTTTCCGTATACACAGATTTTTTTAAACCGTATTATTATTATATTATTGTTCCCTTGGGTTCCTAGTGGAACATAGGGCTTCAACTGCACGCCTCCACTTGCTTCTGTCTTGTGCTGTCCTTTTCACTTGCATCCATGTTAGTCCATACTGTTTCAGTTCCTGTTCACACGATCTCCTCCATGTCACCCTTGGACGTCCCACTCGCCGCTTCCCTTTCGGGTTCCACTCGAGGTATGGCCTGACGCACGATGTCACCCAGCAGCCTCCTCAGCGAGTGTCCAATCCATCTCCACTTTCTCCTGCATATATATATTTTAAACCGTGCTTTATACTTATGTCGATTGCGTGGTGGTTGTTTTTTTTTTGTCTCTACCCACAATCGAATTATATCAAAATGGTTGAATATGGAAGAGTTTTCATCGGCACTATTCAACTTGAATGATTAATTATATGTAAACAATAACTGTAACACGACTTAGACATACTTTAATTGAACAGGCGATTCATCGTATAAGAGTAGAATTGCAAGCCGAAAACGGAAACAAAACACAAAATTATGCAGGAAGTTAGAATAATCAGTTATCGCTAAAATATAGACATTATATGCTGTTGAGAGAAGAATTGTATGCAATTTAAGAGTAATTCATATATTAGTGGATATTCAAACAGAATGGAAGTGGTCGAAGATCTTAAAGGCAAGACAGATAAATCCGAGTTTGAGGTTACGTCATATAAATGAAATAAAATTTCAGTGCTTCAAGGTGGGAAAGCCAGTGCTTACCAAAGTAGCAGTAAGTTAGTGACAGTGTCGTTTTGCACACATAATTCAGTTTTCACTCTTCGGACGACTTTAGCTTCAACGATTTGAAGCAGTCATCAAGTGCTCTATCTGTTAACCACCTAAAAAGAACCCACTGTGTTGATCTGGTGGCTTGTATTACCGCGGTGCTGAGTTAAGCGAAGCTGAACCTCTTGGATATCGACACTTGGTCACATGATCAACATTCTTGGTAGGCAACTGTCTTTCAGTTCTTCTTACTTGCTACTGCGTAAACAGATATAATTAACGAGAGTCGAAAATTAGTCTGTTTTGGGCTCTGTTGTATACAAGAGGATCAGTTGTCTGAAATTTCTTTCTCTAATTTCATTACTATTGAATCCTACTTTAAGGAACGCTGTTTTCTTCTCGGTAATACTGAACTATACTTTCCTTCTGCCACGTTTTCAGCACTTCTCTACGAATTGTGTAGGATATTCATTCTTCCTTAGACATTCACTCACTTATCTTCAACATGCAGCTACATTCATCGATATACCCATTATATGCGTACCTAAGGCTCATTATGGTGCATCAATGGCTTAGCGGCAGAATGCTTACCAACCAAACCTCACGTGCTCCGGTATTCGATGCCCGGCCCACAAACTCCTTTACCTGGCTAAGCCGGTAACAGGATGGGTGAAGAAGGAAGGTCGGTCGTGAAGCTGGCAAACTCATCCTGTAAAAATAAACACCACTGTTGCCGAAACTTCAAAACTCTAGCTTGAAGTACCACGTTCCACTGAGAAAGTAAAGGAATTTGAAAAATAGTTTATTATAGCCCTCAATCATATGTTTTGAAAAACCTAATGTCACTATTTTTAATCAGAATTTGATGCTACAACTATAAGATGAAACTGGAAAGATTGCTGCTTGATATCATATTCAGTGATTTGCTGACACTAGAGACAGTATATGCTGATTAAAACACCTCTACCCACTTTTTTAATTTCAGCAAACAGTCTATCATAAATTATACAATATTTTAAGTGGAAATAGGGTTTTTCATCAAACAGATTAACTTTAGTACACTTTTTCAATAGAGTGGATGTTGCTGTGAACTCGTTTTGGAAGATTATTATTTCATATTTAGGATGTGTGAAACGTGTGTCAAGTATACTGAGTATTTTGCTCAAGGCATTCATAAGCTGCAACACCCGTTGTTGACTTTCCTCCCGCCACCCGTGACACATTTATGTCATCTGTAGAAGTATGTTAAACAATATCGTTATTTTAATGTAATTTCAATTGGTCGAAAATACCCAGAAGAAATTTCAGAAGACTGATTACTGAACAAAGGATATTCTTCTCGAAAACCCTTTTCTTTATCAGATTCTACAGTTATAAGCACTCATAATAACGAAGGAATTTGGGTTATTAACAATTATGTTTAAGTAACGCCGAGTCAATAAAAGCATCAATGTATTACAGTTCAATAGCATATGTAAGCGTGATTATATGGATCAACGTAACACTACACGCTGAGTATCACACAGGCATATTAGGAAAAATTGTAATACAGAATTCATGAATTTATAGGCTCCACAGAATCCAGCATCGAAGAATCCTCCTCCATCATCTTATTATTATTATTGTTCCCTTGGGTTCCTAGTGGAACATAGGGCTTCAACTGCTCGTCTCCACTTGCTTCTGTCTTCTACTGTACTTTTCACTTGCATCCATGTTAGTCCATACTGTTTCAACTCTTCTTCACACGATCTCCTCCATGTCACCCTTACACCGACGTCCCACTCGTCGTTTAACTTTCGGGTTCCATCCGAGGGCCTGACGCGCGATTTCCCCCAGCGGCCTCCTCAGCGAGTGTCCAATCCATCTCCACTTTCTCCTGCATATTTGTTGGGCGATTGGTTCTTGTTTTGTTTGTTCCCATAGTTTCTTGTTGGTGATTCTTTCCGGCCATCTCATCTTCACTATAGAACGAAGACAGTTGTTGATAAAGGTCTGCAACAGGCTGTTGGAAATATTCTTTGTGACTCGCCAAGTTTCTGATCCGTATAGCAAAATTGACGTGACGTTTGTATTGAAAATCCGAATTTTTTTGTTGATGCAGGCAGAGTGACGAAGATTTCCAGTTTGGTTTCAGGTTGATGAATGTGTTTCTCGCCTTCCCGATTCTCGATTTGACATCCTCGTCCATTCCTCCTGTAGTTGAGACAATGCTCCCCAGATAAGTGAATGAAGTAAACTCTTTCAAATCCCTTCCGTTGATGGTGATTGGCGCTGGATGTTGCTGCTGTTGTTGTTGTTGGTTGGTTATTTCCATAACCTTGGGCTTGTCTATGTTTACCTGGAGTCCTGTCTTTGCTGCTTCTTCAACCAGTTTGTCAGTTTTCGCTTGTAAGTCTTCGATTTTGTGTGACATCAAACATAAATCATCTGCGAAATCCAGGTCTTCTAGGTTCTTCACGTCGGTCCAGGATATCCCTGTCTTCTCGTTTCCCACTGTCTGACGCATAATCCAGTCCACCACAATTAGGAATATCATTGGTGATAATAAGCACCCTTGTCTGACTCCTGTGTTTACTCCAAAAGCCTCGCTGAGTTTTCCGTTGTGGATCACTTGACATGTGCCATCATCTATTGGCTATCAAATAAATTGCCGAAAGCATCCATATACTGAAGACTTCAAACAGCAGAGACTATTGTGATCCGCCTAAAACAACCAGTTCTCTGTGTGCAGAAAAAACAAGCCTAGACAGCCACTACTACTGCCCTGGCCTTCCATAGAGCCTATAAATTCATGAATTCTGTATTACAATTTTTCCTAATATGCCTGTGTGATACTCAGCGTGTGGTGTTATGTTGATCCATATAATCACGCTTACATATGCTATTGAACTGTAATCCATTGATATGACTATTGATTCGATGTTATTAACAACATTAATGTTGTTAAGGGTGTAAAGAAGGGGTAATCGAGAAGAAGAAGAATATTCTTTGTTCATTAATCAGTCTTTTAATTTAATTTCTCTGTTGTCCGACGATTATCGCCACTTGTTTCCTCCTTTTTCTCTTTCTTTCCGTCCAGTTTTATTTTCGATCTACTTGGTCGAGCAGGAATTAATCACTGGACAAATAATACAATACAAGCTGTGATCGATGAAATTATTTCATACACTAATTCTACACAAAGTAATTATTATCATTATTATTGTTTTGTTGCGTTTTCACTTTGTCATTGGAAAGAGAGAAGATATTTAGTGAAGTGTGTTATTCTGTTTAGCTATACCATTTCTTAAGAAGGCTTCCTGCCGATTGCCTCCAACTATCTAATATCATCAAATCAATATGCACCGTGATGGCGAACTACCTACAATGAAGGCCACATTGCAAACTTGACTGATAGAATTCAGTCTGCACCGAAGAAAGGACTAGACACATCACACTAGTTACTAATGTCCAATGAATATACGTTGAAAACTTCATGCAATTCATCCTATTAATAAACTTGAACAAAGCAAGAACAGCAATTGTACCAGGATAATATGAGCTCATCTTTTATTATTTCGAGGATTTTTCTCAGCTGGTTACAACCTGAACGATAAAAAATATGAAATTACATTAAAGATTTGAACATACTTTTCCACGATCACAAGGAGTAATTGGTAGGAAGTAAAAGTAACATTAGTCCGGAATGATTTAACTAATTAAGAGTTACAAACACTGACTATTTATAGAATAATTAGACAATTAGGTTTGGAAACAAAAATCAGAGTTGCATATATATGTGTGTATAGAGACAAGGTATAACTAGAAAAATCATAACAAAAAAAGGTAGATTACGTAACTAAAGAAAATGTTTTATCTAGTAGCCAATAGAAAAAGAAAAGAACAAGGTAGAGTGAGTCATGTTTAGATGAAAGAGTAGAGTTTTCTAAACAAAAAAAGGGTGACACTCACAAAAGTTGTATATTTTTTGTTATCACCAGGGCAGTGCAAGATTCACCACTGTCTCTTTCTGCGTACATAGATTTGGTTTAAGTCGTTTGATGGCAATTGCTTCAGCAAAGCGTAGCAAGCTAGATTTCTTTTGCTTGTTTATTATTTCGATCGACTTCAGGTTGTCTACAATATGGTCAGTGTCCAATTGATGACGCGCAATCGCACTGTTTAATGCTTGCGGACCTTTCAGTTTCAGGCTCTTTGGTATGTGCTCAGAAATACGTTGACTACATTGTTAAATGGTATCACTTACGATTGAATATCAACTTCTCTTGACTCATTCACTTTCATTATAATTTAGACGAGGTGATTTGGTTGGGCATTTAGTACTACATTTTGAATAGCTGAGCAAAACCCTAGATTGACGGAGCTGCATTCATTGACCTTAACGGTAGAACTACTGAAGACTTCATGGATTGATGATGCCAAGTTTTGGTTTGACCACCCTTAACTCTTTTTCCAACGTAATCCTATGTCAACTAGTATTGCTTGTCGTGGAAGGCGTTATCGTTGGGCATGTGCAACACGTGTCTTAGCCATCTCAATCGATGTAGCTAGCAGCACAACTTCATCGACTGACACATACTCGATGCACAACTTCATTATTACTCACTGTTTAAGGAGAGAGTTAGAATGCTGACATCTGTGGGCAAAGACAGCTAGCCTTTCATATATTAAACTTTCAAAAGCAGGATATTTTTACAACAACCTCGAAAAAACCCTGTGACTGAAGTTTTCATTCTACTCTAAAACTTCACTCCGTCGCATAAATACATCTAAGTGACAGTAGTTAAAAGAATATCCCTTATGGCATCTCAGCGAAATTTCGGTACTAATTTAAGTCTTGGAAATTAAGGAATGAAATTTTGTGCTTCTAAGGATACCAACCATATTAAAACTTGTTTAATCTTAAGTAGAATTAGCCTACTAAGTTAAGTTGTGATGTGATTAAAGCGAAGAATAAAGCTAAAAACCAAAACAATGCACATTAAAATTATGCGGTTGAAAAGGCTGTGATAAAAGGAGCCGGTGTAATATTATATATATATATATATATATATATATATATATATATATATATATATATATATATATATATAATGATTTGCTTTATTCCAGAATAGTAGTTATGTTGCAACGTGGAATTCTCAGCGTTTGGTACAATATCGTATCTAATTTACTCAATGATGAAAAAATTACAGCGTACTATTATATTATTATTATTAGTATTCCCTTGGGTTCCGAGTGGACCGTAGGGCTTCAACAACACATCTCTACTTTGTTCTGTTTTCTGCTGTCCTCTTCATCTGGCCAGCTTCACGATTGAAAATAATCTCTCATCTCGTCCTTGCATCCTGCGATCTCCTCGTTGTCACCCTCGTACCGATGACCCACTCGTTGCTTTCCATCGGGATTGCACTCGAGTGATGGCTTGCATTGCGCGCAATGTCATTCGACGTTCTCTTCAACGTATGCGCGATCTATCTCCATTTTCTCCTAAATATTTGTTGAACAATTGCCTTTCGCCTGTTGGTTTGTTGCCATAATTTCTTTTTCGCTGGCCATTTGACCTTCAGTATGCAGCGAAGGGTATTGGTAAATTGATAATAGCAACATTTTGCATTAGCAGTGGCAATAAAGTTAAAAATGTACAAAAAGTGTAAAATGATGGTAATAATAACGTTAATAACTAAAATTACAAGATAATTGAAATAGTGTCACAATATATTACAAGTAGGAGGGGATTAAAGAGTCATTTATTTCGCTAATTACGCAGTAAGTCGTAGATTTCACGCTTAATGCTATATCTATCACACAGAACGCTGGCCAAATGGGGTATCGTTCAGTGTGTCTGCTCGGTTGTGCGAATATATAACCTTTTATGATGACTTCTAGTCTTATCTGATGAGAGGCTGAATAGGAAAGGTGTTGGAAGTGAGACAATATGGATTTGGACCATTTCTCATATTAGTTCAGGTGTCTATCGACTATAACACTAACGAGCTGACTTAGTGGTGCACTGCTACTTACCTGCCTTACTGGCAACTTTTAGTACCCTTCGTAATATTACATAGTCCTTTTTGAGTAGCCCAGGAAAGACTAAGGGGTGGAGGAAATAAAGAACAATATGTGGTAAGATGCAAGAGTTAAAAAATTGTAAAAGTAGAGGTTGAGTGATTTCTGATTATCTCAACTTCCTAATGAAGAAGGATAGAGGGAACTTTTTCGTAGAAATCCACAAGATATGGAATGACCAAGGTCAAAGGTCAGAGGTTATACATAAACATATGTATAGCTTACATATATATATATATATATATATATATATATATGGAGGCTCCGGGTGTGGAAAGACCAGCATACCTTGGTCTAGATTTTGCTGATAATTTGTGTATCATATAACATAGACTCGGAGATATATAGGCGAAATCCAACAAGTTGACAGAAAAGACACCGAAGTCAGGACTTCAGGTGAACGTAAAAAAGAGGTGATGAAGATACCTGATCAACAAAAAGAGCCAATCACCATTAGCATTGTTTCAACTACAGACGGCACGGATGTAGATGTCAAGGTCAGGAAAGCAGTGTGGAGATCTAATCATTTAACACAAGGAATAGGATCTGAATTTATAAGACTAATATCAAGTCAATGGTTTTATAGGGCTGGAAGACGCGGCGTGTCACGAGAAGTATTTCCAACAGGCTATTGCAGACTTCCTTCAACAATTCGGAATAAAATAAATACACTTGCATCACCATATTCCCTACAATTTTAATCTATTTTTTTATTATTGTATATTGTGTAGTGTGACGATTAATGTAACAGTTTACCAAACGATTCTGGCAGGTTGCTTTTTTCTGGTTAGCCTATCAAGTTCTGAAGACTGTCATTATGTTAATGAATCAATCCAACTGTTTTTTAAATCTATGCGTTAACTTAAAATGGTTTCATTGAACCCTTGAAATTTATTATTTGTTCATTTCAATTTTGATTTTCCTGTTAATTGATTGGACTGAAATGTGTTTGGCCTCTGTTGACATGGCGGCTCCTAGTACGGACGCTTCGACGATATCTTGGAATTAACATGAGGTAATTTGAGCGACTGTGACTGGCAGTGGAATGCAGGACACACACCCCGTCCTTTTCGAGGCCCGTCACCTGGATGTGCTTGCGTATTCAGTGAATGGTGTTGTTACCACACTGAGACTCGAAGCCCGTACCCTTCGTTTTAAACATCAAGGCGTTATCCACTAGCTATTCTCAACGAAATTGCCTCTGAAGTTTATTTTTATAAAGTATGTACTACTGAAAAATATCAATTTGGTGTGAAAATGTTATCGTTAGCTTTGCTTATCTCTATTTGACCAGTAAATTGTAAAGCGGTAGATGACATAGTTCAGTTCCACCGAAATTGTCTTTGTATTATACTATATATGCGAATTAGGACTTGTGACGAATGGAAATCAGTTTTTTAAAAAAAATCACTGAAAAGCCAGAAACATTTGACCGTTGCTTCGTTCACTTTTGATGCTTCAGCTGTGCCCACCCTAGTCCCTACAGGCTAGAGTCATCAGATCACCCCAAGCTAGTGGATATGATGTATCCACTCCAAAACTTAATGATCCTGTGCTCAATTCTCGTATGTATTATGCACTGCTGATAAGTTGCCGATTGGAACAAAAAAGCTAGGCAGTGCTCCTAGTGCTCTAATTGAAAAGTAAATATTTCTTCGCTCAATCTTTCTGTTTTTCTTCCTTTGTGTTGATTTTCTAAATTAATGTTGTTTATTGATTGCCGACAAAATTTACCGTGAAACCCCGCTATCACCTTCACAAATTCTCCACGACTAATAGTATTTTTCTCTTTCCTTTTCACTTTTTGATTAGATGTAAAAGTTCGAAAAACCAAAGGATTACATGAAGTTGGTGAATTCCTTAAAGTAAGTTAATTAATTGAATGAAATAAAATACTTGCATTAATGGTAATGCAAAGATCACTAGCCTAACTTCTGTATTCATGTTTAGATAATGAAGATAGTCACTCACTAGGTAGGTATGGCTTGTAGCTTGTAGCTAAGATGCTTTCTCTGCCTCTCAGTGTTGTTGAGTAGTTCAAATTGATCACTATTCAACAATTTTCTTTTTTCTGTATTTGGAACTATGACTCATTGGTTTGAAAAATGACCAACCTCAATTCACGTGACAGTGGTTCGCATAACCTATAAAGAATCACTGTGTCCCACGACGTAACTCAGACTATTACGTTGTTGGTTGTCTCATATACAGATTACCCTATGTAAATTTGAAAAGAGGAAATAGGAGCATTGATATTGAGTGACATGGATCCGTTTTATTTCTTAGATCCTCTTCAACTGCGTACAACCTGAAACACTTGAGAAAATGAGTTATAATTTAATTTTTACATACTTTTGTTTATCAGCAGGAGGCAGTCCTCCACACTAGGGAATGTTATAAAAGCGTCACTATATTCCATTGTCGTCTTTCCCCTGAACCTCTTACACATCAGTTTTTGATCGCCTGAGTCCTACTCACTGTATTTTGTTATATGTGGTTACGCAGTTGTTACTGAATTATCTTATTTTTAATGTTGCTATCCCCAACAACAGTTTTTCTACTCAGAACTTCACTCTTATGATAAATATATATATATGTATATATACTACGTATATATAAACTCAGTTTAATGCCTACCGCTTTAGCAATACTTAGCGCCTTTCAGTAGCGAATTTCTTAAAATGTATTCAGATATGCAGTCATAAATCGTTCCTTATGTTCGCCAGATGTATATGCTTTGGTACGTAAATGTTTATTAGTACATGCATTTGGAGATAACATAAAGGGAGAACTTGTCAACCTTAGATTGTCACGTTGAGCATTTTATTCTGTAAATGCTGACTAGTCTGTCAGCTGGATAACTCCCCTTGAAAGCATCAGTTATTTATATTTAATTCTTTCAGATAATTCATCACTTTTGAATCGAAGTTGTAGGAATACTGGTTTTTTCTCAATTGAGTGAAATCCTACTTTTATATCTGGTATTTTCTGATTCTGATCAATAAATTTCTGAGGACTTCTATTGTGTCGTAAACACTTTTTAATCATGACAAGTTCATCAATAGGTCTTTCCTTCGAAAAAGGCATTTTCAGTGCCGTAGAACAATGTCATAACCAGCGCCTTCTTGTAGTTTATTGGAAAAAACTGTTGAAATTCAGACACAGTCCATTCCAGAATTCTCTAACTGAATATAACTTTGCATATTTCCATCTGTAGTTTGTATAAGTCCTTGTGACTAATAATATCTAATAAAACTATATTGTTCTTCCACATTACTATTCTTTTTGCCTCATATCTGTGTTTATTATCTCTATTTTGAATCTGTTTTCACTCTCTTCTCTTGTTTTGTGTGCTATGTGAAGTGTGGCAACTCGAACTGCTGCACATTGATGCAAAGTTCTTTGAAACCAGCCAGTCAGTCAGAAAGTGAAAGTCTGCATTTTGCTCCTATTTCATATTGAATTCCATGTTCATCATTTCAGTTCTACAGAACCAGCGAAGTATAATGACACTAATATATCCTGTTCAATTTGTTCTTCTTGCTTTGTTCAAGTTTGTCAAGGGAAATAACTGTTAGTTATATTGTATTTTCTGAACTTAAATGCTCGACTTCTTTTAACATGTCAGCTCATATTATGGACTCTGTGAAGATGTCTGAAGGTAAACATAATGTTATGATGGTTGATGGTGTCTAGCAGTGGAATTCAGGATGAGGAGTGGAGCACTGTCTCACCTACTACAGATGCAGATACATTCAGTTGACGTGTCCAAAAATCAGGGGATGTGCGCATATCCTGGATCCCACTCCTAACTACCATTAATAAAATAAATAACACGTAGACTGGCAATAAACATTCAGTTAGTTTTCACTGATTATCTCAACTCGAAACTGGTGTTTGTTTGTTGTTTTTACAAACAATTTTCAGACTGTTTTTGGTTACCTCCCGGGTGAAGCAAATGTATCCTTCAATTTTAAAACGCAATTCAAATTACAACATGATGAATCAATTAACTGTTATCGTTTACATATTAAAGATGATATTCTACCATCAATTAAAAGCAAATTTACAACAAATAATATTTGGGATACTCGAGATGCTGGTAAACAGTCTGCCACGAACACTGGTGCAACAAATCGTACTATTAGTTACTGGTGTTTCAGTCCTGGACGGTGAGTGTACTTTGTTTTTGATGTGACGGTTAGAACCTAATAATCTTTTGAGCGTCCAGTTGATGAGTGAATTTTATGTTTCGTGCATCAGGGGGTCAATAGTAAGATGCTCTCCAGTCATGCAAGAGGTTCTGATTCCATTACCAACAGGTGCCTAGCATTTAGTAATCAGAGAAAAGAAAAAAGATTGGGTTAGTGGTGAGTCTGACAACGCCCCCTCTTCACCGCGATAAAAAGGCGATATCGCCGCTTGAAGTCATGCTTTGCACTTGGAATCCAAAGAGTGAAAAGACTTAACTATTCACCACATGTTTTTGTGCTTCTATACCGTAAGACACACTTGCATTGTGACGGCTTACAAAACTACCTACCTGATGGAACAGATGAAACAAAAGCATGACGCATGGTGTAAAAATGAGTATTGAACCTAATCAGCCACATTCCTATATTGCATAATTCTAAAATAGATCTAACTGATTGAACAACGACTCAATGAATTGTCGCAATGCTAACTTCTCATTCTCATTTGTTTTTTTATTTTATTGACTTAAAACGATTAAACTAAATGATTTCATCAAGCTTTAAGAAGCTAGTGTCTCAAGATATGCATCTGTTTATAATTGATAGACTGTTTTTTGTCATCCTGAAGCTTCTTGTAAGTGTGTGATGGTGTTTGCTAACCTGTATGTTTGAAGTGAAGCCACTCGGGTGTAAATATTTCAGCAAGTTGTTTTTTTGTGTATGTAGACAAATTCTGGTGAACTGTAACTTCTATGCGAATTTAATCGCTAACCTGTATGATCACCTAACGTCCTAGTAAAGCCGGAGGTGAATAGATTTCGGTCTTCCTCTAGAAGTATTCTCATCTAGCCACGCGTTCATAGTACGTCTAGTTCACTGCCTTCACGCGATGGGATCGTTCCCCACAAAAGAGAAAGGTGAATGCGAATGTTTGGCACTTAACACCCTACTGGTCAACATGCTGGTTTACTTAGGGGTGTTGGAAAACCCTAATTCAGTACCTGAGGTTTACATAAGCTCTGGAATCCGGGAGAATAGATTGGCGTATAAACTTATTCTGATCGTCAGCAGCCATGGGAAAGGGGCTTCTGATGCTACCCCACTGCCTTGTAGATCAAACTTCAATTCAAAGGCTGAGGGGATGGCCCCTTAAAACAACCACTTGATCGTATCTAAGCTTCCGGGCAGTATCCTAGTCGGTTCACAAACTATGCGATTTTGTCTGGTGCATCTTTTGGAACCCATAAGATATCAGGTTTGTGTTTTAACAATAATTGTCACTTTTAAAAAAATCCTTAGGAACCAAGATACAGCGGACAGCTGTGTTGTTTTAATTTGCAACTCTTATAAATGGTGCCCATAGGAACATGTAACTATTCATTTACAGAGTCACTTTAGTCTGTCAGTACTTACAGACAAAGCGACCCAAGCTAGGACAAAGCTGTTATTCACTGGTTCGTGAAATTCATGTCATTTTTAAAAATGAAATCTCTTAAACCTTTCGTAATCCCAACAAGCCAAAGTCTAAATTATGCTTTATTTTTGTAGTATTACTTTGATAGAATAGTTTCTAATGCCTAAACGCCGTTGCTTTTCCCAGTTCTCACTCAAATTCGTCTGTATTTCATTTCTAGGGCAATACAAGAATTGATTCGGCAAAAAGTACGCTGTATCATATTAACTAGTGGTACTCTTTATCCAATTGAACCGCTGGAAGCTGAGCTAAATATGTGAGTGTTATTTTATGCGAATTACTCTGTCTGTGAAAATGAAGAATTATACAACCAAGTTTAAAAAAAAATTGTATTCAACGTTTTAAATATTCATAAACTATTAATGGCCTATTTCCGTTCTATCGATGAGGCTAACGGTTTTGCAAAATGCAGTAACTTTAGAAGCTACATTAGCTGAAGCGATTGTTCCTGAAGACTTTACTATCTTATAAAGGTTGAATTCACAGGGGTGAAGCGAAGAGCGATTATAACCATAGTCTATGTTTACGCTTCTTATCTGTAGGAGTTGCAATCCTAGAGGGAATGGGCGTGAAGACTGCAAGAATGAATGGCAAATGGTGGGTGGTCGTAAACAGTACACTGTCACAGAAATGGTCACACAAAATCTGTCCTTTTTTATCCTTCACGTACTCTGAAACTAGATAAACGTTCATGGCATAGATAGCATGACATAATTTCTTGTGGTCGATAACCATCGTCTTCGATTTCTTCTAAATTTTCTTCGTTTCTCCTAGTTTTTAAACCTTACCATCTTTAACCATCCCTTGTTAGTAATTCAGCTTTATGCAGTGGAATTTACGTCACTTGAATTCGTTTTCTGAGTTAAATTTTTAAGACTTTTAGTCTCCGTAGTTCAGATTAGATTAGCCGATGGGTATCGCTAGCGGAAATTCTGCCGTTGTAAATCATGGATTCACCGTGACTCCGTTCATGTCTAGCTAGTTTGGATGACGGAACTTAGGCCTTTAGATTTTGTAGCTTCTTAAGGCATTTAGAGATTGATTGTATTGTTGTCGTCTGACGTTAACCTTTGGTGAGAAAAAGCAGATTATATTTATCGGTGTATATCTGAAGAACTTGTTTATAGTCAATTCTACAAGAGCTTTTGAAGTGTTTAGTGCACATAGAAGTGGAAACAACCAGTAACCTATCCCCGACATGTGCTCATCTTTATGCAAATTCGTGCTTACTGACGATTTTCTTCGGTGTTTAAGAAACTTGTGTACTTTCTTACACCCGGGCTTGGCACGTTCAACACCAAAGACAGCACTTTTATCATTATATTTACTATATCAAAGTTAATCCTATTTCTGTTTACAAATCATTAACTGAATAGTAGCAAATCAGCTGCCCGGCCCATTGAGGGCCGGATTGCATTGTGTTCAATGTATAATGGTCATATGTAATCATAAAGTGAGGCATATGATGCCGTTACTTCTTAAGGCCTTGCTACGTTATAACATGTATTCACCATGAAACACAGTGTCATCAGAAACTGTAAGTACCAATTATCTTATGAAGATACAATCCCTCCAATCTCCGGTTCATTGGGATGAAATCATGCACTTAATGTAGTTCAACTTGACCTTTATGCATTATAGTCCCATTCCTATTCTTATTTATGACTAATGTTTATAATAATTATCTCTTTTTTATCTAGGAAATTCCCCATAACCCTACAAAATCCACATGTCATCAATTCAGATCAACTGCATTTATCAGTGATACCACGTGGGCCAGATGGAGAAAAATTGAATGCAACCTATTCTGTACGAGAGACGTCGGCTTATCGTAATTCCTTAGGTCTCTTGTTAGGTACGTTAAGGATCATTTGAAAAGCATATATATATATATATATATATATATATACACTTCTAAACTTTATTTACTATGTGAGATTATGGTACATTCCTTAGTTGGATAGGGTTAATGTTAAAATTGTCATCACTCGCCTAGCAGAATTTATCAGTATTTCATGAAGGAATGAAATATTTTCAAGTTCTATAGACATTTATGGAGGAAATTAACCCATGTTAACCCGCCTGATGTCAAATTATTGCATGAATTTTTAACTTTAGTCATTTTGTCTGGTTATAAATCGTTGGTGGAGTTGTGGTTAATTCTCTTAAGAACTCGACTTTCAATCAGTTTATCCTAAGTTAGAACTTTGCTCCGGTTACTTCATACTGAACAGTTCAGTAGTAGTGTCAACCTCACAATGAGTTCAGCTCATCTCCTATTACATATTCTAGGTAACTGAATTACTCAGAGGTTTTCTGTGCACCCGCATAATTGAAATGCAACTAATTGAATGTGAATGATTGATTAATTTATCAGATTGATTTGTTTCTCAGTTACTGTCGGTCAGCTCCGTCTTAAGATTCCTAAAATCGGGTTTGATTTCTCGTATTTGCTAATTATCACTTTTCTAGTGATGAGTATCATTAGTGTCAATTACCCTAGACAACAGGGTTTACAAACTCACCTATCGAATACGTTTCGTTTTAGTAATACATCTTGTATATAACTGGTGTTCACATTTTGGTTCCTTTAAGTTCCCAGTGGAACATAGGGCTTCAGGCTGGTGTTTTGAAGTTTCAGTAGCAGTGAATTTTTTTAATCTTTATGGCGTGGAGTTGTTAGCCTCACGCCCAACCTGCCCGACGGATGGATGGATGCCCGGGATGGAACCCCGGACCACGTGAAGCGTGATTGGCGACCATCCCACCTCTGAACCACCGATGCACAATAAAGGAATGATATTCGTAATGTATTTGTAACAAACTATCTTTGACTTTTACACGTGTATTACTTAAATTTAGAAGAGAACACTGTAATTCCAGAGATTTTAAGCTTTTTCTTGTCTTCCTAGTTCCACATTATAGATCTGTTATTTTTAAGTGATATTCCACTTGAGTTTTACTGGATTCCAATAGCATGAAAATCAGTAAATGGAGATAGTTCCCGCAACTGAACATCTTTCGCTTTTTTTCAAACTTATCCTTCTCCAACTTAAGCTGATTGTAGATTGGAAAGCAAATAAATAACATTTCTAACTGCCTATGAATATTTAAGCTAATTATGATGATAACTATTCGTTTCTTCTGTTCCAAATGAAACCATAGGTCTTCAGCCTCACATTTTCGTTCCACTCGATTCTCTGTTATCATACTTTCTAATGGCTTCACAACTACCTATGAACCTTTATTGTTCCCCTCACATAATCTATACCATAGCACCCTCATCATGCCCAACCTATCCGATAGTATACTCGTTTCTTTCTAAGTCCTGGTGTGTAATATCACATGAAAGTATCGTCAGCGTGTGTATGTGTGTCCTGTTCTTCTTTATTTTCTCCTGCATATTTGTTAGCCAGTTGGTTTTCAGCCTGCTCCTCGTTAGTTTTAAATGAGGTTGATAGGAGCATGCATACACTGTTGATAATTTTCCTATTTAATGCAGAGTATTGCTTAATTATTCGGTCAGTGTAGCTGTTGATTTTCTTTTTTTCTTTTCCCTCATTTTCCTGTATCGCTTCTATGATCTATATATGATAAAACAAAACAAATGTACAATCAATGCAGTTCAATTGGCTCAATCTGTTCCTGCTGGTCTACTAATATTTTTCCCATCCTATGCATTTATGTCACAGTGTATAGAATATTGGAAGGTATTTTTTTATTTTACAGTACCCATTATCGCTGCTTTTTTGTTTTTTGTAGCTTTCATTTATTTTTCATATTTTGTATGTCTTTAAGGAACTTTTTCAAAATCTACACTAGTATTATGATAGTGTAACAACAGAAGACAAGGGCCAGGCAACAGATCAGTTTTATTACGAAAACCAACAGGTATTTATATGTATTTTACGTACATTAATAAGGCTCTGCCCGCAGAAAGAAGGCGGTCTTCTGATTGGTTGTTTGCAAACAAACGCAGTCTTCTGCTTTCTCGTTTTCGATATTTCTCGGAAAGGCGAGCCACTTGTCTGCGAATCATATTTGTCCACGTCTGGGTCAGCTGTGATCGGTTGTTGAATCAGCCTAGATTAATTTCCACCAATCGGCGTAGATCAATGTCTACCAATTGGCTAGCAGCTTGCTCTCACCACACTAGTATGCAAATCGAACTCTACCATTCAGACACAGATCTCATTTTCGTCCAGTGTGCTATGAATAGTCCTCTTTTAGTGTGAAGCAGAGACTTATGACACTATTCTGTTATTTAGATTGAATTAGCTAAAGTGGGGTTCGAAAGTCCTGTGCTTAAATTCTAAAAACCAGCCCTCGTCGCCATGTAGTTTGCAGATAGCTTCTTCATGACTCACTTTACAGTAATTCAAATACTGTCAGCATGCTATTTAAAGTTACTGCACTGTTATCCAGGCTACAACATTAGATATCCATACATCCAGTAGAAGATAATTATAAGTGATACATATTTGTATGGTGTAATTAATGTACTGGGTTCCCAACCCAATGTATCCTGATACTGTAGATGAAGAGTTAAATATTTTAAGGAAAATCCTGATAGAAAATGGATTCCCGACACGTTTTATAGATAAGAATATACAGTCAAAACCAATGAAATGTGACTTATCATCCGTAACTAAGAAAATACTGTATATGGGCTTAGAATTCAAAGGTGACTTAGCTTCCGATATCACTAGAAGAAAGATCTCACAGTCCCTGAAAAGGACATTCCTTGCTGCATCGTTGAGAATAGCATTTCCCAGTCGACCTTTGCTGTTCAATAACCTGAAGGACAAGATCCCGCAGTTGACCAACTCAGTGTGCGTTTATGAATTCACCTGAACGTGTTGAGTTAGATATGTCGGTCGTTCTACTCGAGTTTTGTCCAAGAGGGTGCAAGAACACTATCCTGCATAGTTACGAAGAGGTGAATGTGGAACAATAAAAATCGCGATCGTTGAACATCTGATCGATAATGATCACCCTATCTCTACGGTCTCTGCCTTTAAAGTCATCTACAAGGCGAAAAGTAATTCGCCCAGAAATCACTACGTATCCCACTCACCTGTACTGCTGAAGTTTTGACCATCGAAACAGAAAACCGAGAACTCTGTATACCGCCTAATCATATTTTGGCTCTACCAATTTTTCGTTTTGTTTATTCATTTTGTATACTCCTCCCTTATTACGTCAATTGTTACTACTACCATTCTCACTCTGAATTGTCCCCGGTATTATTTCACTCGTTCCACTTGCCATTCTAAATCAATTCTGTTTTGCAACGTTAAATTCTGTTATCAAATTTCACACAATGTTATGCAACATTTTTATTTTATTCGATTTGCCTACTAATCCTATAATTTTACACCCCTTCCAAGTTCTATACACCCTATAAATTGTTGTATTTATGAAATTAACTAATTAACGTTACTAATAAGATATCTGAGTTTTGAAGGAGGGGTGAAAATTAATTACAGAATTCAGGATAAGTTAATTCATAGGTGTTAGCAACAAGTTATTGCATAATCAAGAACTCTGTAAAATAATAATGACTTATAAGAATAGGATGATTCAGAAGAATTAAGTAAAATACAAACAAGGTAATAGAATTAGCTAGAATTTTAAAAATTAACAGAATCAAAAGGTAGTTGCAACGGGAGTTGAAAATCATGTGGGGAACTTAGTACATCTTATGTAGTTGGTCATGACAAACAAAGGAGCTGCACAAGTTTCTTTTGAACACACAGGTTTGGCTTGTTCAGATGAATTCTGATTGCCTCTGTTGTAGTATGTAAAAGTCGTACTGATAGACCATGCAAGCGGTTGGGCGGAATACTATAAATAGTCTTAAAATACGTTGTTAGAGTCGACTTGATGTCCAGTCAGTATCGATGAGATGGGCTAGTATTGAGCTGCGTATAGCTTTATTTGGTACTTTAATAAACCAAGATAAGAGTTCCGTTATAATAAAGGTTTGCGTATTTCCCAATGAATGAAAAAAAACGATATTGTTTTTACTGACGTTTCGCTATTTAATGCTAATAGCTTTATCAAAGTATTATTTAACAAGATAAGAGGTATTCAGAAATTAACCGATGAACTCGCCTGGTCGTACGCCCTATGTAACTGGCTCCGCACGAGCAGTTAAACTGGTAAATACACATGGAAGAGGTGAAACAACCAGGCAAGTTCAAGTAAAGTTTCAAAATGAATCATTAAAATTTTTTAAATTTTGGATAGCAGTCAAGAGATTCCAAATTATGTAATACATAAAGACTTATCGGATGCAGCATATAGTAAAATTAATTAGGTTTAGTGACGTAACATAATTGGCAACATTGAGTAGAGTTCAACTAATATTGAAAGGTCAAGTCAAATCAGTGTCATACAGAGTTGAAGTGGAAGAGTGGGAAGAGAAAAAAAAACAAAATTTAGAAAGATTATAAGACACATGTTTAGACAAATCAGGTCTACAGTAGGTTCATCGACTGAACAGACTTCTCTTTTCATAGTTCAGGAATTAACATGTGGACTACCATAGCTTTTTCACTTTTTGAAGAAGCTCTGTTCGTACACCTTTAGCAAGATTCCCGCATACTCTGTAGATGATTTCGAGGTTAGTTTGTTAGTGCTCTTGATGTCCAGATTAGATCTGATAGTAATCCTTTTTTGTCACTGTAAAAGCCTAGGGATAAATGCTTGTTTGCTATCTAAACGTACAATGGAATATTTATCCCAGTGTTTCACAGAGAGGAAAATAGGTTATCTACGATTTTAGTCTAGAACACCTGATCGATTATAGACACCAAGTGAACTCAAAAGTGAATACTACTCCAAACTAAATGACTAAACGAACATTGTACGAGAATGAAGGACTCCACTCTGAAATTAAATACACAGGTGCCTCCTAAATAAGATGAAAATTCACAGAATCGGAATTAACTGATAAAAACAAATTGTTCCGAATGTCATATTAAAAAATGTTGAATTGTTCGTAGCAGTTGTTTAATACAACAAATACATCGATTAAAAATAATATAGGCCTTCAGTTTTACTCTTGCGTGATGTCAAAACACAAAACGTGTTATACCTAAACAAGATATCTAATGGTTATTCAGTAATATGTGAGTACAGTTTAAGAATTGTGGCCCACCAGAGTCACTGTTCAATGTTGGCAAAGCTATATTGAGAATATAATAAAGTCGAAAATTATAAGTCGCTGGATTCTACACTTTCACTTGACCGACGCGCTTACCTTATTATCTGAAAACTCGACTACTGGCAGAGGTGTAGGTGGACGCTGCTAAAGCAGCTTTCCAAATTGCTTAGGTTTCCAATAATTTTCTGTTTAGGTTGTAATCTGTATTACAATAAATCAGGTCCACATGAACTTGATAACGTTATAAGTGTAGCGTTTTTCACCTTGTTAACCTGTTTTTTTGTGGCAAGTATATCTCCATTATATCGGTTTTAATATTGTTTTTATTGGTATTAGATGGTTGGAGGCAATCTAGCACCGATAATTCACAGTGCACCGTGATGGCGAACCACCTAGTGACATGGTGGCCACATTGCACACTTGAATGACGATAGAATTCGTTCTGCACCATAGATAGGACTATGGACATTACTGACTAGTGTCCGATCAGAAATTGTTCATGTTAAATTTTTACAAAATTATCATGGTTTGTTTTCCTGAAATTTTTCTTGCAGCCTTTGGATTTTGTGAGCAGGAAGATGCAGATATATAAGAGTTTATTTATCATGGGTCAGAATACATTTAATAAGCCAGTTCACAACGATAACTGGATTGCACAAAGTACAAAATATATTTCGGGATCGATGCTGTTAAGTTGAGATGCGTGCTTAGCTAACTACGGATCGTGCTCGAACAGTAGAACACAGCATGAAATTAGACTAAATAGCATGTGTAACTGAACGCTTAAACACAACAAAAACTAATACTTACACAAATAACTGACAATACTGTTGCGATAATCATTCGTTTTAGTAGCTATTCCTTGTGCCCGTTTGGATCTAAACCAATATGCCAATGAATATTCCAGAGTAATATTGAAGATGATCTTTAAGATGTTGTGTTCTATTGATCCTCACCATGAATCATTTTTTTTTTATAATGACGAGACTGCAAACAGTACCTATGTCTGGTAAACTCGGCCTGTCCCACCCTGTTTTGTAATTACATGCAGGTGAATACAGCTCAATGGTTGAGCTTTTTCTAGGTCATTTAACTTATCAGGCTCAATCATTCTAGGTCTAAGCTAAAGTTTTATGTTCCAGCAATCTAGTTGACCCCGATCTACTAGTTTAACCTATGTAATTGACCGCGCAGTCATTACATGGTATATAGTAAATTATATTTTCCTTAAGTAGATCTTATCGGGTCCTGAGAGCGTTGATTGATTTTAATGTCACCCTAATTTCACCAGCGTCATTGAAAATCTTACGTAGGGTCTCTGATGTACCTTCTTATTCCGCCGTGGTACTACAGGGGCTTTGAATTCTATATTATTTTCGTCCTCTCCATTGCTAGTCTTATTTTTCCAATGAGTCCTAATACATTTCTGAAAGAATTTTGGTGGATAGTTATTCACTGGTTATATTTTCCTTATCTGTTTGATTTCATTATTTTTAAATCTCCTTGCTTACTAGTTAGGCTACTTTTCCGATTATGTCGACATTTAACTAAACCTATCTTTACCGATTCTGGATGAGATGAATTAAAGTCTACGTTTTTGTTAGTGTATCGGTTTCTTATAAATGCTGGTATCCAACCCACCATCTTGTTTCCGCCTTGTTTTACAGTCTAGCATGTCCAACTCACCGTGTCCGTTTTCTAACTCAGGTGCGAATTGGATTCCGTCTACTATTGAGTTTATATGTGTGACAAACTGAGGGATATGTTCAGATTTCAACACAGTGAATGTGTCATCCACATATCTCCACCATAACCTAGGAACAAGCTTAATCGTTCTAAGAGCCTTACGTTCTCAACTATCCATAAATATGTCAGCTACTTTTCGGAATATTTATGATCCCATTTCGACGCAACGCCTATACCGGAGATATGGGAAGTGGCAACAAACAATAAAGGGAAGTTGGAGAGACAGAAAGAGGGAAAATGCATGTAAGACAAATTGTGAACCCGTGTGACTAAAACTGATATGATTATGATCAGTAGTTTGTGGTTGAAACGTCATCCAGTTGTTAGTACTACATCGTTGTGTGATATTTGAAATAAACTCATCTAGTATGAAATTACATTCTACCATAGTGCCCAAGTTCTACACTTACATATTTTAATTTTTTTAATAGAATGGTGATATTTTCGAAAGGTTGTTACGAATTAAACAAATTTTCATTGAACCTCGTGAAAAGAATCAATTTAATCAGGTATTGTGATATAATCTTGTTCTGTTTTCTTTTTGGTTGAAATTTACCTTGTCGTTATTCAGTAATAATGATGAAGATAACTCATTCAATACAAGTTGGTGTTTAAGTATCAGACTATCTATCACCTCTTGTTGTATTACTGATCGCATTTTTTTAGGCTGAAAGGTGAAGGCTTAAGTGTGTTAATTATTCCTTCACAAGTTAAGGTTATAGTTAAGCAGTATATGATCGAAACCTATCGCGAATCCACTAAGTTTCTCTTCCAGTTGGTCTGAGGCGTGGGGTAACTTGTATGTTGCTTGTTAGCAACTTTCAGAATGATTAGAATCAGTGGTTAGAGATTAATGGATACACGAGTGTTAAATCGTTCACATTGATGTAAGCATACGCACTTTTAACACGTTGAATCATCTCCACTGATTTTTATTTAAATATTCCGTTTTTTACCATAGTAACGATTATTAATCATAATTATCGTCTTACATGTGCTTGCTTTTCTCCTACTCCGTGTGTTTAAAATAATGTACTTCTTCACAATGCTCCAGCATCATCCATTTGTATGTCTATCTGACCTTAGGAATTCTAAGTCCTAATTTAGGAATATTGATCCGTTGGCTTGCATCGTACTGTTTGAACTGAGTAACAAGATATTAAAGTGCGCTGCAATAAAATTGTAGAGATTTGAGGTCAATCCATAAAGGAAGTTTTAATCTGTGGAGGCGTAATTCACTGGCCGCCTCGCTACACCTTTCAAGTTTTGGACAGCAAGGTAGTATCATTAACCGTCACGCGCTACTGAAGCTTCGAAACTTAAAACTGTGTGTTTTACAATGCAAGGGAAGGAAAGACAGAAGAATGACACACTTTAAATGTTTCAAACTAAATCAATGCTTTTGTTTTTAAAAAATCAAATGTGTAATTTTAATAATAAAGCAGTTCCCTGTTTAATTTACTTAACCATGTATCTGTCCTAGGTATTCAATGACTATCGAGTCTCTGCATGCAGTACAAATTCGAATGGAGCAATTCTTTTTGCTGTAATGCGTGGTCGTGTCAGTGAAGGCTTAGACTTAGCTGATGATGCTGGCCGAGGTGTTGCTATACTCGGTTTACCGTATGCACCATTCCATGATCCCAGGGTACGCTTAAAAATGGCTTATTTAGATGAACAATGCGTCAAATTGAAATCCAATGCAAAACAGGACAAAGAACAGAAAAATTTATTAGATAAATATCCTACTGGTCGACAATGGTATAATTTACAAGCATGGCGAGCAATTAACCAGGCTGTTGGCAGGTAAATATAATATTTTTAGTTCACTAACATACCAGTCACTCATAAGTTGTTTCGAAATATGCGTCCTGATATCCAAAGGAAGGTTTGTATCTGATAAGTAAGGTCAAGACAGATGTAACAAGCTGTTTACATATTTGACTCAGTAGTTGCAAAGTAAAGTGTTGATTACAAGAATTGAAAGATCGAGGATAGATCTAGGAGCGATTTTTCAATTTGCACACTTAGCGAACTCCAACGTATAATGAAATTAGTTTGGAAATCTTCTGCACTCAGCAAAAACACCAACACAAATGTGAAGTCAGTTTTTCTATATGGGTCAGAAATTTGGCATTCATGTCACAAAAACCATTTCCAACAGGCCACTGCAGACTCTTATCAACAGCTACCTTCGCTCCATAATGAAAATCAAATGGCCAGGAAGAATTAGCAACAAGAAACTCTGGGAACAAACCAACCAAGAGGCGATCGGTCAACAAATATGTAGGAGAAAATGCAGATGGATTGGGCATACATGGATGAGTCCATCGAATGAAAACGCGCGCGATGCAGGTCATCTCTCCAGTGGAACCTAAGTGGGAAGCGACGAATGGGCCGTTGGTGCGAGGGTGACATGGAGGAGATCGTTTGGGTAGAAGGAGATAAGAGATTATGGGCAACCATGGACCCAGGTGAAGAGGTCAGTAGAAAATAAAACAAAGTGGTGATGAGTTATTGAAGCCCTACGTTCCACTCGGAATCCAAGAGAATAATGATAATAACCTAGAATGAAACCTTAACCCTGTGACTTTTATGTTATTATGGTTGTTTCACCTATGCATATCAGTGAAATGCATTTTATTGCATGTTCGATATGTGTTACTTTTGTAAATGTTGTCGTCAAATAAATAGTTGTCTGTATTTACTCATGAAAAGTGGATTCAGGTTCACTGAAGTGTCCCTGGCTTTAAGCTAGAAGTCAATATAGTCCAGTGCAGTCCTGTATCATCATCTCACATTTTACGGGCGCTAATCGCATTCCAAACATTTGAAGATTGCGGCTGCTCAAAGTGTTCAGAAGACTCTGCATTTTGTCAGCGTGTTCACGTAGAAGAAATATATCATCCACATTAGTGCCAACATGAGGCAGAAAAATATAGCTCCTTGTCTCTAGTGGTCTAGTACGTGCAATATATTTCCTAGCCAGCTGTGGTGGTAAAGCTTCATAACCTTGTCGACTGACCTTTCCTCCTAACGTAACACTCTACGTCTAACCTTATTATCACTAAACATATTGCTCTACTTAACATGGGAGGTCGAACGATGACACTCATGATCAAAAACAGATAATCTATTCAAATCTTGCACCTTAAGTGGACATGTCTTACACACGTAAATCAGAGGTATAACAACTAGAACAATTTAAAACCAACAGGAAATACGCAGTCCTTTCACCCTCGTTAGGGACTTTTCTGAATTGCAAACTGGCAATCTCAACAACTTTGGACAAGTGTATTACCTCTCAGTCATGGATTTGAACTCAGATGACGCATAAATTATAATTTCTGTTTCAAAAATGTATTCCTTCTATCAAACGAACTCCACCGGTTACTGCTTTTCATCGAAACTCTGAAAAATTTTGGTTTATTTCCGAGTAGTGTCATGTGTATGTTGGTCTTGTAAAGATCTAGAGTGAAACGGAACAGCTTCCGGATCCTCAGGGCAGTTATTCAACAACCACATGCATGTCTATACATACAGTTTACAATTAGCCGTTACACATTAGGTTTCTGGCTTATGATACTCTCTGACTACTTAAACCTCGGTGAATGGAGTGGAGTTCGAACCTGTTGTCCCATGGTTGGAAGTCAAACGCCTAGACCAATGAGCCACAGATGCTGTGTAAAGTCCAGTGGTTATGTATGTTCAATAAAATCTGCTTTGAAATACATAAATTATCCAGTTGAGAATATATATATATAAAATGAATCGTCTGCTCTTTTCTTTTCCGCCCTACAGAGTTATTCGTCATTACAAGGATTATGGCATAATTTACCTGTGTGATGAACGTTTTGCTTCCAATAGCGCACAAACAAATTTGTCCAGTTGGATGCGATCGAAACGGAATGTTTATGACAGTGTAGAATCAGCTGTGAAGGATACTTGTGAATTTTTCCGTAATATGCGAATGAAAGTAAAGAATTTATTATTATTATTATATGACAACCGTGCATGTATATTTGTGCATTAGGTCACCAGCCACATTTAGAATGACTTTATTTCTTAGATATTATTCAACCAATGAGACCTGTACTTAAATCCCCAGCATATAACTTGGGTACTCGTACGAATGATCTATTTTTAGATTGCCTTGCCATCTGTTTTAAGGATAATGTTTGGGATTCTTAGACGACTTTCTGAAGTGCTTCCGTAACAGCAGAAGGCAAGACATGGAAGCCAATGTATATTTTCAAGTGATCAAACAGAGATCTATATCTATACAGTTTATATTCTATAACCAATCACTGGGCTTGTGATTTTGGCTTGCATCAAACGACATGAAATAGAATGTTCAAATTCATTTATTATTCTGTTGCTTATGCAGTTCTGAACTGTGGGAATAGCATTAACACCAACAAATACAATGTTTCTCACTGTGAGAATAATATTCCGATGGAACCCATTGTCTGTATCACACCAGTACACTTCAATACTGATATATATACATTGTTTTCTCCCGATGTAAGTATTCCACATAAGGTTTCAGAAATGATAACACCAACAATAGGCAATTTAAAACATCAGTAGTGCCTCTATACATAGAAATAACTTCTGAAAGCCTACGCAGAGTTCTTAACAAAGCAGGAATAAAAGTAGCACTTAAACCGACTTAGAAACAGTTATTTCTGTTAAAGGATCATGCTCAGTTTATTAAAGAAAATAATTTAGTTTATCTAATATTCTGCAATTATTGTAAGGTTAAATACATAGGAATGAGTGAAATCTAGATAAGTTGACCCTAAGAAGAAATCTAGAAAATATCTCAGCTATGGAACTACGTGCAATCACACACAACCCTACAATAAGATGGGTTAAAATGACATTCTTAAAATGTAATACAACAAGGTTGAGGGAGAAATTGTGATAACCAAAGCTTTATTTTATTGAATTAACCTAAAATACATGCAGTAGGAATGACTCAACGCCTGTCCAGCCGGACATCTAGAAAGTTCTACTACTCCTATGATGAATGGGAAGGAATAAAGAGAACCGTAAAACTGAAGTTGTTTTTTTCAAAGTTGTGTAGTAATAACCAATATGATTATGAACAACAGATTATGTTAGAAATATCATCCGTTAAATGATGTTGTTTCACTGTATGACATATCCAATAAATAAATTAATATGGAAGTTGTGATAGATATATTGACTGCACACTTTCCAAACGCATCTCTGAACATTATCCGGCATAGTTAGGAAAAGGACAATGCAAGACAGTTGCTAGCTCAATTCTCAAGCACTTGGTGAACTTAAGTCACACAACTCCGCCAGAGTCGTACTTGAAGATTATCTACAAAGTGAGGCTAAATGGTAGAAAGGGTGTCAGGTTTCGGCATTTGTGTATGGCGCAGGTGTTGGCAATTCGTCAATGCAACTCCGAACTCTGTATACAGAAGACGTTTGTCCAGTCTCTTATTCTACCATGGTCTTAACCTGTACATTAGTCATTCTCTGTAAATATTTTATTTTTAATGATTACTTTGCTTTTGATTTAATAGTTAATTCGCTATTATCACTGTCACATGTTCCTTTTGTACATTTTCTCATCGCTTTCACACTTGTTAAATAGACACTCAGTTACCTTTATTCTCACTGAATAACAATTCTAACCTTATCAAATTTCTAGGCCTTTCTTCTTTTATGCCGTTTGTCATTACGTAATTTATAACTTTCATTATTTTTACATTCGAAGAGACTTTTGAGTAATTATATCAGTTATGTCACCCCCTATTACTCAATAACAGACTATTATACATTTTTGGTAAATATGAATACTAGTGTACAGCCTGTGAAGACGATTTCGTCAATAAAGAAAATTTCCTTCATTTAGTCATATGAAAAAGAGAAGACGTTCAGCGAAGAGACTCTTTTCGGCGAATTCATTCACATAGCTGTACAATTGCTGAACTGTCTTTTATTCCCTTCATGACTCAATGGGTATTTTTGGTGATTCGAATTAATAATAGATTGTTGTCAATGATATGAAATGCTTTTCCTACTGACATAATTTTATCTTCTCAGTATTTCTATTATACCTTTGCATATCCTTCATCCGCCAGTATCCATCAAGTGATCAACCTGCATCATCTACCTCATCTAGTGTAACCAACCTGTTAACTGACAAATGTACCAGTAATTCTCAAAGAAAGCGGCCGTTGTCTACGCCTAATTGGTCAGGAATTTTATCGAATCTACCTTCAGCTTCTGAGGTAAGCGTGTTGTCAATTCGCTTATGTTAGATTATGAATATCTTCATTTCTATAGATATATGTTCTTTCTTATTCATCAGTATTGTATGTGTGATTCACCTCTCAATGTATAAGTGATACTGTGTAACTTTTTGTCATGACTTATGTGTTCCTATTATTTTGCCCAAGATACTGCATGTACTAAATGACTTAAGAATTGTAGTTTGCTTGGATTTCTCTAACCCTAAGATTAAAAAAGCAATTCAGGTGAACGTAGAGATAACAGAGGTGATGAAGATACACAATAGACAACAATCACCACCAGTAGGAGGGATAAATATAAAGTAATTCATCTCCTTAACTTATGTCAACGACATCGTTTCAACTATAGGCGGAAACTGATGGGAATATCGATGCAATGTGTCAGCCAGGATTAGGAAAGCAAGGTCGTCTCTTTCATCACTCTGAAATCAGTATGTAAATCTGTTGCACTTAGCACACAGAGCAATATTCGAATTTCTAATGTCTAGTCACTGTTCCTATATGGTTGAGAGACTTGGTGCGCGAGTCACGAAAAACCTTTCCCAAAGGCTGTTGCAGAGTTCCATCAACAGCTATCTTCCCTATTTTCAATACTGAAGACCAGATGACCAACCGAATATGATAAGCAGCAAATAACTCTATCAGGTTATGAGCTAGTCAAGAAAAGGAAAAAAGACTGGATATACGCTGAGACCGTTGGATGGCATCTCACGCCAAACCCTCAAGTGGGACGCAAATGAGCAGGGATGGGTTGGGCGTCTAGGAGTCGCATGTATAATATTATGTGAAGCAGGAGTTGAAGTCTGTGAGCAGTCGTGAAGCCCTCAACCATTTCGTCTCCATCTTTAAGCTGAAAGTTGGTGCTTGCGAGTTGTAGTTCATCACTTTAAATCGTATGAATGTCAAGTTTCACATGTTACAGATTGGAACAGAAAACATCCAGAGGGTTATATTCTGTTCAATAAGTCAGAAAACCCTTAAGCAAAACTATTGTTTGTGAGAACGTTAATCTGGAATGGCGAAAATGAACATCCACATTAATTAACTGTTTCTCTATCTTGTATTTTGAAACGAATCACATATAACAATATTGCAAACTGATATTACTGTTTCACTAAGCCATCTTAATACACATATGGCTGTTTAATGCCTCTCCACAATTCAGTCGTATTCGTGGATTTGAACTATCCCTTGGTGCTTTGCCACTTTTGAGGTCCTTCAACAGTGACTGAATATGAGTGATTGTATGTGGTACTCTATTAAAATCATTTTATTTACTAATTGAAGTATTTATTCGAACTGGCCGAAGCTTTCTTATGATATCCCAAATGTTGAACACCACTATATATCATATGTATTTATACCTAAAAGATTCATCTGTTCCTGGAAGCAGAATAAAATCTCATCATATATGTAACACATAGTTTTTTGACACACGAGTATATAAATTACAAATGCACACACGCGCAATCATTTGAAAAAAAAGTTTATTCTTTTACGCTCCGCGTGGAACGTAGAGCTTCAAGCTACAGTTTTAAATTTTCGGTAGGAGTGGTTTTATTTCTACAAGTTGAAGTTGTCAGTCTTACTCCCGACCTTCCCCTCTTTACTTACCTTACTACTGGCTTAGTGAGGTTTAGGAGTGCTCCGGCCAGGATTCGAACCCGGACAGCTTCAGGCGTCGTTCGCAAGCATTCTACCTCTGAACCACAGACGCACACACTTATGCAATGACAAAGTGGATTTGTAGCTAGATGAGCTTTGCTATTTCATCGTGGGCTTTTCATTACGAAACTTAGTACCAATTTTAGCTCAAGATGAATAATCCTCACTAAATGTGTGTAAAAATATCACATCGTAGAGGTAAGCGTGGCAGTAATATTCTAGAAAACGATAGATCAAGGTTATAACTTTGTTAAAAAAAACTTAATTAAAAATATTTCATCCCCAGATTAGGTAGGTTTATCAAACAGAGTTCAGTATCCAGTTGACATACATTTTATTTACCTATTAATCATGAGCTGACATCATTTAGATAACTACTGGAAAACTTTGGAGTACTGGACAGCTGTTTTTCCTAGTTAGGGACTCTTCACCAGTACGCACCCACCGGGGTTCGAATCCAGGATTTTCTGGTTACAAGGCGAACTCGTAGACCATTCAGCCACTGAGCCACTGCCGAAGAGTCCCAAACTAGGGCGAAACGGATGTCCAGTACTCCCAGGTTTTCCAGCGGTTCTCTAACTGATGTCAGCTCATGATGAAATCCTCCATCTAATCAAACAAAATCCCTACAAAACCAATACTTGAAAATTAATTATGATTGTTTTCTCTCTTTTCCTTCTGCCTCTTTCTTTTCTATACAAAGCTGAATATATTTAGCCCAAAATTAAATGATTCACTGTCACTTGTAACAACTTATAACTCTCAACTAAATCCTTATCAGTCTACAAGCATGACGAAACAAGATGAGCATAATGTTGATAGTCAGAAAGAGAGTTCTTCTTCAATTTTTGATATGGTGTACAGTCAGTCAGAGAATATTAATCAGGTAATGTGTGTATGTATGTGTGTTGGTGTACGTGCATATTTTAGAGTATGATAATGCTTTATTTAAATTTTTGTGTATAAATATTTTTTCATTCCTTTGCGTTTCAAATCGAACAAGGAATTCAAACTTCAACTTTGAAATTGCAGTAGCCCCTGTATTGATTTTTACAAGGTGTGAAGGAGTTGCTTGCCTCACGCTCACCCTTCCCTTTTTTTTACCGGAATTATTACCAGTTAAGCGAGGTTTAGGAGAGTGTCTGCCGAGATTCGAACCTGGACCACTTATGCAGTCGGCGAGCATTCTACCAGTGAACCACCGCGCACAATTATTATGTATACTGATAAGTAACTAGCAAGAAATCGTTGATATTAACTCGTCATGTCGGTGCCTACATTATTAAAGTTTGTATGTAACTTTAAGATTTTGACTTTATTCAGCGGCATGCTGAGGAGTGCGAAATGCAGATTAAAGTGTATTTCATACCGATTTACCTATGTAATGTATTACACTAAAAACGGAAGGATGTAACATTGTGTGATTATGTGTATTGTAATCTTTAACATTTCTGACTGATTACTAATAACTGATGGTTTCTTGAATGGCGTGTGTGTGCAATAGTGCCTAAATATTCTGTCTATCAAGCTCCGCGTCAATTGCTAAGCACATATTGATAGAATTCAGTTAGAATCAACACCAAGGAATGGACACATGAATGTCATTACTCTCTAGTGACCAATCAACGAATCAATTACAGCCCTACATGAGGTCAATTATCAATCCGAATAACTCTATCATAATCTCTGTAACCGCTGGTTCGAGTCCCAGAGGGTACATCAGTTCCAATAAGGTTACAGACACGCCTTACAGATGAATGCCAACAAACATGCAGCCTAGGTCCAGGGCTTCTTGTCAGTCGCCTGTAACCAGCTGACATCAATTCAGAATGCGCCGTGATGACGAGTCCCCTAGTTTAATAACCATATTCTAAACTTTACTGACTGAATTCAGTCGGTAACGACACCAAGGACTAGACGTGTGACATTGATTATGCCCTACTGACCACGAAATGATGAAAAGAAAAATTCCACCTTCTGAATGTTGAAATGTGGATTTTTTAAAGCTGTAAGCAGAAGACATTTTAATAAATACTAGGCATTAAACAGCATGTCACATTTTTCCAACATGATAAGAAACACCCATAAGCAGTGACACATCAGTGACCCGTCTTTCCAAGAATTTGTTATGATACAAGTGGAAGATGGAGTGGAAGAAACCATAAAGTAATAAAAAATATCCAATATAAATTGTTGCGTAATCGGTTGTTGTTTATTTGTTGTTTGGAATTCTGTCAGGAACACATTTTCGTCTGAATAGTAACAGTGATCAATCCATAAAGTTGTCTTTTTGAGTTCCAATTTTTCTATTGTAAGGTAATTTCTATGTTGTTGTTTTTAACAACAACCTAGTTAAATTCGCAGATAATCATACTCTTCACTTATAATTTATATAGCTTATAATAAGCATGAAAATATTATCGTGAATAGAATATCAAATAAGATTCAGAAAATTTCTACAACAAAGTAAGGATCATTAAAACCTTGATGTCCAAAGTAAGGAAAGTGTCTGAATTTTGGATACATAAATTAGGTTTCTTAATGTGGATCCCAACAGTCCCAGCTACATGTAATCGACGAACTCTTGAGGTAAATTAAGATTAGTTGGTATGCGGTAGATAACTTTGAAAGCCTCGTTAACATCAAGCTTGTATTCTGTATCCACGAAATGAGATAGAATAGAGCTGTGAATGGACTTCGTTTCTCCCTTACTTAACCACGCAGAGTGGTGTTCGGAAATCCGACTATAAACACGCCTAATTGTAGGGCCCAAGCAGCTAACTGGCTCCACAGGAGCAGTCAAATTGATAGATACACATAGAAGAGGTGAAATTAGGCAGTTTATGCTGAACACCCGAACGCAAAATACGTGTGGTTTTGAAAACACAGCATAATTCAGCAGTATTGAATGCTCTTTTTACCACATTCTTCAGGTGTTGTGTTAATATCTCACTGATGTTATCCCCGAGGAAGTGAATTTATAAGAACAAGGCCTTCCTTTGTGGGAACTGTTGGTACTTCGGTCTGTCTTGACTTCTAATGCATACTCATGTCTGTGTAATGTCCGTTTTATACTACTTTCATACATACTGAGCCATGGTCTTCGTTGACGAGCAATGTTTGCTGAAACAGGATTAGGCTGGCATAAATCCATGAAGTTTGTGACAGTTGACTTTAGCCACATATGAAGGCGTAGACTATCGCCTGGTTGAGGTTGTCGAGATGCTAAGAACTAATGACTGAGGGACTGTTGGTAATATGGCTCAGAATCGTGTTCAATGCCTGGCTCAGATGTATTCACCTCCCATACCGATTAAACCGTCATGTTTTATACCGTGTCACTATTTGTTTCTCCCGTACATTTCCGCTTATTATAGTTCTTGTATGACAGCTTACAAGCGAAAACCGACAAACTGGTCGAAGAAGCAGCAAAGACAGGACTACAAGTGAACATAGACAAGACGGAGGTTATGAAAATAACCAACCAACAACAACAACAGCAACATCCAGTGCCAATCACAATCAACGGGAAGGATTTGAAAGAGGTTACTGCTTTCACTTATCTAGGGAGCATTGTCTCAACTACAGGAGGAACGGACGACGATGTCAAATCGAGAATCGGGAAGGCGAGAAACACATTCATCAACCTGAAACCAATCTGGAAATCTTCGTCACTCAGCATCAACAACAAAATTCGGATTTTCAATACAAACGTCAAGTCAGTTTTACTATACGGATCAGAAACGTGGCGGGTCACCAAGACTATTTTCAACAGGCTGCAGACCTTTATCAACAACTGTCTTCGTTCTATACTGAAGATCAGATGGCCGGAAAGAATCACAAACAAGAAGCAATAGGAACAAACAAAACAGGAACCAATCGCTCAACAAATATGCAGGAGAAAGTGGAGATGGATTGGACACTCGCTGAGGAGTCCGTTGGGTGACATCGCGCGTCAGGCCATTGCTCGAGTGGAACCCGAAAGGGAAGCGGCGAGTGAGACTTCCAATGGTGACATGGAGGAGATCGTGTGAAGAAGAGTTGAAACAGTATGGACTAACATGGATGCAAGTAAAAAGTACAGCAGAAGACAGAAGCAAGTGGAGGCGTGCAGTTGAAGCCCTATGTTCCACTAGGAACCCAAGGGAACAATAATAATAATGACAGCTTGAATTACTACACACCTTTTCAAAGTTCTATGCTGAAACCCAACCTATCAAAAAATTATGTGTTTACTGTTATCTATGTTACCCCCACCCCCAAGTGCTGTAGTAATCTATAACTTTTTATTTCAGAAAACATCATTAACTGATTCAAATGCATACTGTGATGATAGTTTGGAACAGAAGTTACTCCAGCGTAAACCATGTAAACGTATAAGACTTTTGGAACAGAAAACTAATTCTATCAATGTTTCAGAGAATGGTTCTGCTTCGTCGTCGTCGTCTTCTTCTTCTCTCACTTCAAATGCTACTGACACATTGGACAGTTCATCATCTTTGAAATATTTAACTCTATTGAAGTCTGTCCTTAGGTCATCAAATCGACTTAACGAATCGGAATATGCTAACCGATTAAGTGATTTTAAACAATACATGAAAGAGTATAAACATGCAATAATATCCAATGAAAACTCATTAGAGAATGATCAAGTCGTAGAAACGTTATTTACACAGTTGTCGAGATTATTTATTCCTTTGGAAACACCTGGACTTTTACAAGGTAGGTGATTTACGCATAAGTGTTGGTTAGATATTTTTCTTTCTAGTGATAGTTTTTAATGTTATTTTTATGAGAGGAAATATACTAACAGTATCATCGTTGTGTCTTCCACTGTGAAGACGTAGTTTACTGTCTTAAGCAGTCGGTATTTACTAACCAAGGGTTGTTGGGTTCGAATCCCTCTCCACCAGCCCTCATAACTTAAGTGTGGCTCATGGCCTGAAATATAAAAGACCTATTCCGGGAATTGAGTTCAAACAACATCTATGACATGAGGCTGATAAACGTAATTAACTCGTTAAATCTTGGATTTTCATCTAGAACATATATAAAAAAGTTTAGACCTGTCAAATATCCAGATTGCAGAGATTCTGGACCTATAGTTGGTTTCAGAAGACTAAGCCTAATGTGCAAAACACCGTGTGGACTGTAACCGACGCAGAACAATAGAAAACAATTGGCAACATGATTGATTAATCTTAGAGCGATAAGGATACGTTTGATGGGACACCGTGGAAGTTTACTTACTCTTGGACTATCTGAAATAGAATTAGTGTTGCGTGACCGCATACTACAGGGGACAACTGTTTGAGGCTAGTCACACACAGCCTGTATGAACTGGTTTTTTGTTTTGTTTCTGTATATGTAACTTACCGCCGGCTACAGACCACCGTAGGGTAAGTTGGGATGTACAATTTTTGGGGTCGACCTTTTCTAATCCCCTCCCTGCAGAGTGGAGAGACAGCATAGCTGGCATGCAAGTCACCTGAGTGAAACACCTTACTGTGACTGTTACATCCCTGTTCCCCAGCAGTACGACTTCGCCCATAGACCCCCAGCATAGTGTATAAAATATTCTTACAGTATGCTGGTAACTGCTTTTAATTTAATCGCTATCCTAACAATCTTCCTGGCATAGTAGGACCTACATGAACATTAGTTCCAGCTTGTTGGGTTATTGCGATATGCAAGCCTGACCACCACGTCAAGGTATCAGCTATCAGTCGGGATCAACACTTAGTATTGACCTTGAACTGTTAAATCCAGTGACTGCGTGTTATCAGTGGTTGTAGCAGCAGTCCCACAAGTTCTTTTCAACCTTTAAATGAAAGTTCAAGGAATTTATGGAACTGGATGAAAGGCATCATAAGGAAGATAGTTATATGTCTTCATCAGTGAAATATATTATATAGTAGTAAACAATATAAAAGGTTTTTTTCATCCTTTGCGTTTCGAGTAGAAAATAGTGCCTCAGGCATAAGTTTCAATAGCCGAAGTATTGTTTTTACGTAGGCAAGGTTACTAGTCTCACACTCAGCCTTCCCTGTATTCCGGACTTACTGCTTGCCATTAGATTAGGCGAAGTTTAGGAGTAAGTCGGCCGGCAGTCGTTCCGTGACCTCCTGCGTGGCCAATGAGCATTCTAATACTAAGCCCTCCATACAATATAAGTAATGTGACTCGACTAATCGCTTCATGCACTTCGGTTTAACTAGCCAGTGAGCTAAATACTTGTCTAAGCAGAAGTTAGTGAATGTAATACCCATTGGTTAGACACTTCAGTGTACTAGTATTATTCTGATTAAGTTTCAAAGTCTAACACAGAGTACTAATAAAATCAGAACACAATTTTTTGACAAACATTTTGGTCAATACTAGTTTTCATTCAGATTGTTTATGCTCTGTGCTGTGTTCTACTTTTTCCTCCTAGATGCCATCTGTTTCCTCCTACCGCAACATCGTAAACGTTATGCTGAATTATGTCACAATTTAACTGGTTTGCCTATTGTTCGACGAGACTTGAAGAATGGTAAGTGCATAAATAGTACTGTGTCTATTGAAATTAGATTGTCTGTTTCACTTGAAATTTTAATTCTGTCCCGTTCGTCTCTCCACTGTTAATTTCACCTTCATCTAGTAGAACAGATTACAGTGAATGCCAATGAGTTCAAAACGAATAATTGGTGTTTCTGATATCAGTCAAACTGTGGTTATACTGCACCGTGTCCTTTGAGATTGTAGGTCGTACTGTGGCGTGTGCTACTGATAAGATTTGTCAGTAATATATATATATTCCAATTGGTCTTCTGTCATCTCTTTCAACTTGCTCGACTCCATGACGGCCCACAAATTTTTATTTCCTATTCACATCATCCCTTTGTAAACTCCAAACGCCCAACCTATCGCTTCCTATTTGGGTTCGGTTCGAGGATCTGACGTGATGTGATGTTACTTGAAAGTCTCCTCACTGTATGGCCAATCAACCTGCATTTACTGGGCAGTAGTTTTTTGGCTAGTTTGCTGCAAGAGTTCGCTGAAACGTGTAACTCCATATTATTCATGAGACTATAACTTTAGAATTTTTTACTATCCGATATGTCTCTCTTCTTCTGCACCAATCGACCACTGGGTAATGACTAAACGTAAAGATAATGCAATCAACAACTCATGTATTTGTTCATGTTGTGTCTAAAAGTTTTTCACAACTATTGCAGTTATATTTTGAGGAGATGAGTTCTCTGAGCTCACCATGTTTTCGCCTGTTTTTCCACATCTCTTTATAATACATTATGTTGTTTTTCTCATTCCTTCGGTTCCAAGTAGAACTTATGGCTTCAATTCTTATAGTTTCAAAAACGATAGTGCTGTTTACACGTGAAATTACTGGCACGACGCCCAACCTCCCGACTTTTCGAAACTTACTGCTGGTTGGTCGAGGTTTGACAGTGTATCAGCGAGGAATCGAACCCGGATCTCCTATGTGTTTTGGTGACCACTTCTGCCACTAAAACGTCGACATATCTGTTAATTAAGAGATTTTAAGTAGTACATTAATAATTTAATTAATTTAATTTTGATTACAGCTTGATTCCACACCGTATTTTCAGTACAAGTATGGAATTTTCAGCATGGATATCGGTAGCCCCAATTTCAGGCCGACCATAGATATCGGGTGTGCGCCGGACCATGTGTATGGTCGGCGAGAGTCCTAACCACTGTGCCACCGACGCACATAAATACAAAAATGTACTCGTTAAATAAACTGATTTTTGTTTCATTTTATCTCATTTCTTATAAATTTAAAATTAGTGTCGGACAACTCAGCGGTCAATTTAAAACAATCACCGAAACCTACAGAAAAATCACTTGAACAATTAATGAAATGCTGTAAATGCTCAGTTAATCCAGCACAAGTTCCATTGATCTCATGTTGTAAACATATAGCTTGTTTCAAGTGTTGGCGACATATAATTGAAGAAGTGAGTAATTGTTCTCTGTTTTTCCTTCTTAACTTCAAAATGTTTTAATTAGTGCTTATATGTAAGGTTCATGCTTTGACTATTGTTACCTGAAGTCCACGAGTGTTGGATTCAAATTCCCAGGTATCGGGAAGTTTTTCCGCTTTTTGTTATGATAATCAATTATCTTAGGCGTGATTCTCTGTATATGTCTATTTGTTTGTACTTATATGTTTATATGTTGCCACCGCTGTGTCGGTAGCGCAGCGCTGGGATGCCAGCCAACCGAATATGTGGTCCAGGGTCTGATTCCCGACCGAAGTACTTCTTTACCTCGCTAAGCGAGTCATAAGACCGGTAAAGAGGGAAGGTTGGGCATGAGGCCAGCAACCCCACCCCGTGAAAATAAACATCACTTCTACCGAAACTTCAAGCCTGTAGCTTGAAGCCCTATGCTACACTGGGAACGTATAGAAATAAATAAATCATAATAGTTATGTGATTCTGTTTTAAGATGATAATAATACCAAGAGGTGTGGTAGTGTTTTGTATTTTCTCAATAAAAACTGCCGAATTCAACAAGGAATCCTAATTTCTACCGTATGAGCGGACAGACAAAGAGATATGTCAGTTTAGTATACTTTTGCACGAAGGTGAGTCTATTCCAGTTGTTATACATTGAATGATAATACAATAGGCAAGCACTACTTTGGCAGGTAGGATAATTTTATGCAGGTGATAAGAAATGGTGATAATCTTGCCGTCGTAACCCACTTATAACCCATGTGTTAACAATGCACCATACTATAAGACATTATATCTGTAGAAGTTTCAGAGAAATCGAAATAAGTATTTTTACCCTTCCTTCCGTTCAGTAAACTGCTGTAACCTCCTTCTTCAGGGAAACGATCATGTTCACAACCGCCTTTAATTTATTACTTTGTATCTCACTTTGACTGAATTTTGTTTGTACGTTTTTTTCATATTTAATCATCACTACATTGTCTCACTGAAGTTTTTTTCTTTTCAAAAAAAAATTCCGTAAATTTCAGGGTGATCGTCAGTGTCCTGTGTGTCGAAAATTACTTAGACGACGTGATTTATCCCGTTTAACGCAAAAAGCTGATACAGATTAAGTAGTGGTATTTTTGTTTATTTAATCAACGCTACTTAATTTTCTAGATGCTTTGAAACTACCTCTAGATAAAATTTCATATTCTTTTATACAAACAACAATGAAGATTCTATTTTCTTATTTGATGTATTTTTTGTACTGTAAAACATGGAAAGCATTTTTGTATTATTTTATGTCAGTTGTTTTCGTCTTCCTTTCCGTGTATGAATAGAGTCCATTGGTATGAAGTTAAGTCTGTGTGTTTAGTTGTCATACGAGTCTATTTAGTCAGAACAAAGTCAGTGGAATAATAATATCTTTATTCTGGACAGTATTTATAAAATGTACACAATTTTCAGAGGATTTAATCGTATGACATTTGCCTTTTGTGCAACATCTTCAAGTAAAATCATCAATTGACAGTATATCCTTCCTGTGACACAATGGTCTCTGAGCTGAAACACAAACCATTTCATTATAATATATATATATATATATATACTTTGTCTCCCTCAAGAAATCCACGATAACTAGTTGAAAGCCAATTGTAAGATGTTCAGAAGTACATTTTCAAACCCAAGGAAGAACGGTTATCTCATATATTGGAATTCGCTGCCACCCACAATCAGGCCTTTCCTCAAATTACGTAGGAACTTTCGAAACCGAAGCTTGTAAACATTTTAAATACACACAGGAGTAGATAATACCAATAGAGGTCATATCTCAATCGACTAAAACAAACCGAACAAGAGAAAATATATGCAATAGAGAAATGAAGTTTTTTGGTAGCAGACCGCCAACGTGTGAATGGAGTTCACCCTCCTCCCGCGGCCTAGATGTCTGAAATGATGAAATTTACCTCCACACACTTAATTCATCTATGCTATTCAGGTGGATATATCGGTCTTTATGAAAAGACGTGGTAAAATAGAAGAAGCTATCGAATTGGGCAAATAGTTTCGGCGGATTCATTTTGATGCGATTTGTGATGGTGATTCTAAGCGGTAATATGTTTTTTCCTATTAATACCATTATTAATCGTCCCACTCAGCAAATCTCCACCGTACTCTGTCGTTATTTTCAGCTGGCTCCACTATTGTTGACATGCTTACATTTTTACTCTTCACATGATCTCATCTCCGTCACGCTTGGATAACCAACTTGTCGCTTCCTTATAGATAACAGCCGACAGCCTCGCCTGTGATATTACTTGAAGATTGTTTCCTCTGAGTATTACTTATTTTATTCCAGTGGAACATAGGGCTTTAAGCTGGAGCTTTGATGTTTCGGTAGCACAGTGGTGTTTATTTTCATGGGATAGGGTTGTTCCCCTCATTCTCAACCTTCTATCTCTACCGGTCTTATTACCGGGTTAGCGAGGTAAAGGAGTGCGTCGACCGGGAATTGAACCCTGGACCATGTGAGGCGTGGCTAGTGGGCATTCTACCGCTAAGCCACCGACGCACCTCCTCAGAGTATGTTCATTCTGTCTCCATTTCCTTCTGCATACTTGTTGAATGTGCGTTGGTGGTTCAGCAGTAGGGTGCTCGCCAACCATGCATGTCGTCTGGAGTTCGATCTTCGGGTGACGAACTCCTAAACCTCAATAAACATGGAAGGTTGAGCGTGAGGCTATCAACCACACCCCGTAAAAAAATCAAGCATTTGCTACCGAGACCTAAAAGCTCCAGCTTGAAGCCCTATGTCCCACTCGAAACGTAAAGGAATAAAATAAATATTTGTTGAATAATGAGTTGTTGGTTGATTTTTGCCAGAGTTTCTTTCTGTTTTTCCTTTCTAGTTGTATATATGATCTTTACTATTGAGCGATGGTAATTGTTGATGAAACTCTGCAGTCTCTTGGAAATGCTTCAGTTATACACCCGTCTCCTCATACTACATAGGCTGATTATCAATTTACTCATCTCATTACAGTGGGACATTGACGTAGAGAAGCTTTTATGAGGAAAACGTTTCTCATTACAGTTGCGTGAATCGTTTTGTATTTAGAATTATGACAGAAAATCTAACTGGTTTTTAATGGCGTATAGGTCACAGTCCCACAAATGTTTGTTAGTGTTGTGAGAAAAAATTGAAAATGCCTAAGGACAAATATCGGAAGTTGTTTTCAAAAGTTTCGTTGTTGAAACTGTGAACTCAGAATCCTAGGTTTACAAACTGATTTTGAGTGTAGGTTTCCTCTAAATTAAAATCTGAGGATTTGAATTTCGCTTATCTACATATAAACTACACTGTAATATCAACCAAATTTGATTCAATACTGTGAAATATCCCCATATCATAATGAATTAAAAGTCAATCTGAACGAAGAATATTCTTTTCAATAATTTCTCATCAGGTTCTTACAAATTATAAAATCATGATGAAATCCTCCAACCAATCAAACAAAATCCCTATGTAAGCAATACTTGAACATTAATCTGGTGCTCACTAGCGACTGGCCCTATTAAAGCAGTTAACCTGGGGTTCTGGTGAAAAGCCGTGACCAGTAGGGTGCAGCAGGTTCAATGTGAGGCGATAACCCATCGAAGAAGGCATTGTGAAGTGGTCGCGCTATGTCATGAATTGACAGAAGCTGGAATTCATGGGCCATTTTGATCGGGTTCCAGTGGCTTAATGGTCTACGAGCTCGGCTTGTAATCAGAAGGTCCTGGGTTCAAACCCCATGGTGTGGGTGGGTACTAATGAAGAATGCCAAACTAGGACGAAACAGCTGTCCAGTTCTCCCAGGTTTTACAATGGTTCTCTAACTGATGTCAGCTCATGATGAAATCCTCTAACCAATATAATATTTGTTGTTGTTACAATAATGCTGGCCAGTTATGCGGCCGATACATTATTTGCATAGAACAACAGATTAGTCATGAGTTGACAAAATAAATGGTATTTGTGTGGCAAACGTGCTAGCGTTTCGGGCTAAATATACCGAATTCCGAAGTTTTTATCACGTACAGTTCGCTTACGTCTCCTACACATAAATGAAGCTGTCGCAATAAGATCAACTATACCAGAACTTTGTATCCAAAAAGAACACGTTCAAACGCTCTTCCTATCGTAGCCAAACTTGGATTAAAGTGTCTTCTTCTCACCGAGTGTGCCTCTTCCCGTTATCCCTCTTGAAGTTTTTTCTTTCGCTGATTATTACAATTATTATTATTATTCATCATAATTTATAACCTTCATGCAAACATCCTCTCAATACTCTCGAATTTTCCATTCATACTATCAGGACTTACTATTAGTGATATTATCTCTTTTCTCAAGATATGCCTCCCTGTGCTTCATTTCACATATTGGTTACTTCATGATGAACTCATTACAGTCTTACTATCTCCTCTTTAATACATACCACTTTGTACTAGCCACTCACCTGACACCTTTAATAACTCTGAAATTTTTCCTACCCAGCATTCTGCAAATCTATTATGACTGATCACCATCACTGTCTCCTGTTTCACAATACTTTGTAATTGATTTCAGCCTAGCACGTTTGTCACACAAATACGACTATTCATTTTGACACCCCATAACTAATTTGTTATTCTACGTAAAAAATGTATCCGTCAAGTTACTGGCCATTATTGTAACGATAATAAATACCATATTTTATAATTGTAAGAAGCTGAAGAGAAAGTATTGAAAAGAATGTTCTTCGTTCAGATTGACTTTTAATTCATTATGATACGGAAATATTTCAAACTATTAAATCTTATAATTCTTTTGAGGACCCTGTTGCTTTAAAGGTACTCAATGAGATCCTGAAAAGTTCAACGTAAGGCTCTTCGAATCAAGAATCTGTATTGAAATTTGATTTAAATGGGTTTATGACGCTACCCTATTGTTAGAGCTTGTATAGTAAGAGTTTTGGACTCAAGATGATTTTTTTCGAAATTTACACATATTTCTATCAGCTTGTCATTCTTTCACAGCTTGATGATAAGAAATGAACACGACTAGATTTTTCGAAACTAATTGTTCCGCCATATTATCAATTGGGTGTTTAGCTATATACGAAGTTGGTAGTCTGCCACCTGCGTTTGACCATTTTGGAATATGCTCTCCCATTCTCCCCGTCTGTCCATACACATACGTAAATTGGTAAATAGTGTGGGATGTGACACTTGTGCACTTTTGAGGTTTGTAGTGGAGCATATTTTTGACTTTTTCAATGATTAAAAGCCGGGCTGCATAACAGGTCCTAGCGATGACCGAGTTTGATCTCTGTCTCAAAATCCTACTATTTATTTCCCCCCATTGTATGGTAATTTGATGAAGACATTTTTATTAGGGGCTGAATAAATTATAGGTTTTGAGACTAATTAACTTCTAAATCTGTTTTCAACAAGAGTACCCATCAGTATTTTATGTTCATTCTCTATAACATCAGCTTTACAAATGCGCTGAATCCTCTTAAAAAATAAGTATTTCACCAAGCCTCTATTATACTGTAGTGGACAGAAACTGTGAAAATTTAAGTATTGCCCTGTACAAGTAGGCTTTCTGTAAATTGATCGTCTTATTGAGCCCTCGCCTCTTCGACTCAAAATTATATCTAAAAATGCAAGCTGGTTGCGACTTTCTTCCTCACATGTAAGACATAAGTCACACAGATAACAAATAGTTCCTACTACCGGTACATGTGATTACATCGGTCTAGAATGCGTAAACATTGCAGTGCCAACCAACCATCTGAAGCAGCTTTTATTCAGATGCATGCTCAATGTACTGTTTAGATTTAACGATGTCATTTATAATCGAAAAGGATGGTGTCTCCACTACGACCTCTCCTACCAGATGTCTTCATAGACGTGACATCCGACTATCGACCAAAGGGCGTGTGTACTGCTCAACAGTCCGCTCCGTTCTCCTTTATGGCTGTGAGACCTGGCCATTGAGAGCAGAAGACATGAAAAGATTATCTGTGTTCGATCATAGGTGTCTGCGTTCTATCTCCCGCGTGAAGTGGTATAATAAGGTGAGCAATATTCAGGTTAGGCGTCGAGTGCTAGGTAAGGCGGGGAAATCAATCGACGAAACTGTGAAATTACATCGACTGAGATGGTTAGGACATGTATTACGTATGCCTAGTCATCGCCTTCCTCGACGGGCAATGTTAGCTGATATAGGGCCAGGCTGGAAAAGAGCTAGCGGTGGTCAAACGAAAACATGGCACCAGTCAATGAAATCCACAACAGTTAGTCTAAGTCACGTAGGGAGGTGTAGACTTCCTGGTTGGTGTCCTCGGGACAGTAAAAACCAATGGTTGGAAACAATTGGTGACATGGCTCAAAATCGTTCTCAGTGGCGCAGATGCATCCTTTCCTTGTGACCCTTGATTTCCAATTAAACTGTTTTGTTCTTCGTTATTACTATTCCTTTGTCTCACACCTCTGTTTACTGTCTATATTATGCATTTCTCCTACTTTCTTCTCTTGCTTTGTGTGCTACATGGAGTGTGGCGACTTGAACTGCCGCACATTGGTGCAAATTTCTATGTCGGAAACCGACCGGCCGATGTCTTCATGGCGACCTTAGAGAGTGGCCCACTGAAAGGAACAAACTCGAGTTTGCATATGTTGTATAAGCGATATATCGACGACACCTTCACATTATTTGTAGCGACAATTATTCAACTGCCGAGTTTTTTTAATTATACAAGCTCGTAAACAAATGAAAGATATTTTCCCCTCAGTCACGCGGTTTAGGTTCACGAATTGGCTGAATTTATTCCACACTTTTATTTGAAGATATTTTAAAGTAAAGTAACAAATAAAAAAATTCAAAAACTTATTCAGAACAGTGAGAATGTAACTTAGTGTGTCACACAATTTACCATGAAGTGATATGAATGCGTTTATTTATGGATGACGATTTTTCCACATGTCTTTGTTATTTATTTTTTTAAACATGTCAAAGAAATAGCAAATTATACGATTACTTGCAGAAATTGTCCTGTTTTTTGTCGAACGAAAACTTAAAGTATCACAAATAGGCTTACAAAGCCTCTGAAAATACAGCGACCCATATAAGGCTATCATTTCCTCTATATAATATTACACTATGTACAATGAAAGGCAACAGCAATTATACATACAAATCAAACACGAAATTACAACTGCAACAGTTGTCACAAACTCCATATTAAGAGAGAGTGGTCACTTTCTTCCTCCGCCAAGAGGTACATCAAATTTGCTTTTTTTTGTATAAAGCAATGGAAATATGACATCACTGTAACACACCTTCATCTGTGCACTACAACGGAAACCAAGTGAAGCATCGAAAGACGCCTACTGTTCTTTTCTAGGAATGTAGAACACATTAACAAAACACAAATGCACCGACAAAACCAATGCTATACGCTCTAATTCCATGGAAATGGAAACTAAGATATATATCTACAATAAACTATATGATATAATTTGTTTCGATTCACCAACACAGTGATAAAAGATATAAATATATTATACTTGGTTTATGTTATATACATACAATATAATTACAGTCTTGTTCTATATTTTTTATAAAAGTGACCTTTCACTTTTTAGGTGTAGTCTTTTTGGAACTTGATCTAAGACTTTTTCGACGATTGTCAGGCGATTCATTTGAGACCAATTCTAATTTGTTGGATTTACGTAGTGGTTTTTTCTTAGATCTTTTCTTTGTTTTCGAATTCTCATTCATTGACTCACTGTCACTACTCATCACCGATTTACCGGAATCCTCTTTTCCTTCTTTCTCATCACTGGAATCATCTTGACGAGCAGAAGTACACTCTACGTCGACAGTTACATCTGGAAAGAGGCTAACTGATTGTTTTGAAGATGTAGAGGATGCCTGAAAATTCAAACAATAGACAGTTAAAACACCTGAAGTTAAGAAACTGAGTTAACAATTCGATAAATATTAAGCGCGGAATTTGACATATAACCTTTTGAAAATTAGTAACACATGATACCTCTTCCATATTGCTTCTTTTTCGATAAGCATCATTTCAAGAGAAAACAAAAGCTGATTCAAATCTACGAGTAAGGCAGAGTTAAATCGATAACGGCCGTGCAGCTTAACAACCATCAAGCTTGTATGTTCCATACAAAATATACTGAACACTGTTACCACCACGTGACTGTTTGGACCTGCCAAATGCCACGTACATGCGTACTTTTGGTATACTAACCGACACAACTTAAATTTTATGTAGCTTGACTGATATAACCGAAGTCGGTCGACTGAAATGCAATCTCACTCAGTTTGTAACATAGATCCGTATTTCCAAAACAAGCAAGGTAAATCTAAAGGTTGGTTTACAAGTCCAAGTTCGTGACCACAGAGATCCGAGAGATTAAGCTAAAGATCCTATGATAACCTAATAAGATCAGATTATGCATGAAATTTTAGTCGGTAGTGAAATGAGAATTCCTCACCGTAAACCCCAACAAAGTTAGCACTGTTGTAAACCACTTTTGAATGTTCTCCACCTACAACTAAGTAATAACTTGAAAACGATACAGCAAACATTGGAAACAGTCGTACTACAGAAACCCGGTGCAAAGTTGCAAGGCTATAGGTAGGACTGGAGTTGACAAAAGTCTTAGTTAATGACAGATACAAAGAGGTTCTCCTTTTGAATAAACAAACTCTAAATACAGAAACACTCCTTAGTTTAAGTTTCTCAAGAAAGGAGTAGATAGTACATCATACTCTTTCGTCGTCTAAAAAAGGTCGTTTGGTTGACTTATGTACATTTTTATGATGTATTATTTTCCTTTTCCATATTTGTGGACCACAATAGGGTATTGCATTTAATAAAAAATACCACAAGTTTCGTATGGGAACCAAAATAATATACGCACAGCCATCTGATATTTACTAAAATGAATAAAGCAATCTCTACAGTGCAACTCATCACCGTCGCGCACTGTATTCGCATTCATCGCGGTAACTAAAACAAATTCATTAGCCAACTGTTTCCTCAGAATTTCTGAGTCCATAAGTTTGGGAACAAGGCGAACATCACAACCTCCAATATATACACTTGGAAGTAAATCCATGAATAAAATGCTACAAAAGTGAATGTCTCACTGAATGAATAATGATTTTGGTTATAACAGAAGGAAGTCATTAATAATGATGTTTTATCGCGTTTTGTTGTGACCTCAATACATCCAAGTCAATGAACTTAGAGTAGAACTATTATTGTCTATTAATTAGATGCACTTACAGTTTATGATAGCTGACTGGAGTTTTTTCTTTGGTTGGTGAGTTCAACCACCAATATACGGAGGAGGGAGTCTCTAGACAGCAACACTTCTTGATTCTTTGATTATATGTAATATCACAGTATGCTATCCAACACGCGATTGGTGAATCGGATGACCGTTTATTCAATAATTAGCTTGTCAACTTATCAATGTAACAAAATCCAAACCTCATATCTTCAGCAGTACGCACCCACCGGGATTCGAACCCAGGACCTTTCGGTTACAAAGCGAGCTCTTAGACCTTTAAGCCATTAGGACCCGATCCAATGGCCCATGAATTCTAACTTCTGCTATTGTAGAAAACTTCTATGTGAAGGTGTGATTGGGAATTTTATTTCTTTTTCTACTGGCTTATTTCTTCAATACTTAATCTTATTAAAATGTCAAAATTAAGAAACAAAAGAACTGAACTTACTGTACTTGACACAGAAATATTATCAGGACCATCATTATCAACATCAGGATATTGAAAATCATCTGAATCACTTTCAGCTTCAAATAAATCGGCTTGATCCTGCTCTCCCCATTCATCCTCAGGGACAAAAGGAAATCGCTGTTGTTGCTGTTGTTCAGCATCAGATGACAATGGTTCATTTACATCAAATACACCACCATCAGACTCTCCAAGTGATTCATACAAGGATTCTTGTTCATATTCTGATTCATTTTCTATCACAGAAGATACTGAATCTAAATCCATTAGCTCATCATTAACGTCATTATCTGGGATAGTGAAATCATCTTTAATATCAATTGAGTTGCGTTTGACTCGTGGAACTTTTCGTTTTTTAACAATATTTTCATCTGAAGTAAGAGGGGGGGAATAAGATTAAATAGTCTGATGTAACACTTGATGTCTATACCAAGCATATTATTAAAACTTTAACTAATATCTGAGATCTGCATTGATTATTATCTTAAATCGGATTCATAAACATTTAGTCATAAATGCAATTTTCTAAACACCCTGAACAAAACCCAGAGTATATATGATACATAAATTCACACATACCACATACAAGATTATATCAACGTACTGGTACGTATGAAGACTGTGTTCAAGGATAGAGTAAAATGACCGAACACGTTCACTATTTTCAACAGATTTCATATGTTTCATCCCTATTTGTTATCGAAGTATGATACTTGCATGTCTTTCTTAGTTCAATCATAGTCCAGATGTCAGTGTGGTAGGATTTTCGCCTATAGTGCTACGCGGCAGGACACAATAAATCGCTGATCACTGCCAACAAACACAAATTTTAAATTCAATTCATGCAGTAGAATAACCTCCACGAACTGACACATAAGGATGAACTGTAGTTTGTAGGTAAGCAAAGCTTCCAGGCAGGAACACGGTAACAGTTCATGAAGTATTTAACTGTTGATCTCAGCCACATATATAGGTGTAATTTGCTTAGCTGAGGTCAGCAGGATATTAATGACCAATGGTTGAAGGATATTTGTGGATGTATCTAAGGCTGCTAAAGTGACACAGACATATTCACCCTTCACAGACGGAATTCTACACACATAGACCCGTATTTTATACGAAATTATTCCTTTTTGCATATAAGCCTCTCCTTTTTATGTCAGCAGCAACTTGAAATACTGCAAAACTGTGAGGAATTCCTCTTCGATTAATCAGCCACTCAGTCAAGGAGTGGATGTATCTGTCGTTTAACCTACTTGATTGTAACCTGACTCGTGGTTACTAACGTGTAGAAACTATTTTGCAGTATTTGATTAGAGTGAGACTATAACGAAGACTGATATTTATCTGCAATTGGCTATGTTTTATGTCTCCTGTTCCGTTTTCGCAATGCGATACCTTTTAAAGCTTTTGAGAAGACATCTGAGTAACTTGTTTTAGCTAATTTCCAGTCTTCCTGCTACTACACTAAGAGTACAAAATATAGAATCTCTGAGTAATAATAGGGTTGAAAAAAACCGAGTGTCCCCTCAACTTTTTACTGAAGGTTATTAAACTGAGTTAATCGTAATTTTCACAACACCATATACAACTACTTGAAGTTGACGTCAAATAAGGCATGAATACCAGTATATAATTTTGCATGTTTACAATAAATGATTTTTTTGTAATATGATCGTATATATATCAACTAAGTATCTTGTTTTCCGAGTAGAACAATACGTATCAATTTTCACCTTTGGAATTTTAGTAGCAGTCTGCTTTTTTACAGATTAGTGTTGCCAGCCCCACAGCTAACCATCTCCCTTTAACACCGGGCTTACCACCGGCTAGGTGAGATTTAGGAGTGCGCTGGCCAAAATTCAACCCCTAGAGCATCTGCTTGGTTGGCGACTATTCTACCGCTGAAGCACCGACGCAGTGACCAGGTATCTAACGATATGATTTTGCTCCTCCATCGGAGCAGTAAAATTACACACCACAGTGGTTATATTTTCTAATCAGAAACAGGAGCTTAGCAAGACCAAGAGCAATATACACCCTAGGGATATTCAGAAAAAAAATAGTAAATCGCAAGTATAATAATTCTGATAACTGTCCGCTTCACCATGGCTTACACTTTAAATTTAGTTAAAAGACAATCTTTTCTTCAATAATAATGAGTTAAAATTAAAAGTTCCGCGTTAAGAAATCTCTAGAGAAATATATTCTCATTCATTTGGAGGTAGGTTTAGCAAACTCCGAATTAGATGCAACTGGTAACACCTCCAAATGCAATTACTATATTTCAAAAAATAAACTGGTGATGCTTGTCATATCTAATTGGTTCCCAATAACAAAAAGCCACTTTACGGCTGATGCATACTGTAACATATATAATTTGTATCCAGTAAAGTCAAGTACACTAATTATTGAGCCATAACTGAGATATACGTCGCAGAACAGTTAACACCATATACCCAGTGTCCAAGCCATTACATCTGAACTCCGTTTAAATGTTTACACATAATATTATAAATCTTAGAATTTAAGTTCAAACTGAATCATAGACTTTCAACACAAATTAAAAACACAATCACTATACTTTCCCAGTGACAAGTATAACCTAAGGTTTTTTAATTATCATACCAACTATAGGAGGTAGATGAAGACTAATAAGTAATTTTAAACCAAGGAAAATACACATAAGAAAATTACACGGAAAACAAGAAGTAAACACTTTTTCTGACGAATTTAAGTGCACAATAGTAGTACTAATATAGGAGCACTAGTCTACTGGTCAGATATTTCTCTAACATATCATGGAGATCAGATAGAAGCAACTCTCGTAGGCTTTCGAAGAACATGCCTCGGGAGGTTAATAAGAGGTACATAAAAATGAGCTGTTTCTTCTTACCTACTGCATCCACACTCGTATGTTCAGAACGTTCTGACGTCTATTGTGAAACGATGAGTACGAGCAGAGTGCCGAAAACTAGTTAGATATAACAGGGTCCGAAACTTAGCCCACTATTAGGAAGCTAACTATTTAATGACACAAATATGCTATTTTAAATGTACGGTATATTATTGGTCACCAGAAATACTTACCGTCAATATATACAAAACTGGTTTTTGGTAGAATTGTATAATAAAATCTGCGGGGAAGATAACTATTACATTTTTGAGCATTTGACCAATTTTCAACAGCATTACCACGATTAGCAGCTTCTAAGTACATTTTTGCCAGTGTACACGTTTCATAGCAATATGAACATAAATTTCTCAGTGACTGTTGAATTTCTGGTGTTTGCAATGAAGTAGAATGATTTTCAGTGAAATAATTTAACCAAACAAGTACTTGTTGAACTACATGCGGATGATGATTTTCTGATACAATGAAATTTGTCAGAACTTCAATAAATTTTGACAAATGAAGGCGGCTCTCAACAATTTTTTCAACTTGAGTCTTAATCCACTCCTCACTTGTTCTTTGTATGAAGAGCTATAATCAGTACCGCCTAGGTTACATATAATAGGATTGGAGGACATACTTTATTGAAATTTTTAGAGTTCACAAGAAGTCCATCTAAATCACTTAAATAATCAGTACGCTTCAGTATCTAAAAGCCAAGAATAAACTTTAGGCACTATATTACAAACCTTAAGCCTTGATTTTTCAGACTTATCATCTTGGTCCTTCATTTGAATAATATCCTGGAAATAAAAAGATATAGATTAAATGTGATGGTATACAAAAAGGTGGTAATATAATAAGCAATTTCTTATGTCTTAGTTGACGTAACAGTTGAATAAAAAGATACCTGGCAAGAATTGATGAACCGATTTAACATGTCACACAAACGTGCGTCATTCCAATTCGATGCCCTCAGTGATATCACAATGTAAAACATAAAATTAAGAGGATACAGAACAATCAACAGAGGTAACTGAAAGGATTAAGTTTAGAAGATACAGGTGCCTGTTGTTATGGAGATGCCTATACTGTTATTACGGTATGAAGTTGTATTGCCAATGGGAAGAAGCGCAACATCAGTTAGACCTTTGCTCCGAACGGTAATCAAACAAGCTGTTATCATTTCACTCTGAGAGGTAGGAGCTAGGAATAATGGACTTGCCAAACGGCTCTCTGGAGGGCACTCTATGAAAATGAATATCTCAATAACAACCTAAACTGCACATTCTGCAGGATATTTTGAAACGTGAAACTAATTCACTTTCTGCCCAAAATACAGTAACTCCGTAAGGTGGATTTGCTGTGTTTTGCAAAATTGCACTGACGATCAGTTAGCTGATCCCTGGGCTTTATCTGACAAGAATAACACGACTCTCTACTTACAACTGCATTAACGCTGGTCTAACACTTCCACTCAGTTGACAGATTTTGGATCCACTGTAGAAGATGTTAGGCAGAATACCCAAAAGTTCAGGCATCTTTCAGGAGCACAACGAATATATCCTGCTATGTTTCGTCAGCAGAGTGGAAGTTAAAATGTCCAAACTTGGAATAAATGAAAGTTGCAGCAACGTGTCATCATTCAGAATGCCCAGCAATGAAACTAAGGAATTTGCATATATGGTGCTCTGAAGCTCTTTGACCAAAAATTAGTGCGAAAACACTGTCTGCATACTACAATATTATTACTCTGAATAAGCCCGTCACTTAACACACTACAATCTTGCATGGTATGGCTCACCAAAACAGGTAAAATTGTAATTTTATTCACAAAAACTTTTGCTTATTTCACTAGGCGAAAAGCGATAATATAACCAAAACATACTGTTCACGTGAAACCACAGTAACGCCAAATTTCGGAAAGCCCTCCTTTTGTCTCAATATAGTTTTGCATAGAATGTACATTCCTCCTTGTTTCTAGATCTCTGAAGGATCCCCATAATAAAAGCTTTATTTCAAACAATAATAATACAGAATACAATTCTCATCGTGCTTATACATGCAACAATTTAGATCTTTTATAAATGTGTACGTACATTAAATATAAAGTTATACTAATATTATTAAATAAAAAACTGTTAACAGAATATTGGTGGAAAAATAATGAAGTGTGAGTAGTTAGCATCACAGATGATACATGTGCGTTGGTGGCACAGTGGTTAGGACTCTCGCCGACCATGCACATGGTCCGAGGTTCGATCCCCTGCCGGCGCACACCCAATATCTATGGTCGGCCTGAATTTCGGCTACCGATATCCATGCTGAAAATTCCACACTTGTACTGAAAATAGGGTGTGGAATCAAGCTGTAAATCAAAAATAAGAAAGTTCTTATCTGACATCTGACTCCACTCAGAACCCTTGCTGTATATGTTACGGTAAAAAATTTTCATTTAGTTGTACGAGCAAAATTTCTTATGAAGTTATGAAGATATACAGGTCGAAAGTTTAGAATTAAGAGGACATTCAGTATCAGGCACGATAACTTTGTCCAAATGCTTGCAATAAGTGAAATGCCTATCGACAATAATGTCAGTTATCAGAGTCACCGGGATGCCACTAACGTAATTACAGCCTTCAGTGTTCTACGTAATGTAGTCTCTTTTAGGAATTCCAGGGGAGAACAGGCCAAAAATAATATTAATATTGGCAGAATGTATAAAATGACAAATTGTAAGAGAAGCGGGCGAGTTGTGACAGAAAGTTTCAACTACTTTATGTTATAAGTCACACGAAAAATTTTCTGAGAAATCAGACAACCATTACAGATTCGAAGCGGAACAGACACTAAGATAAGCGATTCGATTTACTTCCTATCACAGTGCAGTCAATATTACGGGAATCGTACATCTGAAACAGTCCACGCGAATCGTATTATCACATTCTTTTAGTCAGTATTACAGCCTTTCGAAATACACAATTTAATTCACCGTTTTCCCAGAATTATCTTGAATTCCCATCATATCCAAATATATTGCTTGAGGGAGCACATTATTGATTGTCGGAGTCTTTTCAATTTGCGTCTTGTCATCAGTACTTGAGAGATAGGCGGAGTAGTGTTTTTACTGAGCGACAGGCAAACTTCACTGGGGCAGAGTTGGCATTGTTTAGCTTTTCTGCAGCCTTACCAGCCCCATACAAATGCACAAGTCGTACCAGGGCAACGGCGTTCCACGGCCTGGAAAACTTCATTTCTCCGAATAGTACTCCTCTGTGGTAGGTAAACGCTCTTGTGATTGCGGCACTAAGAAGGCGTTTGGGGAACTGATAACGTGAGTAGACTGAACAAAAGGAAAGAATGGCAAGATGCTTGGCTTGGAGACAGGTGAAAAGGTGGGGCATATGCACACATTGAAAGAAATGACTAAGGGGAACACGATGAGTAGGGGCAGAGGTAACGAAGGCTGAACAAAGCAGTTATGTATGTAAGCGGCGCGTCTTTAGTACCAGCATAGCCCCCTATATATTGTCTACTTTATTTATTATTGATTTCTAAACTGGTGCATTTTGTTATGCTTTTGCCTTATCTCGAAGCCACCGACTGGCGAAGCCATTCGCCATATCTGTGGACGGTGAGTAACTTGTACGATAAACTGTAGGGGAAAAGACGTCAGACCGTATGAAATCTGATGCCACACCGGTGGATACCACAGTATGCTTAAGGATGGCCACCTTCGGCTATGCAATGTTTTATATGCCGTAATAAGGTCGTCCTTGATTCTTCAGCAACTAGAGGTAAACAGATCTAGTTGGTCACCAAAAATCTGAAACCGCAGTCTCATAATGGTTTTGATAGCCTTTTGGTGCATATTTCGGCTGATACTCGCATCTTACTATGAAAACATACTCTCTGTGGTCCAGTTCTACAAGATATTCGCTTCGTCTTGTGGCTTGACGAAATCTTCCACCTGTCTTACTCCTCTTCAAAGCTGTACACTAAATGAGCAGGAGAACTTTCAGCGACCTAAGTTATTTGAGAGATGGTTCGTGAAATATAAGAATAACAGAAGACTTGGGATTTCTCCTTTCAATACTTTATTCACACTTGTGTGAAATTCCCTGTCCTCCAGGTGAGTTCAAGCCCAACACAGAGATGAGCCATCACTCGCTGTTTCAGCCATTTTTGCGAGTAGAATTCTTTGAAATGTCGAAATCAGAACCTCATGTTACATTATCTTTTAGATATTGTAGCGGTAAATAACTCCCCAAAATTATTGACCACACCAATCCTCACTCAACATTGGATGCTGACCCTCACTGTTTAAGTGGACTTGTTTAGCTGAAGGCTTCCAGTCAAGCATCCTCGCCATTTGGTACTCCGTCGTGTCACGTGCGTGCACCACTAGCCAGCTAAGCAATCAATACGATTCCTGATTTGGTCCGGAAATATATATCGTACTTTGGATGACTAACTCTGGTCTTTTGCTTTGTCTTTGGTACACGACAAACGTATATTATAGAAGTTGTTGGTATAAGATCTTGCGTTAGTATACTCCGTATAATTCGTGAACGTCGACACCTTCAGCCTTCAAAATATTTAACACAGGGAAAGAGTATTATTTACTGGATTACGTTTTGAACACAAGTTTTTGTTCATAATCATATCAATTATAATCACACGACTTCAAAACTTGAGTTTTAAAGTTTTCTTTGTTCCTCCCAATTTGTCATGGGAGTAGTAGAATTTTACAGATATTTGGGTCAAGTGTTGAGCCATTCATATTACACGTGTTTGCAGTTGATTCGATAAGCAAAACTTCCGTTATCGATCTCTCCCTCCATACTGTTACATTATTATCAATTCCACTGTCACCACTGTTTTCGCATTTTCCTACATACTTCCTGATTAATTTGACATAAATAATAATAGTGATAGTGATGATAATAATAATAACAATGACGACATGCATGTCAGGCATGGACAGAATAATGACAAGATCGACAATGATGAATATCAGTCATCAGTAGTACTTTCATGCAAAGAAGGAACCTCAGAAACCTTACGCAGAATTCCTAACAAGGCAGGAATGAAGTCCCATTTAGAGCCACAAACTCAATTAGAAAAAGGTTTTGTTGGTTAAAGGATCCCGTTGAGCCAGTCAAACAAAACAACTAAATTTATCTGACACCATGCTCTAATGATTGTGAGGCCAAACACATAGGTCAGAGTAGTTGAACAGGGTCAGTCAGACCAGCGGAGCATAAAAACCAAGCTAGATCTAGATTAATTTACCCAAATAGCTCGTCTGTAGCAGTACATGCAATTACACACAACCATACAACAGGATGGGATAAGGTGATAGTTTTAAAAAATAATGTAACAGGATGGAGGGGGATTGATAACGGAAGCTTTGCTTATCGAATCAACTGCAAACACGTGTAATATGAATGGTTCAACACTTGACCCAGATATCTGTAACATTCTACTACTCCCATGACAAATCAAAAGGAACAAAGAATTGATATGATTATGAACAAAAACTTGTGTTCAAAACGTAATCCAGTAAATAATACTCTTACGCTTATATTAGTCGAAACGATGACTTTTCTAGGCCTTGAATAAAGCCATAGATTGCAATCTTCGAGTCCCAGAATGCTGTGAAATTAACTTGAGCTGCCGGTAAACTGGATGTGCAGGATTAACCATTCCCGAGTCCTCTATGCCGTTCATACCAGATGCTTTCGTGATCCAGACTCCTCTGATTCGTTCGTCCAGCAGACATCCAGTCACTCCCAAAATCATTGGGAGTGGGGCCAGGGGTTTATCGAATCCTCTCTTTACAGATACGGTCAGACGCTTCTAATCCCTCAGCTGCTCACATCTGTCCAAAAGTTCACGTAGCAGAACAAAACAGCTTGAGGACCACTGGGTTATTGTCACCGCAATCTAGGAGGTTCATCTGGATGTATCTTTGCTAGCTTACCAGCAACTGTCTTTTGAGTTATTTTGGCAGACTTTACGTGCGTAACGTCAGTCTGTACCGCGAGTTTCAGAGTTTTACGTTTCCCATTGACATCACCGTTTTTCAGACGTCTTTCGAAGGTGATGCTCAGGTCTCAAACAGTCCCTTGATTACTCAGAAGCATCAACTTCTGGTCCGTAATCACGCATACTCCTCGACCATTGATTTTCCTCCGAGAAATAAGTACGTGCGTTTTTAAGGAGTTGATTTGCATCTTCTTGATTATACTTACAGGAAGCATTCTCTAATCTCCTCAAATGCCTATCTCCTAGGTCATGGTATGCTCTAACCCTTTCTCTAAGAAAACTGGTATATACCTTAGCTCAGAAAAGACTGTTGGGGTGATGGCCACAGTTATAATAATAATTTATATTTCGTATAATCGGGTAAGTTTACAAGAAATGCATGCCATTTTACAGGCACGATCAGTAACGTTATAAATTACAATCCTGAAGTATCATAAATTAATACTTTTTCAGAAGCTTGAATTGTTCAATTATTGTACAAACAATTAGAACGGGTTTTTTTAATGTTAAATTGTAAACCCTTCACTAAGGTCACCACCGAAGTTGATCGACAACCCAAACTTCGTTCAGTTTCCTGCTGATAGTTATAGCCAACCAGTGAACAGCGTATACCTGGGTGAGTGCTATGCCGCCACGTGATTGAGCGCTATTTCAGGAAGAGAAGAAAATTCCGGGCAGCTGCAGAATGGTATAAAATGCAATTATGAATAATACATTATTGGAAGTATATTTACAAGATAAAGACAAAAAGAAGCTATATAGTACTTGAAATGATAGTATACATTTACAATGTTTAATGCTAACCATATTGGTCTAAGCAGGGAAGCTACCACGCTTCCGATGAAAATATAGCTTTGTTCAAACATTGGTGTTGTTATGTTTTCAGTCAAAGCAACCA